TTGTATACACACAAGCCGTATGCATATAGTGTTAACAACCAGACGTCTAAAGCAGGGAAAGGCTTTGGTTCTGCACAAGGAGATTAAGCTATCGGATGGGAAATGTATGCAATTCTGGAATGAACTTTGTAGAAGGAGAACAAGTTGTAAACTGAGCGTTCGTTAAAGCTTACATAGACCAATAGAAGGTGAACAAATTTATATAACATGATAGACGTCAATTCGCTTGAAAAAAGCTATTTGCAAAAAGTTAATTGACCATAGAACAAAAATTCATGAAAAGTGTGGAAGTATAACTTTGCAAAAGCAGAACATGCTACAGATGAAGTGGATGTTTTTACATACTAGCCTCTATGATCCTAGTGGGAAGACCCGGCTCTTTATCAATATGAATTGGACTTAAGTTGGTGTTTAACTGCTATTTTCAAATGTTGGAATCCGTCGAAAGCAACCTAGAGTAAATTAGACCTAGTTTTTACCTTTTTGTGATGAGCACAAGAGACGTCAGACAAACTTGAGAAGCAGAGTGCTTTACTTCGGGAAAGGGTTCATAATGCTTCGCGAAGGACATTCTAATGATCAAATAAGGTCAGACCAATGGTTATTGTGGAGCTTAACACAGTCCTCAAAAACAGATCAAAGTAGCTGGTGGCATCTGAGAAGCTCACAAGCAACTCCTTCTCTGTTGCATTGAATTCTTGTGCTTTCCTTGTTAAAAAGTTGAGTGATTTTTTTATTGTAAATCTCTTGTAATCTGGGAAGAGAGAGTTATAGTGTTGTGAGAAGGGCTCGAGTTTGTAGAAGCAATTCTAGAAGTTGAACTAGAAGTAGCACATTTTATACAAGTGACATAGGAATTTCCAACCTTTTTGGGACAGTTAGTGTTGGGAGTGTGGAGTATGACAAGTGAACCATCGTGTCTAATTAGCATTTCTTCTATCCTTTAACCTTTTTCAATTTCTATTCGAAAGAAAATTGCGATTATGCTCAATGTACGCGCTTTTACCGCACAAGCGCACCTTCTACCCACTTTCCATAATGTATTCCCGAACAAGTTTCGAGTTTTCTAAGACAACCAATTTACTCTTATCTCAAGTACGTGCATGATAGAATATTTAGATACTAAACCACGCCTTCATCTAACAGTTTAAGATTTTAGAACAATTAGCAGTGATTTCACAAAATTTCACATGGTATCAGAGTAGAAAGTCCCGAGTTTAAATCTTTTCAAACTCTATTTGTCTCTCAAATTAAATATATCAACGTTTAGTACTAGACAAAAATATTAGATAAAATATTTAAAACAATTTACAGTGCTCCCATGAAATCTCACCGTCCATTTTTCAGTCTCTTGGGTTCAGTCAGGACTCCATCTTCTCATCTTTGTCTACATTGATACGGCAAACACGTAAACCAGGCGTTCATGTCTCATCTTTTCTTAATTTCAGAGCATTTGGGCACTCGGCAAATTCTCTCTCTTTTTTTTCTCCTTCGACCCCACACGTTTTTGCTGTATAACGCTATAAATAATCATATGAACATACAATTAGCAAAAAGTTGTCCACTCGGAACTTAAATCTGTCGGGAATGATCCCTTTTTCGTCCTTCCCAGAAATCTGTCATGAAGAGCTTCTGCCCTTTGCCGATCAACAAAGCGAAAGTGTTGTCCAGCAAGGGTATCGGAAAAATCTGTGGGCTGTGTGTGAACTTGTGCCGACACAGAACATTAAATGAGAGGGCGAACGACGGTCGCAGTTAGATTGAAACCGTGATGTATGAAGTTGGGAGATTCTGTAAACCCAACAAAAAAGAGAAGTTGAAAATTTCAACCTAGTGTTCTCCTACACACAACCATGGTCCAATGAATGATTTTGACGTGAGAAGTACCTCGAGCGAGTTTGCGTCTTTTCGGTGACCTATTGTTTACTTAGAGTTGCCGAATACATCTCGACGATTCATTTCATTATACCCGTTTACCTCTACAAAGTTTTTGAGCCTACATCGCATAACTAGGGTTTTGCTCGGTGATTCAGGAACAAGCTTGTTAGGGTGGCTTGCGCATGGAATGCATTCCGGAATAAAAATTTTGTTCCGGAATGCATTCCGGAACAGAATGGCGTTTGTCAAAAAATTTCCGGAATGCATTCTGGAGCGATTTTTACATTCTGGAATAAAAATGCGTTTGTTAAAACAACTTGATTCCAGAATGCATTCTTGATTCCGGAATGAGTTTTTGGCAAGAAAAAGAGAAGCTACTTTTTGTAGCTTCTTGATTCCGGAATGCATTCTCCCTATTTTCTCACAATTTTTTTTTCAGAAAATGCATAAAAATTGAAATATTCTAGAAAAATTCATAAAAATTTCCAGAAAATAAAAAAAAGTCAGATTTCGGGAAAATATGAAATTTGGTGAATTTTTTTTTTAAAAATAAAAAAAATAAAAAATTTCAAAACTTCACAGAATAGCTTAAAACACATGTGGCCACCCACTTTGAGTGAAATTTAAATTTTTTGAGGTGCCAAAAAAAAAATCAAAAATTTCAAAACTTCATAAAATGGCTTAAAATACCTGTGGCCACCTACTTTGAGTGAAATTTAAATTTTTTGAGGTGCCCAAAAAAATGAAAAATAATAAAAAAATAAAAATTTTCAAAACTTCACAAAATGGCTTAAAATACCTGTGGCCACCCACTTTGAGTGAAATTTAAATTTTTTGAGGTGCCCAAAAAAATAAAAAATAAATAAATAATTTCAAAACTTCACAGAATGGCTTAGAATATCTGTAGCCATCCACTTTGAGTAAAATTTAAATTTTTTGTGGTGCCCAAAAAAATAAAAAAATTCAAAACTTCACAAAATGGCTTAGAATACATGTGGCCACCCACTTTGAGTGAAATTTAAATTTTTTTAGGTGCCCAAAAAAAATTAAAAAAAATCAAAAATTTCAAAACTTTACAGAATGGCTTATAATACATGTGGCCACCCACTTTGAGTAAAATTTAAATTTTTTTAGGTGAAAAAAAAATCAACAAATCAAAACAGATTTCTGTTCCAGAAATCAATTTCTGGAGCAGAATTAGTCATGTTTTACCAAACAGATTTCTCCTCCAGAAATCAATTTCTGACAAGAATTCCAGAAATCAATTTCTTGCAAGAATTTGATTTCTGGAGCAGAATGGTTACCATTCGCACAGATGCCTGATGGCGGTTAGATTTTCCATACCTACCTACCGTCATCGGGTAAAAACAATCTCATCTGTGGAGTATTGGCTTTCAGGTTTGGCTTGTGTCACATGCGTCTTGACAAATTATGGGCCTATTTGATAGATCTGAGTTTACGTGTTCAGGTGGGGTTTACTTGTTCTGCAAAACTAGCATAATTTATGAAAAAATAGAGTAAGAAGAATTGATGGCAAATAACAAGTGGATTCCTCAACAAGCATTGCCAAAAAAATGATGCGATAACCATACGGGTTGGTCATGATGTCGATTATTTTAAAGAAAGGAAAAAATATTTCTTGAATTTATATCATTTGGCATCAGAACATACTCTTTTTTTTTGACTAATTAGTTTTAATTCCTCATTTACCCTCCCAACACTGAAAGATAATGACGTGTGGGGCTCAAACTCTCCCCCTCCGATCGGCCTCTTTCTCAATCCGTGTTTCTCAATGACCATTTAAAAGCAAAAAGGGAAAATTACCAAAAAAAAAGTCTCGAATCTATAGTACTCGTGTTAATTCAATCTTGAATTTTTTAATCGTGACAAATTTTTTTAGTCAAATAATTGTGACCATTGAGTCATAAACCTTTTCACGTTTTGCTAATTGAGTCTATCCGGCCAATTTTGGCCAGAAATTGCCAACTGTCCTATGTGGCAAGGTCGGCACTGATGTGGATTATTTTTACAATTTTTTTTTAAAATTCAAATTTTTAATAATTTTTTTCTTCTTCCTCCGCCAATCGCCATGGCCTAGCGACAGGCTAGAGGTGAGGGCCAATGAGGGTCACTTTTGCCGGATCTGGCGTGGGCCGACTGCGCAAGAAAGAAAAAAATAAAAAATTATTAAAATATCGAATTTTTTTAAAAAATGCAAAAATTATTCACATCAGTATCGGCCGTGCCACGTAGGTCGGCTGGCATCCATATCAGTAATTTTTGGCCAAAATTGACTGAATGGACTAGATTAGCAAATCATGAAAAAATTTAGAATTCGATTGGCACAATAAAAGATTTAGCACTAAATTGTCACAAATGTAACAGGTTTAGGATATTTTTGGTAATTTTCCCAAAAACCAAAATTTGGCAAAACCAAAACATGTCTTGTGAACCTATTATGTCCCGCCCCCAAATATATCATTACTAAAGTTTCCTCCTCTTTCTAATCTAGGTTCTTTTTTTTGGGTTCATTAATTCTTGTCGATTTATATACTTGGATTGTGCCGCGATGCCAAAACTTTCCAATTACGTTCCACTAAATTTTCTATTTGATGGACGAGATTTAATTTCCAAATGAACAAAATCCCATTGCTTGAAAAAAGTTTTCCAAGTTGACAAAAAATTTATTTCGTCCCCGATTCTATTAAAAATGACCTTAGACGTTCTAAGTTTTTCCCAAATATTTGTTTACCAAGTGATGGATATATTTTATATAACAAATTTTAACCCAATGTCCTAACATCTTTGTTTTGTTCAGGCTGCGGCTGATGTCAATTATTGAGGCAATGGTCGTATGCTCACATTTGCATGGTCATATATCACTTTCACACGACAAAACATCATTGTCTCGATGATGCTTGGCCAAAACACCCCCGCCAAAAAGAAATTGAAACATAAAAATATGAAAGCCATTATTATCACCGTGCTGGAATACTCTTGTGGCTGCGTCTCCACCATCTCGAAAAGGGGTAAAAGAAAAAGGAAATCACGCCGTTAGAATCGAGGCACGTCCAGACGTAGGTATCGAATTACTGCATCTCAAGTCTTCATCAAGAGCACTATAAATAGAATGAAATCTGAGTCACTTTTCGCACTGAAAGAACAATAGAAAAACGGAGGATAGAGATTAAAAAAGAGGCAAAAGAGATAGAGATATGGAGGAGGAAGGAAGCCATGGAAGTGGAAGGAAAAAGGGAGGGATGGTCACTATGCCCTTCATTTTCTGTAAGTCAATCAAGCTCTCTCGTCGTAATCATCATCTTGTTCTTACTTCTTGTTAATCTTCTTGAATGTTTCTTTGATTACGTTAATTGTATCGGTGCAGCAAATGAGGTATGCGATAAACTGGCGGTGGTGGGTTTCAACGCGAACATGATAAGCTACTTGACGACCCAACTCCACATGCCATTAACGAAAGCAGCCAACACCGTCACCAACTTCGGTGGCACCGCCGGCCTCACGCCACTGCTCGGCGCTTTTGTCGCCGACGCCTATGCCGGGCGCTTCTGGACCATCACCGTCGCCTCCATTATCTATGTAGTTGTAAGTTTGACTGCTCTTTGTTTCTGTGCGTACGTGTCTTCAGACAAAGTTGGAGAAGAAGTGGAAGTTGTTCGAGGATTGTCATTTCTTTTTCTTGTAGGAGATGGTATGATAATGGTGATATCAACAAGATCGGGAATGACTTTGTTTTCTTAGGAAATGGTATGGTAGTGGTGATACAAACAAGATGATTCGAGGATTGACCTTTTCTTGTGGTAGCCTCACACCGTATGCAAAACTGCTCTTTAACTTAACCTGTTGGTCGTTTTACAAAATTTCACCTGATGTTAAAAGTTCGTGCATATAAAATTTCTGTAAACTCTAATCAACCTTACAAATCCTTAAGTTTGCTACAATCGAATTCCGGATGGTGTGAGCAAAACTCACTTCTTGATATTTGATAATTTATGGTCGAGTTTCGTATTCTGTATATATATATTTCATCTGTTGCAAAATATGCAATTATTCAAGTGGCTCTGCACTTAATTTGTTTGCATTTTCTACTGTACACACACTACTTATGAAAGTGACTCGCGGAAAAGAGATCCGCATAGGATTACCCCTTAAGATAGCTCTCGATGTACAAACTCTGACCATGGCCTCTGGGAAAAAAAAGGGGAAAACTGAAAAGATTCTGACCATATGTTTACAAAAAATGGAGGCACTGTCGATTTGATTTCTCAATGATTGGAGTCCATGGGTATTGCTCACTTCTGGGTAGATGGAGGAGTCCTCATGGTTTCCATGAGTAGATAAACATGAGGTTTACCGTCATTCGGTGTTAATTAAACTTCAGCTGAGTGGAGTCGTCGTAGGTTTCTTGCTGTGGTAAGATATCATCAATGTCAAAGCTCGACAGTGAACGGCCAAGGATCATAAGAGGAACAATACGCGTAGCTACGATCTAGAGGAGCTACCTAGATAGGTGACTTAACCCACTTCAGATTGTTTACACGGTTACTTTTTCTGTTTTAATCACAAGGAAGTACACTTTACACAAATATAGTTAAATCCAGTGCTTAGATTAGATATAAGTATTACTAGCTAGTTAGAAATTACGTACGCGAGCCTTTATTACGAATGGATGAGTTATCATTTAATATGAATCAATCTGTTGTTTCCATCATAAGAACGTGACATTTATCAATTCAATTATAAAACTCACTAAACGTGATTTAAATCCTACGAATCTAGCACATAAAGAAAATCTATTTTATCTCTCCTTCTCCTCCACTTCTCCACAGCCATTTCATGAACGGCGGCCCCGCCTATTGCCGTCGCCATGTTTGGGCTGGCCACCACGCTGTCAAGCCACCCACCGATCTTGGCTGTACATCTGTGTCCATGTATATCCTCGCTTTCCCAACATTTGAATCGCAAAGTTCTTACTTAATGAAAGCGTGAGTCCTAGGATACTATAAAATTGATATTCTACTGGATTGATTATGCGAAAACTACTCATTAAACGCACGCAATCACCGAATAAACATTTTATAATCCCGTAGGACCCCACCCATTCCATTATTGAGCACTGATTTGTCCTTATTTTGTTGACAGGGAATGACCCTTTTGACCCTATCCGCCATACTCCCCCAGCTGACGCCACCCCCATGCAAGGGCGACCAAGTGTGCCAAGAAGCCAGCGCCGGCCAGCTCGCCGTCCTCTACACGGCCCTCCTGCTTGGAGCCCTCGGGTCTGGCGGGATCCGCCCCTGCGTGGTCGCCTTCGGGGCGGACCAATTCGATGCTAACGACCCGAAACAGTCCACCAGGACATGGAAGTACTTCAATTGGTACTACTTTGTGATGGGGGTGTCTATACTGCTGGCGGTGACGGTGCTCGTTTATATTCAGGACAACATCGGATGGGGCTTGGGTCTCGGGATCCCAACCATCTTGATGTTCTTCTCGGTCATCACCTTAATCGGCGGGTACCGGCTGTACCGGATGATGGATCCGGCGGGCAGCCCGTTTACCCGGTTGTTGCAGGTTTGTGTAGCTTCGTTCAGGAAGAGGAGGTTAGCGATGGTGACGGATTCGAGATTGTTATACGAGAACGAAGAGCTCGATGCCTTGATTTCGCTCGATGGGAAGCTTGTCCACACCAACCATGTCACGTAAGTGCTCTCTCTCTTATGAAAACAAAAATTAAAGCATAATGAAGCCCATTGGACAAACGTAAGTAATCGATTAAATCAAAAACTCCTATTCATTTTAAAAGTTCATAAGGTGCACCTAATTCGAACTCACTTTATTTTAGGAGCCCAAATCATTTAATGTGTCATCATGTCCGGCTTACGTCTATGTAAATGTTTGTGCTTACTAAGAGGGAAGCAAATCATCGAATTCTTAAGTATCTAAATATGTTACAGAAAGAATTATTCTACTTTGATACAACGCTCAAACGGGTTTTGTAATCTTCCTTACGCAAAACCAATAATTATATTGATTTTGTAAGCCAACCTAGTCGTTTCGAAGCACGAGTTGTCGAGCCCTACTAAATTAGACAGAGAACTTGAAAGTCCAACTGTCGTACAATTGACGACATGTGCTTTTTGTCATTTTTTTTGCTCGTGGAGTGCGAGAAGCGTCACGTTGAAGGCTCGCACGGACCGCACAGTAACCTCAAGCAATGATTGATGAGATTGATTCCATGTTGAATTCAAGGTGATAACAGCTGTGGGTCTCATGTGTGGGCATGCAAAATAGAGAAATCCTTTGTTCATGATGTGGAAGTCTCAATGGCCGAATGATTGCGTCTCAGTGAAACTACTAGGTTATCTAATCTCTCTTATTGAACGAAGACAATCAGATTATTAGCCCAGAAAAGGAAAAAGAACGAAGTAAATCACTGGTGATATGTCTTGAGTCTCGACACAGTCGATTATCATGTGATATACAATGTCAAGTTTATCACGACTGTGCAGAAAAAAAGATGTTCTCTTCTGAAGGAAGACGGACGTCCGAATTCATTTCACTTCATTTCGAAACAAAGAAATCCGGACAAATTCATGCATCGAGACATGAACCCGCGCGAAATTATGTTGGCCGTATGCGCGCTGCGTTTCATTTCGATGGTCCTGGTTTAAGCTTCTGATGAGTCGTGCATGGTGTGACGATGAAGCTTCCGGCTCTCGTCGCACTAGGTCCGCCAGACCATTTGGCATTTACTGTGTTCCTCCACGACCACACGTAATGAAAATCCCTCTGGGAAGTGCGCATGCTTCGAGTAGAGGTCTCTGAAAGAACCGAATCTCGAATCGTTCGCGCACACGCATGCATGTGCATGTGGCCTCTGGGGACATGTACGTGAGATGGTCCAGAGCACATGGTCTTTTCTTCCTTTTCTTCTGAAGGGTCTCTGTCTCTTGGGTTGTCGCTTGTCATTTTGCATTTGCATGGATGGCGGTGTGGCGTGTACAAAGATGATGCATCATCGTTTGTCCTGATATAGAAGTGTGCTTGTGGCTAGAACCGGCACGAGTTCTGGACTCTTGCTCCTTCATCTTTTTTGACTAATGTTCGGTAGCTCTCAAAGGCAAGACAGACAGATAAGGGTAGATCTCCGAATTTTGGCACATGTATGTTGTGTTTGCCCTAAATACAGCATCATTAATTAAAGTACTAAGCCCCTATACACCATCAAATACACAATATATGATATTGTTCTTACATGTTCGTAACTCGTTTTAGTTCCTGAATTCTATTCTATCTCAAACCATGGCTATATCCTTCACTAATTTGGTTGATCAAACTTCCAGGTTCCTTGACAAAGCGGCCGTCGTCACACCGGAGGATGATGTGAAATCGCCTAACTTGTGGAGGTTGAACACTGTCCATCGTGTGGAGGAACTCAAGACGGTACTCCGGATGGGCCCGATATGGGCCTCCGGCATCCTCCTCTACACTGCCTACGCACAGCAGAGCACTTTCTCCCTCCAGCAGGCCAAGACCGTGGACCGTCACCTTGGCCGCTCCTTCCAGATCCCCGCGGCCTCCATGGGAGTCTTCACGATGACCGCCATGCTGTTCACTATAGCTGCCTACGACCGCCTCCTAGTCCCGGTGTCCCGCCGATTCACGGGCCTCGACCGGGGGATCAGCTTCCTCGAGCGCATGGGGATCGGATACTTCATTTCCATCCTGGCCACCCTCGTCGCAGGCTTCGTCGAGGTCAAGCGAAAGCACTATGCAAAGGCCCATGGGCTGTTGGACTCGCCCCATGCCATGATACCCATGTCGGTGTTCTGGCTCATGCCCCAGTACGCACTCCACGGGATCGCAGAGGCCTTCATCTCAATCGGGCACCTCGAGTTCTTCTACGACCAGGCCCCGGAGAGCATGAGGAGCAGCGCGACCGCGCTGCTCTGGACATCCATCTCGGCCGGGAACTACTTGAGCACGTTCATGGTCACGTTCGTGCACAAGTACAGTGCCAAGCCTGATGGGTCCAATTGGCTTCCCGACAGGAACCTGAACCGAGGGAAGCTCGAGTACTTCTATTGGCTGCTGACCTTGTTGCAGGCTCTGAATCTGGTGTACTACGTTTGTGTGGCCAAGTTCTACACGTTCAAGCCAGTCCAGATCCACAGTGCGGTGGCTGTGAATGGAACAGAAGATAAAGCCGCGGTTGAGCTTGCGAAAGTCTAGTTGATACTCGTTATAGGAGGAGGTTATTGGGTAGGCACAGTTCTCTATTTGGGTCGTATAATGATGTGACCTCGGGTCTCATGTGACTGTAAATTGTCTTTTAGGATCGTATTAGCAACGGTAGAAGGTCAAGGATCCTCTGCCCGCTCGGTGCAATTTATGATCCTGTAAAGACCTTGACACATAAGGGAAGTAGAAAGATAATAGCCTCCATATTTTCTTGTGTCTCCTTGCTGCAACCTTCATCCCCTTGACTACTCTCTCAAGCATATAAAAGAAACTTCACGCAGAAAAGAAGACACATACATAGTTTCTCTGCGATCTAATAGGAATCGGGTTTGGTTGAAAATTTGGACTAATTTTATCTTCATTAGCTGGAACTTAGTGAATTGGGTTTGGTTGAAAATTTCAATCATCGGGCGAGGAAAAAAATATACAAAAATAATTATATCGAGCGAATTTTAATGCATATTAGCGGCTAGAGAACAATAGCCACCGCTCGCCTTCCTCCGGCCCGGCGCACTGCTTGGACTCAAGGTGAAATCCACCCGACTCCATTCCATACAGACTCCAAATAGGCCATTTTATTCCATACTCCATTGTTTCGTGGAAAATGAAAAATTCGCAAAAATATTTTCTCAAAAGTACCCGCTTGTATCTCTTTTTAAAAAAAAATGAATAAAGCGAAAATCATCATCAATAATAAATCATTTAATTGCGTCGTAAACTACCTATAATATTAGTAAAATCCACATAGATTTAACCAAATAACTTGAATACGTATAATACAGGGAAAATGACATAAATGGTCCATGAACTTTGATCGAATGTGCAACGTGATCTCTGAATTTTTAATTTATTCAATGTGATCTCCGAACTTTTGATACATGTTCAAACTAGTCTTTGGACTATATGAAAATGTTCAATGCCGTCCCTGAACTTTTAATTCATTTAATATGGTCCCTGAACTTTTGATACATGTTCAAACTAGTCCCTAAACTATATGAAAACATCCAATGTTGTCATTCCATTTATTTAAGTTCAAGGACAATATTCAACATTTTTATATAATCCAATGACTAATTTGAACATGTATAAAAAATAAATTAAAAATTCATAGACTACGTTGTATATTGAGCTAAAATTTATAGACTATATTATATATTGGGCAAAAGTTCATGAATTATCTGTGTCATTATCCCTGTAATTTAACGATGCAGATGCATTTCATCGAAGGGAAGGGACCGAACTCGCGACGTAATCACAGATGGAAGAGAAAGAGCTTTCGTGCAAGACTTTGGATATAGAGAGAGAGAGAGAGAGAGAGAGAGAGAGAGAGAGAGAAAAGTCCATGCAGACAGACGAAAAGTCTTGGCCTTCGGCAACCCGCACGAGTAGCGACCCTCCGTGTCCATCACCTCCCGTTTCGACCTCCCTTCCCTGCTCATATTTAGGAAGGAAAGCTCCATTGATCCAACGCACGCAACCCCCCTCTTCCCACCGTCTCCGCAATCTCCTTCCCATTACCAGTCAACCACGCAGAGATACGAATGCGAACGCGAACGCAATATAGCTCGCGATGATGATGGGAGAAAAAGCAGAGGGAGGGAGCCGCCAGAGCAGCGGCGGCGGCGCCTCCCCCCACCACCGCCCGCCGGGGGCCGCGCAGGCCGCCGCCACCACGCCCCTCTCCGGGATCGCGGAGGCGTTCGAGGAGATGGCCGGCCTCCTGCGGTCCGACAAGGGCGGGGGCGTGGAGCTCCGCTTGGACAAATTCTGCGACGCCTGCTCTCTGGTCTCTGTTCTCTTCGGTTGCCTCGGCCTCGCCTTCAAGTTCGCCGAGATGGAGTACATCGCCAAGGTCTGTTTGTTTGTGATTCCCGCGTGTCCCCCCCACCCCTTCGTTGTTGCGATTCTTGTTTCGCGAGCTTTTGAATTCAACTCTGTTCTGTTTCGATTATAAATTGCTAGAGCATGGTTGGGGACGGAAATTTGGTGATTCTGTTGCGTTGCATCTCCGATTGTTCCAACTCTTCATTTGCTCCGCTTCAGTTGTTTCCGTAGACTAATGTGTGTATGTGATGGAATATACGTAACTAGTGAAATGCACGGAGAGTATCACGGAACATCTACAGCTTTGTCATTTGTTGTTGGCTTGGGACGAATTCTCAAAATGGCTTAGGATACTCTGTTGCTGATGCAGGATCATGCTTGGTTGCTCGGGTGATATGTCGGCATTTTACATAATTCAACAATCTGCATGAGTTTACTGCGTTACGGAGTAGATTCTCGTTGATCGTCGACCCATGAGTCAAACTTAAGGTCTTCTAGGTGAAATGGGAAATGTCTTACCAGTTGAAATGCTATAATTAGGATTGCCAGGGATTGGTGTGGTATTTCAAAGACATGACTTTTTGATAACCGTTGTCGACATGTTTCATAGAGCTAGAATTTGCAGATAGGATTTTAAAAGTCGTGTGAGTTGGAAATGATGTATTCGGAGGGGCTGCTTCTCAACCTACGGAGTGTCTGTGCTATCATGGAATGAATTATCCTTGCCATGTACTATTCTTGTGACCTTCCTTCCACTGACCTAGTAATTGGCTCTCCAAGGTACGTGATCTTGTGGAGGCATCAAAGACACATCGCACATTACAAAACATACTGGATCTCGACGTTGCAAATAATTCAGTGAGAACTCCAGGAAGTCATACACGTAATTTACGCCGAGTTAGGCAGGGTCTTGATCTCATCAGAGCTCTATTTGAGCAGTTCTTGTCTTCTGAGTATGTTCTCTCTCTCTCTCTCTCTCTCTCTCTCTCTCTCTCTCTCTCTCTCTGTTTAATTGCATTTTATTGTTTAATTTGTGGAAGCAAATTCCATTTCTACCAGGGAATTGTTTAATTTGAAGACCTGTTTTTGATTGTATGTTTGTTATGTCTCAGCATCACGTACTTAGAGTTTGAAGTTGGAGGATTCTATAAACCTTTTATGTACTAGTCAACTGGGAAGAGGTTCTTTATCCCTTAAACAGGATTATCCTGAGTTCTCGCGATAGGTTTGTGGCACAGAGCCTTTAGGTTGATCTCAAGAAAAAGTCAGACAAAATTTTCTTCCTCCTTTTTATGAGCATTGAGCAAGGATGTCGTCATAGTTTAACCTAGACTATTTAGCGTAGGAGTTTCCAAAATAAATTCACAAATGAGCTCGAATTCTTCTGGTCGGTAGCTGCTTCTTTCATCACAGAACTCTTGTGGGCAGTCATCTATATTTCTCTGTATATAGGCTTGTTAATGGGAAATTTTGCACACACACATGATTTTCTTACAAAAGCTTTGGAGTGCAGTAGCTCTGATGTTTCTTGGTTCCACAACGTAGAGGAGTTAGCATGGATGATTTATCTGCTAATGATGAAGTTCTAAATGTCCTGCTGGTCTGTTTTTACTATAAATTGTATGTATGTCTACTTAGTAGACTGGGGTTGAAGTCATTTGCTGGTAGCGGTTGCACAGATTCTTCCAAATTGAGCTATGATTTTCACAATGAACGAGTATAAGATGATAAGTAGATAATAATAACCTGTGATCTGAGTTAAGAGAGTCCATTGCCCTAAAGTCAACTTGTCCAATGTTACTATCTCCTGCAGTTGTAATCTGATATATAAGATTGGTTTTGTTCCATAGTAATAGCTTCCTCTCTTTTTCTTGTCCTAGCGATTACTCATTAAAGGATGCGGCTACCACAGCCTATACACAAGTTTGTGCGCCGTTCCACACGTGGGCAATCAGGACAGCTGTTTATGCTGGAATGTATGCTCTTCCATACAGGGATCAACTTCTGCTAAAGCTCAATGAAACTGGTGAGTCCGGATGATACTGCATGCATGTCAGTCATCCTTCTGACTTTCAGCAACTTTTCCGTGTTATTTTCAAACGCTGGCGAGCTATCTTTTAGTTTGATAAACTGTAAGATTGCCAAAATGCCAAAGTTTTGGGGAGTTTTCCAATCGACTGTAAAAACCATTTTCTATTCTGATAGCTTTTATAACTTCTATGTATGATTTTCAAGTATTCTCTGGAAAGCTGATGATTGCTAGTTTACAAGTTAGAAAAACTGCATCGCTTGATTAACTTCTAGTATGTTAAAAATCATAACTTTAGAATGTTAACCCAAAAACGAGAAGGTGGGGATTGAATTGGTTATATAGAATTATAAGAAACTACAGAATATCATTATACATCCATTAACTGTAGGATGTCATTAGACCTCGTAAACTACGTAGATATTTGCTGGAAACCTTTCATGTGTTCGTGTTACATGAGATAATTGCACGAAACGATGGCGTCAATCCTTTTAGCAGATGCAGCAAGTAGTGTCTCGCGACAAGGTTCTTCTGTAAGCAATTCGAAAGCTTTAAACCTTTTCTGGTGCTTTCGTAAAACGACATTATGAGGCAAATTATACATGGGGAACATTTGCAGTTTCTGTCAGGGATCTACTATTTAATTGGGTCGATCGGTCATAAATGATCCTCCTAATTTTGTCCTATAGAGATCTCAAACGTCCAATAATCTCATTGCAGATAAGACGGCCGAGAAGAAGATGAGAAGGTATATCAAGGCCTCGATCCCAGTTATACAGTACATTGATAAGTTATACATATCCAGGAATATTAGCTTGGACTGGTGAACTGATACGCCTCGCTTTCATTCATGTCGATAGCTTTGACCAATCTCTCCTTGTACAGAACAAGACTTTTCAGGCAATTTTGTTGTCTACATCTCTGTCTCCCTTCACTCCCTTCCTTCATGCACCCCCAGCTTACGGTGGGAAAACCTTATCTAGGAGTGAATACCGCAATTGTTCCGCAGCTTCTGCTTCCGTTAGGATGCACTGTGACACGAAGCTATTATGTAGAAGGATAGTCAAGGGATTCTCGGACAAAGTACGAAGTAGTTACAAACACTTGATGAAGGAAGGGATGATTGATAAAATACATGTACCGCCAAAGAGACCAAAAGGAAATAAAAAGTTATAGAAAGCTGTGAATCATTCAATTACTCCATTATTGTTGTAGTACTAGCACTGTGATGGATGATACGCCCATTTGAGTTATTACAAAACAAATCTTCATCAATGTTACCAATCCGTTAGTGCTTGCAAATTTTGTTTTACACAACTACGTTGGATCTTTTAAAAACTGCAGAGTCTTAACACAAGAAGTGTTGCCATTATACCAGATCAATAAAAGGAATTGGAGTTTGCATTCTTCATTCTTCCGTATACTTAAGGACGAAAGACAAACATATTGCCTTATACTTTGTGTTTTGCTAACCAAAATTCTGCTTGAGGTTTCCGCTGGTTTGAAGGGTTTGTACAAACCGACAAGTGATGCACACTTTTGTTTAGAACTCTCTAACTTCATCGATCTACTCGAATTGCAAAAATTCCAGCTGCGATACTAATGTTAACTGTTAAATGGCCTCTTTGGCCATTTTCTTCTCTGGCTTAATGAACAATCTTCAGTCAGAACATCAAAAGTAGACTCAATTTAAGCCATACAGATAGACCCTTATCCATATGCAAATGGTCATTAGGCTGCAGCACTCAGCTGCGACCATACGAGAAATAGTCATATACATTTTCGAAACAACGAGGAGAGGATATGCAACACTCAGCTCAAAACTTCAGCGAAGTTTATTACCCTCTTTCAAAATCTATCACAGTTCGGTATGAGTTCCTCACAAATTAGAGAAAAAAAATGAAAATACATGACAAAAAGTGACAGCGCAAGCAAGAGCTGCATCCAAAGAATATGGCTTGGACAATCCTGTCCCAACTGAAACAAACCTCATTACAATGTAAGGCTTTCGGGATTCTCGACAATCTTTGAGAAGGTCTGGAGGAAGGCGGCCAAGTCAGCACCATAGACGATCCTGTGATCTGCCGTAACATTCACCTGAAATTTGTTTCCCACAGTTAGAAGTTTCTGCGCTAGATTAAATTAGTTAAGCTCCGCAAAGGTAGCTTTCTCACCAGTCAATTTAATGAAAATTACGTGTTAGCACGATCAAGATCATGAAAAAAAACTCGAAATGCCAAAATGGCAAGCTGAGATCATGATGAAATGCAAAGTTAAATAACAATTTGCCATAAAAAAAAGTTCTGTGATGGTAGCATAATTAGGATTATAAAAACACAAATGCAGCTTTTCAGATATAAGTGTCAGCAATGCAGTAGGTGAAACAGAATCAAGAAACTTAAAATCTCTCACAGATTTTACAGCCAGTCTTGCACGGTCTTTGGAAGAACTCTAAATGGTTACACTGAATCTGTTTCTTTTTCTTCCTCTTTTTAACACTGAAGATGTGGAAACACCCTTTTTTGTGCTTTAACAATTTTTAGTCCTCGAGAAGACACAATTTTCATTCTGAAGTCAAAATCATCCTCTTCACACAATAAATTTCTTCAATGACGTCCCACACCGAAAAAGGGAAGAACTTATCGGATCAACATAGGCTATCTTGACCAAAAACCTTATAAACAGAGGAGCCAGAAAACACTAAAATGTACACCATGATCTCCAATCGGGCCTTACAGAGCTTGGCAAAGAGCTTCATTCTGGACTCAAAATCTCTCTCTCTCTCTCTCTCTCTCTCTCTCTCTCTCTCTCTCTCTCTCTCTCCCTCCTCCCTCCCTCCCTCTCTCTCTAGGGTGAAGCTCTATGGAACTCAAATCGAGCCTTACAGAGCATAGCAAGGAGCACAATAAGATTAAGTTTGTTTGATAACCTTTAATAAAATTGACAAAATGATTCAATTAAGTCAAATATCCACTTAATCTAGTAAGTAAGGGGGGGTTACTTAGTTCATTTAATTAAGATAATTGATGATAATTATAATCTTGCCAAATATATTGACAAAACCTTTCAATGATGGTTTTTTTTCCTGATAAGAGATTAATAAAATTCAGCTATCTATTTTTAATTATCATCAAACAACTTTTTAATTCTATTTTCAGCACTAAAGGTAATCAACACAGAATTCAGTTCATATATTTTCAACACAATTTTCAATTTTACCAAACAGGTTCTAAGAGTAAGGACATTTAAGTGCTGATCATTATAGTGATCATATAGACATAACACAAGCAGTTATTATATTGAAACTCGAACTGTGAATCTTAATCTGTTTGTACATGACAAATTAGGACAGCACCCATATCCAGTCTATAATGTGGGACATCCTAGACAAATATAAAATTTGGAAAGAATAATGCAGAAGATAAATTATGGATCAACTTTACATACGGGATTACAACAGGCAGTAGGAACAAATTTTTTTGGAGACAAGAAGCAAGCCATGTCTATTTATCGATATCATCCATTGAATTATACCTTTCTTTTCTCTCTGACATATTGAGATGGTATGTGGCTCCAAAAAGAGATTGGCATTTTAGATCCATTCCTATTTGCTTCCAACTAAGTTATCATCCTGGTATTTGCTAACGAAGATTTTCTCAAAATTTTCAATTTCAGAGTAAAAATTGAAAAATGGAGATGAGAAATCCTCAACTCCCAATAGTCTTACAAAGGCAACTATAGCAGGTGTATTAGCGAGTCAATGAGGATTCCAATTCTATATCATTTGAAAACTAATTTTCAATGCTTGATGTATAATCATGCCTCATGCCGTATAGGAATGCTTATTAATCACAAATATGCTCGCTCTAGTAGGGATACCGAGCCTTCATTACATAATACACTGGATAGTTTGGAAGATTGCAGGGAAGATGCGAAAACTCACCAGCATTTTACTTTTGACACTGAAGAATCCATCTGCATCAGCTACAACAGTTGGCTTTGATGCTCCCACAGCCATGATGGCCCCCTAAATATAAGGAAAAATTTCACCAGACAGCTAAGAAGCTTCTCACAACTTCAATAAAATCCTCGGCTCAGTAAAGTTGGAAATCGTGACCATGTGACTCACCTGGCCTGGAGGAAGAATTGCATCAAATCTGTCCACTCCAAACATGCCCAGGTTGGAAAGAGTAAATGTGCCTAAAACATTCGACCAAACAGAAAAACCATAGTCCTGATTCTTGAAGAATAACGACTTAAACAAACCCAAGTATCAGAGTTGCATGTATAGAACTGAGAAACAAAAGACAGATTGAATGGTGAAACCTGAGTTATATTCATGTGGCTGAAGTTGCTTTGAGCGGGCTTTCTCCACCAGCTCTTTCCATTTTTGAGACAGCAAGTAAAGATCCAACTGTACCAGATATTACAAAATAAAACCAAAATTATTATGTGAAAATTGAACACATCAAATCAATCCATTTGCTTTTCATTTTATTAAGAGGAACAAAGGCACAGCACGCTCGAGAAATCAAACCTTATCTGCATCCTGAAGCACAGGTGTGATCAACCCACCGTTAATGGCCACTGCAACAGCAATGTTAACGTTGCTATTGTAAGTAAAGCTCTTCCCGTCTTTGCAACTGGCATTCACAACTGGATGCTGAACAAGTGCCATTGCGGCAGCCTTTGCCAATATAGCGGTCATGGTCACACCCTTTGGTTTCACCTAAATATTTAGATGGAACAACGGATTTATACCCATAAAAAGCAACTATCGAGCGGGTGGACTATCTTACCAAATGTCAATGGGTATAAAATTAGATCAAGATTGACACACCCTAACAGAAGAATACATACTTATACACTTCGTTAACAATCTCTGCAACTATATTCCTCATCAAATCATGAACCAGAAATAGCATACTGAAGGCTGCGGATTGAGCGCAGAATCTACCTTCAAATAGAGAGCATCGAGCGCATCAGTCGTCACTGGGTATCCGACTCTAAAAGTCGGTACCGAGAGACTCTCCAGCATGTTCTTCGACACCGCAGCCTGCATTGTGGTGAATGGCACCACTGTAGATCCCGGAAGTGGAGGCGGAGCCGGGGCAGCAGATTTTGGTGGAGCAGCAGCAGCAGCTGGAGCTGGCTCTGCTGCAACCGCTGGAGAGGCAGTAACCGCAACAGCCGGCTTGAAAGACGGCTGGATTCCGGCAGCCGCTTCCACGTCTGCCGGCGTAATCCTCCCGTACGGACCGGTACCTGCCGCCGCACATGATCAGCCACACTCAATCGTGCCAATTACCGTGCCAATGACAATTGACAATTCAATCGATGATCTAGCCAATATCGGCTCACTCTGCTTAATGATGCCATGCAGCACATTCTATGGTTTTATGATTATGCGACAACGTGGAATTCAACAGAATTCTTACCTGTCACCTTGTTAATGTCCACCTTGTGCTGCTTGGCGAGCTTCTTCGCAGAGGGAGTCGCCACGATCTGCCCTGGCACACCCACCGGAGCAGCCGGCTGCGGCGGGGGCTGAGCAATCGCCGGGGCAGGATTCGAGGTGACGGCGGGGGTCTCAGCCGCCGGGGGGGCGGGAGGAGGAGACGAAGGAGAGCCCGACTTGGCGGCGGCCTTGGCCTTGGCCTCGGCGACCTCGTCCTCGGTCTCGGCCAAGAGGCCAATGGGGGACCCCACGGGGGCGCTCTCGCCCTCGGGGACGACGATGGCGGCGAGGATGCCGTCGTAGAAGGTCTCGACGTCCATGTCGGCCTTGTCGGACTCGACGACCACCACGCTCTCGCCCTTGGACAGGACGTCGCCCTCGGACTTGACCCAGGAGACGATCTTGCCCTCGGTCATGGTGGAGCTGAGGGCGGGCATGAAGATCTCCCGGATCTTGGACTGCACGGAGAGGGATCTCCGCCCCCGCCGGCCGCCGCGGGGGAACGCGGAGGAGGGGCGCCGGGGGAGAGGGGCGGCGGAGAGGGAGGAGGAGAAGGAGATGGAGGCGGCGGGATTGGCGGCGGTGGAGGAGGAGGGAGAGAGAAGGGAGGAAGACGCCATTGTTGTGGGAAGAGAGAGAGGAATGGAGGTGAAGCGGAGGGGGAGATATATGTAGAGAGGGAAGGGGCGGAGAAGACGAGGAGGAGGTTGGTTGGAACTTTGGGAATTGGGCAGAGGCAAATTGGAGCTACATCACTCTCTGTTTCCATCGCCATTAACGAAACATCATGCGCAGGGGGGGGGGGGGGGGGAGGGGACGCACAGAGCGAAGCTTGGAAATTTCAGTTCGGGCTGACTTGGGCCAGGCCCATGTTTTGCCATTGCTTGAGGCTAGGGATGTTACATGGGCCGGATCGAAATGTCCGGATCGGTGATCTCTCGGCCCGGCCTTATGAGGCCCATACCTGATGAGGCGTCGTCTCGTTCTGGGCTGGTCTGGGCCAAGCCCGAACCCGCTAGAAATACCCTCTAGCGAGCCTCTCTATCCGGCCACATTTTTCCCTCCCAAAAGACTCTCCCGATTTTTTTTCTAATGAGGCGGGAAGGAGCGAACGGCGACAAAGCGCTACTCCGAACGTTGCTATAAGGGCTTCACACCCACTAGAAAATAGGCGGAGTGTGACATAGCTACCTAGTACCTCCGAAAGTGCAAAAGTCTTGAGATTGGCGAGCTCATCGCCAAAACTCTATCGAGATGCTAACAGCTAGAAAGTCTCTCTACACGAGACGTACCGCAACCACACGACACTACACGAGCAACTCAGAGGTTCTTTCGCTGCGCAAGTCGAATTTGTCCCCTCATAGAAGACGACTAATCAATACCACTAGGCCGATCGCCTCGATAGGGTGAACACAATGGACTATATTACTAGGTAAATGAGTCTTGTTTCAAAGTTTAAACAATTGATATAACACTCTAATGCTACTCTAATTCCATCTCGTGACGCGTAAGTTTTAGCTAGTAGCAATCTCGAAGCTTTTCCAATGTCTTGAGGGAAAACCCTTCACCTAGTTTCTGCCACAGTCGCGGACCACTCCTCCTATTCCAACAGTTTCTTGCTTCTCATCCACAGCTCCATCTCTATTCAACTTGTGCCATCCATCTTCAGGTTCTTGCCGAGATAGGCTATAATTAGCGCCCTTCTTTGGATGTTTATTCCCTGCGCAAATAGCTGTAAATTCTGTAGCTTTAACAAAACAGAAGTTCGCAAGATTTAAAGGCAAAGATACAGGATCACGAACAGCTCCGTTAAGTAGGATCCAAAGGCCCCAAAGAGTCATGAGGAACACAGAATTTTAGGGAACATCTCCATTAATATTCCCCTCCCTTGTAAGTTCCATAGCGACGCACCCAACTTTCCAGATCCATTGGAGAAAGTAGCGCGATGTTCTGGTGGAATCTAAAGGCTGCTCCGTAATCTTTTTGGCCTCACTACACTCTCAGGATACGCAAAATGTCTTCCTCAACCTGGCTGCATTGCGCACAATAAGAATTGACATTATGCCCTCCATCGTCGAGGGCTTTGTTGACAGCGAAAAACTTGTATGGCTTGCTTACAATTCTGGAGGGTTTATATTACGGTGATGCGTATAACTTGATATTGAGTGCTTAACTATTTACTGCAAAAGCTTGAGCTAGAGTGTAACGTTGGACAAATTTTTCACTTCACGCATCAGCCAATTTGATGATGAAGGTCTTGAGCATGCATGGATCCCCTTATATGTAAACATCACAAATGGACGAAAAGGGTGCAAAAAATCGAGCTCGAATTTTTGGCTCTGATACCAACCTGAAATTGAATACATAATTGCATGATCCAAATTTTAAACTAATCACCATATAACGTGTTCATATATAGTTTAATTCATCTAATAGCTCGAGTTTCGATTTTTTATAACTTGCTCATCGTATACTACCATTATCTATCTGTTACCTCATGTCCTGGCCTTGGGCTCTAATTGGAAACGCCCCTCATGATCTGTCTCGGCCTGTCACGCATACAATTGGGGGTCACTTGCAATTGCATGTGGCACTTGGCTCTACCTTCCATGGCGTGTCTAAAGCAAAATTTCAGAGAAGTAAAAAAACACATCATCTCCCACTTTATGGTGATCAGGTTTGTCATCAACTAACATCGCGCACTAAAAATTTATCCAGAAGATGTATTAACTAACTAATTAATTAGTTTTTTTTTTTTTTTTGGTCAGCTTTAATTAGTTAATTAAGCATTTTCAAGGGTCATGTGGGGGGGGCGGGGGGGGGGGGGGAGGTGTGGGGAGAAGGTGGGGGTTCGGACCGGCCAACCACGTTAAACAAGTTCTTTTTTTTTTTTTTTTTTTTTTTTTTTTTTTTTTGGGGAGAAGGTGGGGGTTCGGACCGGCCAACCACGTTAAAAAAGAACTTGTCTGTTTCCAGTTTCGAGCATCCTGGGCTGAGCATCTTCGGCTCTGAGTGTTGCAGGTGAATGGATAGATCATGGGTTTCTGTGTCGTGGGTGATGTACTACTGATGTGTATGGATATGAATCCTATGTTGCCGAGGTAGAAAAATTAGGCAAAAGTACAAGGAACCAACCATCCTCGACTCGAGTTTCAAAGCGGGACCCTTGTGTATTTAGGATCCGATGGTGCGTAGGCCTTGGGACTTTTCGCCTCGATGCGACTTATCGTTGAGTTTTATTCCTCCCCTTTGCTGCTAATCAGATTAATGGGTTTAATCCATTTTGCTTCACATCTGGCCATCTCCTCCTGCTTACTGCTCATCCCCGACTCGAGTTTCAAAGCGGGACCCTTGTGTTTTTAGGATCCGATGGTGCGTAGGCCTTAGGACTTTTCGCCTCGATGCGACTTGTCGTTGAGTTTTATTCCTCCCCTTTGCTGCTAACCATTCACGGATTAATGGGTTTAATCCATTTTGCTTCACATCTGGCCATCACCTCCTGCTCACTGCTCAGTAGATAGCAGCAACAAAGGACAAAGAAACAACAGTGAAAATCTGCCACAAAACTACAAAGATGGACCATCATTTCACCACTTTGCTTTTGTTGTTGGTGGCTTTGTTTGCTTGAAAGTCCGCGTCTTCAGCAACCTTGATGAGGTGATTATGTGGCTTCATGAATTGCACCGAAAACCTCGGGCTTGGAATCTGATACTGTGGAAAGATGTAACCGTGATTGTGGAGATTTAATGTTGGATATAAAAGAACCTGATTACGAAATGATGAGAAATCATTAACCAATCCTAAACAAAGAGTTGTATCACTGTCGAAATTAATTATTGCGTCTATTTTGATGCACAAACTTTTCAAAAGATTGTGTAAATAGTGCCACTTATAAGAAACAATCATTTAAGTGGCTCATACGATCTAACTTTATCAAAAAAATATTAGGTAGGTCAGTCTTGTCATATAGGGATAAGGCACTCTACTCATTAATCACCACGTGTCCGAGCAGGGCCCCACATTTCAAATTTTGTCTCTTCATCTCTCTCTCTCTCTCGTCCTCTCTCTCCCACTCGCCTCCTCGTCCTCCTATCCGCTTCTTATTCTTCTTCTCCGTGCAAGCAATGTCCCCTTCCACATCGACTGCGGCTCTGCCACCAACTCCACCAACACCTTCAACACCACATTGCTGTCCAATTGCTTTCTCACTAGCGACTCCTCCTCCATCTTCAGTCCACTCATTGATTTTTTGCTCGGCAACGATCCTTGCCTGTGGCCGATCACCGATGAAGAAAGACAAAGAGACTCACCAGTGGAGCCTACCTAGACACGTGACAAGCGTTGAATTAAGTATCCCATTACACATATGGCAAGACTGGCCTACTTAATATTCATTCCGATTTTTTTCACCTACCAACCTTAACTTTGCATTTGCCTCTTCTTTGATTTTGGTCTATTTGAGATTAAACAAAGAAGTTCGAAGCCTTTGTTAAGGTAGATTGCAATGCTAGAGCATCTTTGAGAACCATTTTAACCTGACTTTATCAACTTGTGGAAAATTGGTGCATTCAAAGACGTTGGGTACCAATCAATTTAGTGCCAAATTTTTTTGAAGGATCACTTCGGTGCTAATTTTTTTATTCAAACCATTCACTTAAATGACTCCGATGAGCTTGTATTAACATAGTGATAGTTGGATTTTCCGACAAATTAGGTTGCCGGATCACATCATAAATTACTTTTTAAAAATAGTGGTACTTAAATGATTGCTTGAACGGTTTGGCACCAATATGACCGCTATATCATAATTTTTTGCATTGATATTGTCATTATCCCCTTAAATAAGTGAACCGCATGGAGACACCTAAATAAAAATCATATCACATTGCTTGCTGTGTTTCTTTTTATTGCGGGGGACTCATGTGCGCAGGGAGATTTATTAAGCATGCTTAATAGAAAAATACTTGATTATTATAATATTAAGTACACCTATTATGACACATATATTGTATTTTTTCCATTTAGGTAATTGACATTTGTTGAGGAATAATGAAACAAACAGTCCTGAACTTTGGCCTAATATGCAATGTGGTCCATAAACTTTTAATTTGTTCAATGTTGTCCCTGAACTTTAGGCTAATGTTCAATGTGGTCTATGAACTTTTAATTTGTTCAATGTGGTTCCTGGAATTTTGGTATATATTTAATGTAGTCCTTAAACTGTATGAAAATGTTCGCTGTAGTCCCTGGACTTGAATTAATTCAATGACTGTATTGAATATTTTCATATAGTTCATGGATTAAATTGAACACGTACCAAAAGTTAAGGGAGAACATTGAATAAATTAAAAGTTCAGGTACCACATTGCATATTGGGTTAAAGTTCGAGGACCACAATGAACATATTAAAAGTTCGGGTGCTATATTGCACATTGAGCTAAAATTCAACGACTGTTTGTATCATGTTTCCTTTGTTAACAACACTCCGTTATATAAATCTAATTCTAATTAGGTAAACATCGTGGCAAGAAAAGGGGTTTGGTGGGGGGGGGGGGGGGGCTAAGAAAGGTAAGAGCAGCAAACATCTTTGTCAACCTCAGCACAAAAAAGCCTTTTTCACTTTACTACCATGCTGTACTCCGGCTCCGAAGCATGTCGTAATCCCTCTGTCCCTCTGTCCGTCTCTCTCCTTCCTCCCTGTTCTCCAACATTGGGAAGCATCTAAAATAAGGAGGAAGAAGAAGAAGATAAGAGTTCCATCAGAGCAGGAGGGTACGCCTGGTCCCGAATCGTTTTCACTTGCTCCTCACTCCCCTGCTCAGAAAAGCCCTGCTCACTTGCTTCTCTCTCTGTCATGCCGTCATGAACTCTTCACCTTCCTCCTTTCTCTTTTTCTGAAGCAGAATAAGATGGCCTTTCGGTGTTAATTGTACGAAGCCCGTTTAAAATAGCCGAAGCCGAAAAGCATGGCTTTTGGGGACGACGATGATCTGCCTAACGAGGCGGTACAAATAAGGAGGGCCGACCATTCAAAGCAGAGCATCGGCTCACCCAACGTCACCAAGACCAGCCTGGCCTCCATCGAGTCCTTGACCATGCCTCTTGTCTGTACTCTCTCTCTCTCTCTCTCTCTCTCTCTCTCTCTCTCTCTCTCTCGGTTGGGGTGTGTTTGGTTATTAGGCGATCCTGTTCAGACGAAGAGGACTAATTACAGAAATGGGGTGAATGTTTGGGGGACTGCAGATGCAGGAGGTGGTTCTGTCAGCTGATATACGATGTGTAGAGTGCCAAAAGCGAGTTGCCGATGTTATGTCTCGCATGACTGGTAACAACAAAGATCCTTTCTTTTACCTTGAACCATCTTGTTCTCTGTTTTCTTGTACCCGAACGAGTTCCTTTTCCAGTTCCTTTTGGAGTTGAGTTCAGAATTTTTCCTGTCTCTGGTTATTTGATGAACTAAATTAAGGTACTTGTCTTAGGATACAAATCCTACGGCCCATCACTACATATATTGACTCGTTCAAGGTGGGAACTTGGACTTGTTGCGTGATCCTTTACGATCTAGTAGAATCAGTCTAACCGAAGCAATTGACTCCATGAAATAAAACAATGTTACTTTCAAGAAAGCTTCTTTCACATGGAAAGTCTCAGGAATGATTTTCTGAGATTACAAGCAGATATTCTTCATTGACCTGGCAAATATACCTGCGAACCTTGTATTGTTTATCAAACTTCAGCAAACGCTGATGGCGCAAACAGTTTGGGAAGGATATGCTTTAACCTTATTTCCTTAGTTTCCGATACCAAACTCCTGCTCGACCCCTAAATTTGCAGAAGAGCTCTGCTCAAAATACTGCTAGAACGTGGAAGCACTATAATCCAGTACGGCCAAAGTGCTATTGTCCGCATATACCTTTTGGTTTTTTCTTTTGCCAACATGGACCCGGATGGACATGGTCCAGGCAAGTACTTGCCTCAGCCATGTGAGTTTTCCTTTTTATCAATCTGTTATTACATATTAAGATAAGCTGAGATAGAACAAGCACCCTTGTTTAATTATCGAAATCATTCGGGTCAAAAATAGAAAATCATTTTCTTTGCTGCATAAGAGTATATTGCCGTAGGGTATAGATAGGCCACTCCTTTACATATTACATAATGCGATAAACTCTTATTGGATGTTGAATATGATTTGCTTATTCAAATTCTTATTTTGTGGTCCGGCTTGCCGCATATTATATCAATTTTATGGATTATTTTGATTACACCTAACATTAATATCCTTCAGATCTTGAGTGCGTACTTTATCTTTCCCTGTTCGTGATCTTGCTCATGATTATTAGACCACCGTTTTGCTTAATCTTCAATGATGAATTCCACGCAACAGGCTCCCCCAAGTCCGCATCTTTTGCGGTCCTCAAGGGGCATCGATTAGAGTTTCAGTGCCGTGCGCTTTGGCAAAAAAGTTCCCATTTGAAATCATCGACCGCATTACCTTTTAATCTTTTGACTGTTATACTCCTCGGATCTCTTCGTTCGCATCATTTGCGTTGTCGTATGCAGTGCTGTCTCGTCGGCCCCAGATGGTATGACAATGTTGAGGTTTTGTCAATTCATGGTGTCTGCAGAAACAGAGTCCGTCGTGGTGAATGTGCTGGAGAAGAAGGTGACCCTCTCCTGTAAATATCCCAACAACCAAAATGGCGTCAACGGTCCCCGACGGCCGCAGGTCCCCGTCGTTTACCGAAACCCTCTCAGGCTCAACAAGGTCGCCACGATCAAACGGCTCTTTCGTTTCTCCTCCAGCTGAATGTACAGATCGAGATCATTGGTCACCATGTCCTGAGTTGTCGAATTAAACACAGATGCATGAATCACAGGGTCAATTTTGTTTGAGAGATCACGGTGTTGTTCTTGTGAGTCAAGTTTCGCCTTCTGTAAATTTTTGAGTGTGGAAATGCAAGTTTGACACATAGCCATTCGATCCCCTATAGACATGACCAAGTTCGAGCATGAATACTTTTCAGACAGGGCGCAGGAGAAGGCGGTTCGACTGAAAGAAAAACCGGAACGGGGTAAGCTCTCGGCCCCGGTCAGCTCGAACCAGCCCCATCGGCCGAGCGCGACGGAGAGATGATTTCTCTTTCACATCTAGAGAATGCATTAGCCTGGTGCTGTCAAACATCAAAACTGTCCCCGTCCAATAAGCTGAATCGCAGTCCCAATCGACGAAACTTGGAGGAGGTCTTTGAGCTCTGCCCTCCATTTTCAACAATCCCGGCATTAGGAAAGATTAATGGAAGCCCTCACGAAACTTCCTGGACATGGCGTTTCAACGGCATCAAACGTCCAACTCTGAACGAGTCGTCATCTTCTTGCAACGCTTCTTTTTCTTCTTTTCACTTCAGAACGTTCTCTCTACAGCAAGCAAACAGCACCGGCCCGAGTTGAGCCGAAACCCAACGCACATGGATGGTCGGTTTAGACCGACGTCGCCAAGAGTGAGGGCCAATCATCATACGCCGCTCCATTATTAATCTGGAAGTTTAAGCTTTCGAAATATATGATTAGGCACTTAACTTCAGTAAGAAATGAAACTCTAAAGTGTTGGAAAATTATGGTTCAGTTTTGAAAAATGTTTTCCAAACCATTCATGTTTTTCGCGAAACAAACGGAATTGGGTGTCATGGAACTGATGCCAATTATGTTTATTAACCATAAACCATGACAACCATAAATATTCGAGATAATTAATTTGCTGCAATTTGAGCTTCAGCCGAATTACAATAAGGCCCCATACGTTTACGATCTACTTCGCAACCTTGCGCTGGAAATTGTCGGGTTCTGAAAAAGTCAATGAACTGCTTACATTGATTTCCTGTCTGTGTTCTAGCCCAAGTGGGGCAAGGCTTGAAAATGCCGGTGTGGATTAATCACAATCTATATTTGAAAGAGTCTGCAATGACCTTGGTCTTAACAACTTACAGGAAACATGTGCATATCCAAATTTTACTGAGTCCATCCACAAATTCGACGACCACCACTTTAAAGGCACAGGCTAATATCACAGAAAATCCCAAATTAACAAATTCGTGTAACACTTATCCCAAATTAATTTTCCCGTCACAAAAATCCGTGACAATGATACCTTTATTAGCTTATGTCCAATTTCCCCATTAAATTGCTAATATGGAAAACATGTGACAAACATCTCGGATGATGGGCGTCCGACGTGTATCTGACGTGGCAAATTAAAAAAAAAAAGATATCCTAAAAGATATCATTTTGGCGAAGACAGGTATGAAGAAAATGAATAAACATCGAAAAATCCACTAATTTTGACTTAAAAGCGTCCTCTCGTTTCTAAATTCCGCTGAAAATCCTATTTTTTTTCCCAATTTTAAATATGATCTTTCTGTGACACGAAAATCAGTTTGAGGGTAAATAATGCTGCACGGGGCGTATCCGTTCGGGGTTTTCTGTGAGTCGAAAATCGATTCGGGCGTGACGCGATTGTATCGGTTTGAGTTTTCCCGACGGTATTAATATAGAAAAAAAAAACAAAAAAAAAAAGAAGGAGAGCGCGCGTACCAAAATAGGGAAGGACAGGACGAAAATTAGATAGCGCCTGTACTGTACCTCTAGGGCAATTAAGGCGCGCGACAGGGACGTGCTTGCAAGATTGTGGGACTAAAAGGAAACGAAGACCTCGCTTCGTCGAAGGAGGAGGTGGAGGATGGCGGGGTCAAACTCCAACCGCGTAAAGCACAGTTTTTTTTTTTCCCTTCTTTGGCCCAGCCAAACACTTAGCTCCTAAGGAAAAACAATCCATCTCCACCCCCGAAAAGACGCTCTCTGCCTTCGCCTTCGTCATCACATAAAAAAGGCGAAACCAAGCCTTCGCTTGCTCGTTCTCTTGTGCATAAAAGAACCGGCGCATTCACGTACATACTCTCTCTCTCTCTCTCTCTCCCCCCCTTTCTCTCTCTTCTCTGTCTGCCTGCCTGCCTGCCTGCTCTCGAGCGCGTTACGTCACCCCCGGGAGCCGACGACAGATGGGGAGGAAGCTGGATCGGTTCCTGGGTCGAGCCCACCGGGCGCCCAAGTTCAAGCCCCTCGTCAGCCTCGCCGTCTCCCGCCTCGCCGTCCTCAGGACCCAGCGCCAGTCTCGCCTCTCCCAGTCCCGCCACGACGTCCTCCAGCTCCTCCAGCTCGGCCGCCACGAGCGTGCTCTCCTTCGGGTAACGTCGACGACCCCTCCTGTGATCCGATCGTGGGTCCGTGTGTTCGGTTCTTCGTGCATCGTCTAGAAGTTCATTGCACCCCTTTTGTTTTTTTTTTTTTACATATAACAGGTGGAGCAAGTGATCAAGGAGCAGAACATGTTGGACGCCTACGACATGATGGAGAGCTACTGCAATCTCTTGATGGAGAGGGCCGACCTCATCGAACAAGAGAAGTACGCGTCTCGATTCGTTTCTTTGTTTTCCCTCCTCCGTGCCTTTTCCCTTGTTTTTATGGGCGACCAAGCTCTTGGCGATTTCTTACCCCTTTTCGACATTGACCGGAACTGCGCAGAGAATGTCCTGAGGAGTTGAAGGAGGCGATATCGAGCTTGATCTACGCATCTTCGAGGTGCGGAGACTTTCCGGAGCTCCAAGAGATTCGCACCGTTTTCGCTTCGCACTTCGGCAGGGAGTTCGTGGCTCGTGCGGTCGAACTGCGGAACCATTGTGCCGTGAATCTTAAGGTACATCGCTTGGTTTTCTACTCTGAATCTACTGCACATTAATGATCTGATCATGGTAGGAAATGATAGACACCGAAGAGTTAAGATTGGCCAGAAGTTCATGTTCGCCTTATGTAATTTTGCTGTTTTCTTTGGCCAAATGTATAATTTTTCTATTCAATAGCAAATACTAGGAGCTTCATTCGATTTTGAAATGGAACAAGTGCCATCGAAAGTCCTAAAACTTATATTGAGGCCTAAAACTTTAAAAAAGTACAATCAAGTTCTAAATTTGTCAAGTTTGTGCAATCGAAGTCCTAAAATTTACATTTATTTTTTGTTTATTAAGTTGAGCGGAGTTTATGGAAGAATTTGACAGCACTTTTTAAAAGTTTTAGCCTCAACTGCACTTTCGCGACAAGTTTTAAGACTTCCAGTGCATTTATCGCTTTTAAAATTGCAGTTTGTTTTCAATTGAGTCAGTGAATTGATCTTCACTAGAAACACTAGTACTATAGCAAGTTCCTTTTTAGTGGTTTAGTGTGAGCTTAGCTGGTGTTGTCTTCACTTTTCAAGTTGGATCGTGTGCTACATTAAAAGTCTTTGTGATTTTCGACACCCCGTCATCTATTACATTCGTGAATAACAAAAACATGGGGTTCCTGCAGATGATAACGAAGCTGTCGACAAGGCAGCCAAACTTAGAGAGCAAAGTGAAGGCGCTGAAAGAAATCGCAGCTGAGAATGGCATCACGCTGCATCTGGAGGATGATCCTTCCGGTACTTCCGAGGTACGACGTGTTCAAGAGAACGTGCTCTCTCATTCAAAGAGTCGACGCAAAATACGATTCCTAAGTAGCTGACGTGTTTCCATGATCAATGCAGGATAAAACACCTCTCGACAAGAAGCCAGAGCTTGCGGAGGGATCGCAGAGTTCATCTCCAGGAGGGAAAGAAGGCTCGTCTTCTGATTCCTTCCAGATGAAGAAGAAGTACAAGGATGTGGCTGATGCAGCTCAGGCTGCTTTTGAATCAGCTGCTCACGCAGCGGCTGCTGCAAGAGCAGCGGTTGAACTCTCTCGGTCTGGATCCCACGATCCAGACGATCACGACGGTCCCGATACCCAAAAGGCAAAATCATTCCACAAGGTCGAGTCCACGAATAAATCGGAAGCGCAAGGAGGAGCAGTGGACGATGAGCACCCAGTTCCAGACACGCTGCCTCTCAGCGTAAATGCAGGAGAATTGAAGCGATCGATTTCTTCTTCGAGTTCAAAGTTGGAGGAAATTGATGCGACTTCCGTGGAAGAGACGAGCCACGCGAAGGTGGTGATCTTTGATGAGAGCGAAGATGAGAGAGAAGATGAAGGACGCGCTTATGCTGGACTGCCAAACCAGGACGATGGCAAGTCCAAAGACGGCGGTAAAGTTGAAGCTACTCCCCGTCTCTCATCTCAGAAGCAAATCCGTTCGAGGTTCCAGGGTGGTACGAAGGTGGATATGGACCCTGGTCTCGCCACGGTACATGCTGCCGAAGCATCTAAGATGCGAACTGCACGATTGAACTTGGAAGGGAGACCATTCTCAGTCAGGAGCAGACAAGTCCGTGGCTACTGAGAAGATTGGGCGCGCCGTGTTGCGAGTATGTGTAGCCATGACGAGACCATTCTTTTCTTTTGTTTTCTTCTCTTTCTGCCCGTTTTTTCCATTATAAATTGCAGTTGATGTAAAGCAATTTTTTTTGCTCTACATGCTATTTGAGTTTTGAAAGTTTTGAAATGTATTGGCTCTTGTCGTAAAAATAAGCCAACGCTTTAAACAATTCTTGTGATCTTATTGTGAGTATGTTTCTGTGATCTCGTAGCATTCCGCTTTAGTAAATTTTCCTTTTCCTTCTGCACAAAAAGAGGGCTCTGTCATAATTCATAGGGGTGATCGGTTCTCGGTCCGGTCCGATTTCAAGGTGGAACCGGGAACTGGACCGAGAGAACCGGTTCCCAATTTTGGGAACCGCGGACCGGACCGGTTGGTTCTAGGACCGGGAACCGGACCGGATCGCCGGTCTGGTCCGATCCAATGGAACCGGTCATTTAGAGTTTAGTTTTTTTTTTTTTGGTTAAACACTTAAGGTTTGGTTTACATTTTACTAATTTTTGTCAATGAATTTATGTTAATGAAGTTCACTTTGGGTTTAATTCAGATTTTACTGATTTTTATCAATGAATTTATGATAATGAAGTTCACTTAGAGTTTAATTCACATTTTATTAATTTATTAAAAAAAAATAACAAAAATATATATTAAATAGTCGGTACGGTCCGGTCGGTCCTGTCCAGTCTGGTTCCCCCTTAGAACTGGGAACCGGACCGCCCGGAAACCGGTTCCGCTTTTAGGAACCGGGAACCGGACCGATAGTCCCAAGAACCGGACCAAACCCGTCGGTCCGGTCCGGTCCCGGTTTGGGCGGTCCAAGTTGCTCACCCCTAATAATTCATAGATGCTCGGGCCAACTTCCAAGCCAGAGTTTCCTGCACTAAACAGCTCATCTGGCTGCAGAATTGGAATAAGGCCCTAATATGATAATTAGGGTTGTAATATACTAACTGTTACGCTATAATGTGATAGATTGTAATAACTATTACACTATCTGGTTTAAGTAATATAGTAAATATTACAACGATTTGATTTTATGAATGACCAAGATAAGAATTCCCAAAATACCCTAAAAATCAAGAATTACAGGAAATATAATAATAATCATTTTATAGTTAATTGCGATTATTCATGAGTTTAAAACCCCACATTTACTGTTAAATATATAATTTAATTTATTATATATTTAATTTATTTTAATTGTTTATTTATTATTACAATTAAAAGTTAGGCAAATTACATGTGATTGTATCGAAATAAATTATTAAATTATAATAATAGTAACTTTAATAGCTAATCACGAGTCCAATATCACACATATATGATCAAGATGTTCAATATATGAGTTTTTATCTATTATTTAATTTAATTAAGGTTTGAATTTAATCATATACTACGTGACTATATTAAAATAATTATAATTTATAACATAATTAGTAGTATGATTCAAATAATAATTGTAGAACATTTTGTGCATTGATCAATATAATTAGTCATTAAGATAGTCATTATCTATGGTATGTCATTTTAAAAAATTTATGAAACTAATACTATAACCATATCATGAATAATTTTTTATATAATAAATAATTATGTAAGCAAATTATTATTTCGTGGATTATTTACTTATTTACACCCGGGGAGACGGGAGAGGCTATGTTATAGCTATTACAGCTTTGGCTGCAAGCTGTTATAGGGATTTACGCCTTAATAGCTATTACTGCATACATCAATAACGCAGAACAGGGCCATCGACTATTTTCTCATGATTAAAACATGATATAGACCTAAAATCCTGGTCTTTCTAAGTCATTGATGCTCCCCTGATTATACTGTCACAGGCTCAATGAAGTATTTTCCAAAGCGTCATATATATATGTACACTCATTAATTGAACATAGAAGAGAATAGCTTCGGATGGTCAAAGCATGGAATAGTTTACACATATCGGCATCGGTATTTCTCTGAGGATGCAGAGCAATGTATACCCCAAGTTGCCATCAGAGAGAGACGCCAACCGGTTACTCGCTTCTAGGCCGCTTCTTGCCGTTTTGCTGTAAGTTGCAGAGAGACTGCAAACAGACACCGACATCTTCATCATACTCAAGTCCAAGTTCCTCCTGTAAGAACACTAGCATGTTTAGACTGCAGACTTGATTACACCCTCAGAAGTATGTTCTAGAGGTTAAATTAAAGCAGAGAACCTTAAATTCTTTCAGATCCTTGGGTGAGTTCTCAGTTATTGTGTCCCATAGATCTTTGAACATCCTCTTACGCCTTCTCCACTGTCTTATCTTTTCCGCAAACATATCCTGTACAGCCTTCCGCTCTTCCGGTTTCACAAGGGTGACTCCTCCACGCAATTTCTCCAATTTTTCCTCCATTAGCTTCACCTGGAATGGGATTATTCAGACAAAATCCCAATTTCTACTGAAAGAATCCCTATGTGAAAGAATTTGATAGAAGAGTGCTTCCAAATGTCTCACTTCTGATCTGAGAGTAGATTCCTTGTCACGTATCTGTTCCAGAGTAAGATTTGACTGCAAAGCTCGTATTTCTGCAACAAGAACATAATTCATGTGAGATCCAGTACGCCAGGGCTTTTTGCAGACCACCTTTACCATTGTTCCATGTTAGGCAAACCACTACCATCGAACAAGTCCTTTGAAACGACCAACAAAAGGAAAGACCAACAAATTGATGCTGCTGAGCAAAGACTAGCAAGTGGAATAGAGGTGGACACCTCCATCATGCTCACTGATTGCCTTCCTATATTCTTCAAGTTGTTGCTGCAACTGGGCATTTTCCTCCTTCATCCGATTGAGCTCCTCGCTGTTTGGAATATCAAACTGGTCCTGCCGAGCGAGGTATATCTTCTGCTTACCATACTCCTTAGAAGATATTCGCCCGTTATCAGCAAGAGTATCCAATGCCTTTTGGACAGCCGCCTTCTTCAGGTTAAACTTTTGCAGAGAATCAGCCACATTTTGGGAATTCAGTGGCCTGTTTTGCTGGGTTCGGCAGGGAAAAAAGGATGATGTATCCTCATCAGCAAGACAACGAGTCAAATCGACGTAGAACACAGCATACCCCGATAAGACCTTTTCGATCCATACTTTCATCGGAAACTTTCGATAAGCATTTAACAGTTTCCGCTTCAAAAATCCACATCGTGTCGAGAAATCGAGAACAATTAAGCTAGAGAACGGAACAAAAAGGGAAGATGACCTCTGAAGCTGAACCGAGCCCGTGCTAATTCAAGAAAAGAAAAACAGCATTCACAGTCCAGTCCCGACCTAACATAGAGCACAAGCGCACTCTACCTCCACGCAACCAAATCAGAAAACTCCCAATCTCCTACGATTCGAAGCTAAACCTAACCACCTCCATGCAATAACCTTACCATACCCGGACGCTGTTTTCAGCGAAGACGTCATCGATTAAGGAAGGATTCAAGCACGGCCGAAGGAGGGAAAAGCGGAGATTACCTCATTGACGAAGCTGAGAACGATCTCTGCAAAACAAGAAAGGAACGCATCGAAGAGCGAGGGATTATTACATCAGTAATCAATCGCAGGTGACAAAACAAGGATCGCGATTCTAATGAAATCAACAACGCCCGAGGAGGCAGACGGGAAATGGCGAATACAGCTCGGAGTCGGACACCAAAAAGACGACGGAATCGACGGTTCAAGAACACGAGAGAGAGAGAGAGAGAGAGAGAGATCCATCTGCGTGCAGAGACGTGATTCTGAGTTCGATCGATGGACAGATTTACCTTCGGTGCTGTTAGACTTGGGAGCCATTGCCGCCGGCGCAGAATGGGCGGGAAAGAGAAGTCCTCTCACAGTCACAGCGGGACAGAGAGAGAGAGAGAGAGAGAGAGAGAGAGTTGATTTTTATGGCGGTGATGATGGGAGCCGATTAGCCGAAGCTTGCGTCAGACGGTTCGGATCCGGTTCAGGCCCACCGGGCCTGAATCTCGGTCCTCGACATTGGGCTTCGGCCCAATAGGGCCCCCCTCCGAAGCCCGGTTGCCGTCGAGGACAAAATGGGCCAAGCCTGGGCAAACCGTTTTAGACCCGACCTTTCTAAGCCTTCTTAGGTTCCAGCAATCTTTATACTAAAAAAAAAAGTTATTACTTTTTTTCTGGGGGGCCGCGCTAATTCCACCCTTATATCGGCTCCATCCATATCCTAATGAAGTAGAACGACAAAAATAGTCACGCATTCATACCGTTCATCTTTCTTTCTTTCTTCTTTAGCTTTTCCCTCCATTCAGTTTTTTTTTTGGTAAATGTTTTTTTTTTTTTTGGTAACTTAGGTATCCGGGCTAGCTTGCGCGCACCTCGACTATTCCTGGGAGACAAGACAAAGAAATTTCACCGTCATAATCCCCCACTTAAATCACAAGTGCTCACTGGAATCGAACCCTGACCAATGCGCCTAACCACACAATCCCAAGTACGCCCTAACCAACTGCGCTACCCATGGGTGGGTTTTTTTTTTTTTTTGGCAAATGTTCGTACATATTATTTGCTATTTTTGGCTTTGGCACATGCTTTATGTCGTTTCTTATTCTAAGTAGACTTTGAACTAATGACGACCAAAGTGCGTGAATCGTTTTAAATCTTTTCAAGGATAACTATGTGCAAGAGTTACTATTACTATTCCTTCTGTTCATCTTAGATCCACCAGGAAACTTTACAGTCCCCTTCAAGAACTATCTTTTGAAAATCTGGATTATCTTCTAGTCCACTTTCCACACGAGCAAATCCCATTCATCAAAATACCCAACGGCCATAGAGCCCCCTCATCAACGTTGAGATCGTCGTGGCAAACTGGCAATCATTGTCATTTTGCTAACGAGTTGCTTTCGCTATCATCCATCACCAACGCTAAAAGTCTCAGCCATGCACAACTACATTGCGCCATCGCAAGTGCGCATTTACAGCCATTGCTTGGCTAGCGATATCGCCTTGACTAGCGCCATTGCTTTTGAACTAGGGCACAAATTGCTTGTTACAGCTGCCTGATTTTTTATCGATTTCAATTAGTTGATTACAATTGATAACCGATCTCTAACTCTCCACCTGCTTGCACTGCCTCATGCTCTGTGACGCAAATTATCACCGAAACCTCACAACTTAGCTCCTAAATTGATATAAAATTGACCACCTCAAACAATCTCAATTAGAGCGATCATGGCAAAAGTGCTCGGATCTCTACAGTATTATCATGAAAATATGCAAAAATACATTTTTTTGTTTTACAAAAAAGTGAATGTTTTGAGCGAATTCAACAAATCAATAGGATCTGGCCCAAAAAAAAAAACACCGATGATATATGACAGTCTTAACCAATGGAATGATTAGTTGATTACATATATATATATATATATACAAATCCTAGCCAATGGAAAATATAGCGATCACAACTTGTCCACGTCAATGGCAACTCCCAAGTTCAGCTACGTGGTAATGGTTCGGTGGTCTAAGCGCCTCCGAGCATATCCCGCCGAGCAACAGACGCAGGAGCGTGGATGACTCCGGTGGCGGCAACACACCGCGCGCCTCCGCCGTTCGCGCGAAATGTCTCTCGCCTTCCAAACTCTCCGTCCGCCGTGTGCGGACCTTCAGCGTCGGCCGCTCGTGACCGCCGGCACCCACCAAGCAGAGAACGAGTCCTGCCGCGCCTGACCACCAACACGTGGCTTCCGAAACCACCACCGGCCGCGTCCGACCCTCTCCCTCCCTCCCGCTCTCTCGCTCCCGTCCGCCGCGCTTCCCGCCGGAAAGCCGACGCGGTTCCCGACGCCGTGGAGGGCGGCGACGGCGGCAGTTCGCGGCGAGCGCTTCAGATTGCCCTGTGGGTGGCCGAGGCGGTCTACATCCTGTGGCTCTTTCTCCTCCCTTATGCTTCTGTAAATTGATGTCATTTCGAGTTTTGAGCTCATATCAAATTCATGGTGTGCATTTGACCCGTGGAGTAAGATTTTTCTCCTGGGGAAATATGTGTATAGGGAGATCCGGTGTGGGCGATCAGTGCAGAGACAGTGAATTCCCTTGTTGGGCTCTCTCTGAATTTCTTCTTCATACTGCCCCTGATGAACTCTGGTAAGCTCAGCTTTACTTGGTGGATTCAATTCATAATGGTTTTCATGTTGAGCTCTTCCAATGTCCAAGGTATGTGATATGTCTTGGGTAACCCCAATTGTGCTGTTCGTATTCGTGGTCCGTTGGTCCGAGCAACTTTTGGAGGGATTAGATGCTTATTTGGTTATCTGCAGTTCGGCACGAGTTCTTGATTGGTTAGATTATGTTTCTATTCCTGGGCAAATAAGAGGGCATATCAACGAGTTTGGTTGATGCTTGATAGTTGACATGATTGTTTTAGTTCACATTGTGGGCATAGCCGCCTTTGGGGGACATTCTTATAAGTTATGACTTAATGAGGTGAAAGGTTTATTCACTGTCTCTTTGCGTGAAAGATAGAATTTTCCTCGTAATGCGAGTGGATATTCGGGACGCATGCATAGTGCGTAGCTGGAACCCCATTTGGACTTTAATATCTAGAGTTGCTGTGATTTCGGTCTGTGCTAGTTGCATTAATGGATACACGCAATGTGAAACACGGGCTTTCGAATTTTAGATACTGTCGACTCTATATGCTCCTCCTTTGCCCTCTCTGCATTTTAATTGCTGACTGAGGGAACAAACCTACTTTTGTCACTGGCAACATGTTCACAATTATATATTCCTCCTGGTAAAGTGAACTTGATTTGTGCAGTAAAATTTTTGGCAGGGTAGTCGGGATTAATGTGATTGATGCCCCGGTCCTCCACCCGGTAAGGATTCTTGTAGGAACGGTTTACATTACATCGTCATCTCTAGATATCTTTTTCGATGCTAGCTGATGTAGTCTCCCTTGTTGTTTTTTTCGGCCATTTGCTCCCCATCAGATGTCCGAAGGCCTCTTTAATTTCGTCATCGGTTGGACCTTCATGTTTGCTCCTCTGCTATTCACCGACCTCAGAAAGGACAGATACAAAGGCTCCCTGGACATTTTATGGGGCCTGCAGATGTTCCTCACAAACAGTATGCTTCTCTATTAAATTTAATTGAATGAGCAATACAAGTGTCGGCTTGAAATTTAAGATCTTTTCTTTGGGCCAATCATTATCTGAGACTGATTCTCGTAATTTTTCGTAGGGAATTGCAAGTTCTATGATTAAACAAATCAAGAGGAGGAACCACAATATCTCTCACTTGCCACTTTTTTTCTCCTTTTTGTTACCAATGATTCTTTTGATATTATCACTGGTGGTTACACTTCCCTTCAAGTAATTCTTTCCCTTATCATGATGCAGCTTTCCTAATTCCTTATATGGCAATCCGACTAAATGAGGCTGAGCGGGACGAAACTCCAGGCATGCTCTCTCAGCTAGGCTCGGTAATGACGAATGGTGCACCCGTTGTGGGACTGATAGGTGGAGGAGTTTGTCTGATTTCGGTATTGTGGGCCCTCTTTGGCAGAAGTGATAGCGATTTCAGTAGCATAGCAGACAGATTGGACTTCTTAGTAAGCTACCTTGGTTCTGAGAGGCTGGCATATGCCTTCATATGGGATATAGTTCTTTACACGGTCTTCCAGCCTTGGGTAATAGGTGACAACCTACAAAACATTCAGGATAGCAAGATTGGAATTGTGAATTGTCTTAGATTCATTCCGGTTGTTGGTTTGATTGCCTACCTTCTCTGTTTGGATCAAGACAAGAATTATGCCTAACTGTACTGCACTGGATGTACACATCAATGAGTCCACCTGTAGTTCACAGTGTTGTTGTCAAGACCTTTTGGAAAGTTTCTTTCAAGTTGATTCAACATCTTACATTCTCAATCATGATGACTAAACACTGCTTATCCAGTGGCTTACTGTCTGGTGTTGGAGATACCTACATTGCCCTGTTCTTACTATTGAATTTTTTGCACACTTTCTTTTCCATGAAGTCCCTTCAAGTCCATCTTCCAGTAGTATTTACAAGAGCAGGAAACTTTTACCTCGTCTATTCTTCATTCCTATGAGTAATACATTGGCAGTAAAATGAACCTCACCAGTAGTGGTAAAAGTCATAACATCTGCTTATGAATTTTTTTTCACTCTTCATAGAGCCTCGCTTTTCTTTCTTGGAGTTCTCAGATGAGTCACGAAATTATCATCGTGTTTCTCCGACATCTAAGCACACAAATGATGTAGCATTTCATGAAGCATCATACCAATGGACTCTTCTTTTTGTATGTTGTTGAATTCATGAACTAGCCTTTCACAATTTCTGGTCTAAGCAGGAAAAAACCTTCATAATGCTCTGAATTTCTTTTTGACCGTCAGCATCCAAACTTTATATAGCGAGTTGTGGGGCTAGGCAGGAGATTTCTGATGTTCACAGGCACTTTACAACAGAATTTGACAGAGACTTGCGCCATTCTGGATTAATTGTCGGAGCGAGGAGATACACGCTCCGGAAGTTTTGCCTTCTCAAACTTCTTGTAACAGGACAAATCACTACACGCTCTAATAGCTTGATTCCTCCTATTTTACAATTCCTAAATGTTTGCTTTAAAGAAGCGGGATGAGCTCTTGGTCATGCAAGCCGAAAGGAAGCTTTCTTTTATATTAAAATCTGAGCTACCTAGGAACCCCTGGACCGTAATCTTCTTCAATTTGAGTACTCGTGATCGCCTCTCCAGGCAAGACTAAGAGGTGCTAATCCAATTCAGGACGACTCCATTGCTATATAAACCATTTGTCCATGATGGAGACAAGACGCCCTTTGGTCACTTTTTTTTTCTTCTCATAGCTCCTCTGATATGGCACTTATAAGCTTTTTGATTATTAGGTCAATATTGTTCCAGATACAAATGACTAATGAATTTCATCATACGAGCCCAGCCCTTCTGCTCATCTTTCTTCTCCTTTAATTTGAAGTAAGAAGGTTGCTTACGGAGAAATGCAGCTTGAATGCTTCTTTCTAGTTTCATACTGTTGATTCGATGGGGAAGGTCGTCTGGAGTAAACATCCAGAAAGTGATATAGAGATCGAGGGCACGTGTGTTTATGCTTTAGCAAAAGCAACCCGTCAAAATTTGAAATAGTAGCCAAGTTTCAAAAGATTACGAAAAACTGTATGTGAATCTAGGTGTCAAAATTTGTATATTGTGAAAATTTTAGATGTTACAGGGTAAAAAAAGTTAAAATGCGTTAGTTGTAAGATTTGGATTAAGTAAATCCTGACACCCCTGAACTATTAGTAGCCTGATTTTGGGTGTAAATTTTCATATTATAATAGAGTTGAGCATCTTTTAATATGATTTCTTCTTCGGCCAGAGAATCTATTAGGAGCCTGAATCATGCATTTTAACCTCCCGTCGATTTAGTGTCCTTGTGATGGAAGACAATTATGTTCTTTGTAATCCTAGTCCAAGGTAAGAAAGCATAGTTTGATTTTTTCACGACCCAAAACAGTAAATTACCAATGATTGTCTTCAAAACTCAGCGGTACAATCAGTATACAGGGCATAGGCATCTTGGTAGATGTAAGAAGTCGAGAAAGGCAATTGATAGATCGACGTATTTGCAGAGTATGAGTTGATATATGGGGAGATCGCCATGGTTTTTCATTGCCAATGCAGATTTGCATTGGCAATTGAACGATAAAATCTGTATGTCCGAGTCATATGATCCTGTGGCGTGCAACTTCTTGTTATTAAATTTCCCAACCACCTCATCGACAATGAGCAAAATCATGAACGATTGCCGTGCAGCAAGTCAGGACAGCACAGCCGCATGAAAGATACCAAATTGACGTTGTCAGAAGGAATGATCATGCCCATATTTTAGCACTTGCGCCCCAAACGTTCGGTCCAAAAACAAACACATCCATAGGAACAATAGTAGATCTAACAATTGTACTGATGAGAACCTGAGTTTACTGTTGCTAGCTGCAGTTGGTGGGATTAGACCAGCTAACAACCCTAGAACTGATCGGAGATTACGAGAACAAGGGTTCTCTGATAGACAACCCTCTCGAGCGAACCCAAACCATGTAAGTTTTGACAACCGGGCCAATGGCTGCAGCGGCGGCGACCTGGTGGTGGAGAAACAATGATATATGGGCGTCAATGTTGGGCGCATGTATGCGGATCTGTGCTACGTGATTCACCGAACAGACTCAGTGGTCAATATGGCTTGAGTTGTTGCATTGTGTGGACAAACTCAACCCACCACAAAAACATCTCCTGCATGGTTAGTTCACGGGTAGTGGTAGTAGTTGTTCCATTTTAAGTCCATTCTTAATGAAAGGGTTATTTTTTTCGTTTGATTCCCAACCGAATTGAAGGAATTACCATTCCTTGTGGGGTTATTAAGGAACAACTATTTCATGCAATTGAGAAAGCTTTAAGGTTCGTTTGTTTGAAGAAAAATTGCTTTTGAGATATTGTTTTCTGAATTTTCAGTGTTTAGATGATAGAAAACTAATCAATCTACGAAAAACCTTTTCCATAAAATAAAAACAACATGTTTAGATTGGGGAAAAACGACTTCTCCTTCTAGCAATAAGGAATTCACTTTTCCTAAACCACCAAACAAATGAAAACTAACCATTTTCCTTGGAAATGATTATTCTGGAACATATTTTCTTGTATCAGTTAAACGAACACACCCTTAGTTTTTATATTACATAAATTATATTTCATTTTTCCACATTTATAATAGATTAGAAATCGAAATATAAACTTTATCAATAGTTAATTTAAGCAATCAATTAGTAGGTTAAATTAGCTAATCACATAAATCATTGATTTCATATCTTAAGAAGACAAATAAACTACCAAAGATATAGATAAAATGGGTTGAACTCATTATAATTAATATTTACATTAATCATATATCTATATAACGGCTTATTAGTTCATGTCAGATGTTAAACCAAAAAAATGTAACTTATGGTTAATAATATAAAACAAATCAAATCTAAGTACTCTAATCATAATCTAAGCTCAATCCGTTATTATTACTCTAATTTATAGAGAGCTTAATTTTGAAAAGTAGGATTTATGATCATGATATCCTTATATGCATTTAGGATAGTTAATATAACTATTTATCTACAAAAAAAAACAATGATCAACCTCACTAATTATATATTGCAAACTATAATCATAACTTTTTGGATTGAAAAACATTATCAAAGGTATTGTTTTTTTTTTCTGTAAATGCCAATCTAATCACTGCATGATGGAGCTTCATTTCCTTAATTCTGACTTCTCCCACTCACTTTTCATCCTTTTCCCTTCCAAAACTACAAAAATAGTACGTGTACGGTCGTATGGAGCAAGGAAAAGGGGGAAAGCAAAGGGACAATTATGACGATGGAAAGTCGTTCAGTGCATGAGCTGCCCACCTTTCACGTGAAATTGCTTTCGATTTGTCGGTCAGTGGGGTTTGAAAGAGAGATATGAGGAAACATGTGCAAAAGACAGTGCCTCAGATCACAAGCCCCAACCCCCTCTCTCCCTCATCCAAAGCTCGATCGACAAAGCTAGTGAAAGGTCACAATGCTCGTCTCCTCTCATCGGTCACCATACAGGAACAGAACTCATCACAGTTCCTCTTCTGTTGGGACGTGGCCTTCTCGAGTTACCTGCGAACTTACCCATCACGCCCGAAAAGCCAAGCGGGGACCAGAAACCCCTCTCATGTAATGCCTTGGGTGTTCTCTTTCTGACCATGTTTTCCTTATGTTAGGGTATGTGTCGATCATTCATGAGTGTTACCAATAAGGCAACAAGAGGTCATAGCTAACGGGATCTATCGTCGTGAATGTATTGCCCCAATCATAACCTCTGGATTGACGTGGCTGGTTAGAGTCCGGGAGAATTTCCAGCTCTGGAACTGGAGGTCGTAAGGTCGAATTCTTTTGGACTTTGGTGGTCTCTTTCGGACCACATTTTCCTTATGTTAGGGTATGTGTCAATAATTCATGAATGTCACCAATCAGCAATAGGAGGTCGTACCAAACGGGATCTATCGACCTGAATGTATTGCCCCCGATCATAACCCCCTGGATTGGCGTGGTAGGTTAGAGTTCAGGAGAATTTCCAGCTCGGGAACTAAAGGTCACAAGGTCAAATCCCACAAATAAAAGGAAAATTGTTATGAGTTAGGACTACATGCACTGATCGAAGGTTTAAACTTAATCGGCTTGTGGAACTTGTAAGTGTTCCCTAGGGTCCCAGGTTGTACTCATGCCCTTGGATCGTACAACATAATACATCGGCCCAATCTCTCTCTCTCTCTTCCTGCCTACTGTTCAACAGCACCATTGTTGTCTTGGAAACCGTCATTCTTGTGTGACTCGCTCAGAGAGAGAGAGAGAGAGAGAGAGAGAGAGAGAGGGGGGGGTGGGTTAGGGGCAAAGGCGCTGCTGATGGTGGTGGTGGTTTGGGGGGCCGACGACAGCAGCAGTGGATGAGCTAAGCTAGGCGGAGATAGAGAGAAAAGACGATGAGAAGGAACTAAGATTCTTTAATTATACGTACGAGTTAACCGTGTGAGCATCAGTTTGATGGTAACCGCGGACGAAGATCCAGAAAAAATTTGCGTCTCCATTCCCTTGAATTGTTTATTATCTTCCTAATTTTAATGGCTGTTACGTGCATATATTCCAAATCATATGTTTATACGCGGACATATTTTGCATGTACTAATAATGTACACAAGCCAGATATGTATCTTGTCGAAAATTGACGTACTTATATGCCACAAGAACCACTCACCTCCGGTTATTGCCAGTTCAACACCTTTCTCTCTCCGCCTTCCTCCCTCCCTACCATCCTCTTTTAAGAGGTTGACAACGACGAACCGGACAGGGATGGTGAACTTATATCTTGGCCACCCGGAGGTGAGAAATCCGACATTTATTATCCTCTTATATAAGAGTGCGTTTGTTTCACTGAAAACTTTTTTTTTTAATAAAAGAAGCTTTTTGTTTGCAGTTCACGCAAAATGTTTTTTGGAGATCGACTAGTTTTCCGTTATCTAAATACCGGCAAGTCGAAAAATAATTTTTGAGAAATGATTTTACTTCAAACAAACGGACCTAAGGTCGACAACTTTCAACTTCTTTTGGGGGGGGGGGGGATGTTTGCTCACAAGGATCAGTGACCAGTTGGCTAATTTCTCATATATGTATGTGGTGATGAGAGCATGGTGATATGGCCAAATTTTGGGTTATTGTTAGATTTTTCTAGACGCGGATATCAATGACTTCTTTAAAAAAATCTCAATTATACGTTGTTTAATTTATTTGATAACAATTCGTTGATCACTTGTTAAAGTGACTAATTAAGAAATTATTACAGTTTTCAATCCGAACTTTATATAGTCGATATCATAAAAATTGATGACACTTGTTATGAACACCCCTTTTGTCTAATTAATGTGGCATTGCACGCCTATACTAGAATGTACATGGTAAAGTGCCACAACCGAAATATTTGGATCCCATTTCTGCATGTATTTTCGGAGAAGTAGCCAAATTAGTAGAAAGTAGGAAGCAAACTCCAACTCCACTCCAGTCTGCACAAATTTGGCCACCAAACTTGTTGACAAATAAGGCCAAATTGTATCGACTGAAGACTCTCTCTCTCTCTCTCTCTCTCTCTCTCTCTCTCTCTCTCTCTCTCTCTCTCTCTCTCTCTCTCTCTCTCTCTCTCTCTCTCTCTCTCTCTCTCTCTCTCTCTCTCTCTCTCTCTCTCTCTGTCATACATACATACATACATATAAATGCCTTTTTGCAGAATCCAATGTAGATGCATCCATGTGATGATGAGTATGTGCTTGTATCGTATGGACAATGTCTATGGGACGGGCGGGAATTGGGGTAAGTTGATAAAAACGGGGGTTGAGGCATTCTTACGTCGGACTGGTCGCTCGCGCTCACAGACTCTCAACCACCGCGACTTAACCACCGTTCTCTCTTTTTTTGGGGCGGGGGGAACTTGCATGCACGGCGATGGAGGTTCGTATCGCCCTCCAACGCCTATATATACGGACTCTCTCTTCACAAACCCTACACACCAAAACGCTCTCCCGTGTTCACCATCTTCTCCGTTCGAAACCCTTACTTTTCCTTCCCTTTCATATAGTGAAAAGGTCTTGATCCCCAAGAAGATATGGAGTCTTCGCCCGGGGAAGAAAAGGAACCAAACCTATCCCCCACTCCTAGTCGAGGTAATGGGATTCTTAATCTTTTGTAACTGTAGGTTTTGCAGATATCTTTTTTTATTTTTCACCAGCATATGTAACTTGATTTTTAGGTTTGCGGGAGAGAACTGAATAGTAGAAAGAAAAACTTGAAATGATATCGAGTATGAGCAACCCTAATGTATTAGAAACGTCATTGAACCTCACTTGAGATAATCATGGAGGAGGAAGTAAGCTCGTTACCTAGGTGCAGAGATAATTAATCCTTGATGAAGCAAACACAACTTAGGCACAGTGTAGTCCTCGGATTGCCTCTCGTGTTTTATATGATTCGTGTGGTTATGATATGTGGTTATGTTTAAGTGATGATTTTTCAGTTGGAAGACAAAGATTATTGTGTATATTACTAGTTAAAAAGAAAGGAACTAAAGATGCGGCATCATATTCTTTATACTACATGCATGGAAACGTCCTTCTAAAAAAGAGAATTTGTTTTTGCTCTTTATTCATATCCAAGCACGTGATTAGACCTTTACCGATTCTTATTCGCTGCCTTCCCGGTCCACGAGTAGATGAAAGTACTTAGTGTGCATAACCACATTTTTTTTTTGGTCGAGTGCATAACCACACGACGTATAATAGAAATACACTTGTTTTACTTAAGTCTTCTTAAATTTGCAGGAGCGACTTTGCCCCAGCATCTGGAATACTCATTTGAGTAAGAAATACATAGCCATTTTGGGAATTAATGGACCAAAAAAATTATCTCATGAAGGACCTCGACCTTGGACCTTCATGTTGCCCAAAAGGGTTGGTGGATCTCAAGTGGCATCTTGATGAATCACAGTTGCTTTTCATTGAAAAGCAGCCACGTTAGAATGTGAAGAAACGAGCTCCTAAAGCCGTAGCCAATATATGGTATGGTTATGATTGCTTCCTTGTTACAATGATTGTTCAATAGGTGATTTTTGTACATTAGATTTCATGTAAAAGAAAGTAACTTCCTATATCGGCAAAAAGTATTTCATTGTAATTTTGCCACTGAATCATACAATTTTAGGATTGATTATTTTATAAATTTGAAGAATCCGATAATCTTTTATACGTTTTAAAACCGTAATAAGAAACCAAAACATTGTTAATTAAAAAAACATAGCTCCCGATAATTGTGATGGTCGAGCAATTAACAAAACTCGTCATCTTTTCACAAAACAAAACTTAACGCACCGTGATCACGAAATAATCCAAAGCCAACTCTCGGTCCCTATATTTCTAACATGTCGTCTTACCGCTTCATACTCTTCTTCATGCTGGGAGGCGTCGCAGCGAGCCGTCTCTGCCTTTCCATGTTACCGTGCCAACCTGTTTCGATTCCAAACCCGTCGCAGGATTAGTTTGGAGGTACGAGAACATTACATTTTCACAACAAAATTTAAAATTTCCAAAACGAGCAGTACCGTCATGCCATGTTCCATATATCAAAATGTACACACTTCACACACCTACCAATTTTTCCTCCAAAACTGTTGCTCGTGGAAATATGGATTTCATCAAAATCTTTTGCATGAATTACAATAATCAAAACGAGAGAGAGAGGACCTATGGAAGGATCAAAGCCAAGGCTCTTGAGCTGTCTGTATTCTTGGCAAAGGGCACATTCCTCGCAGCAACAGTGGACGCAGCAATCGGTGCACGGCCTCTCTTGCAAGAAGTATTGCCCTCTCAACTTCGAACGATAGAAGCACGAATACAAGCACGGACACCCCGTCACGCACATTATCAGCGCATACAGCGCGCTGCTCACCCCGCATGCTGCATGCCATTTGCAAGGAACATATATTATATTAATTTAGATTACAACATATTACCATAATGATCTTAAAGCTTACAAATCACACCCTTTCCTTTTAATGCTTTATTTAATATGCATAGCGCAGCCTGCGTATTAATTAAGTTCGCATCGACGAATGCCATTCGTATTTTGAAGGATATTTTTTTGTAGCAAAATCAATCAAACATATAGATGTCACTGTCCAGAGAAAGCTTTGGGTGACCAAAACATGATATTTAGGCAGAGTGCAAAAGGAAAATCTGTGTTTTCGGGGACTTACAAGTTGACCCCCTATCGACCATTTCTGCGATTCGCCCAAATGTAATGCACGGACACCAGCATGTTAAGCAACCTGCATCAGACATTGAATTTGCATAGTATTAATCCACTCGTCAATTGCAAACAAGCTACTTCCTTGCCTTGACACATCCATGGACCGTATTGTAGACAAAGGCATGATAATTGGTATCAAATGCAAGTTATATTTTGACGGTAACGTACCCCAAAAAGTTGAAAGTCCGCTTATGTACTTCCGACATATGCAAATTCGAAAAATCGGCTTGAATTCATATATATTAAACTACAGCCCTCGGGCAAAATGGAAGGGAAGAATGCATTTGACTGCTTAACGTGAGATTTATCGTGATTTGTTCGGAAAAAAAAAATAGCAGTCTCTTCTGAAGTAAAGAAATGTTTCACTGACTCACGAACACCAAATGCAGGCGTTCAAAACTTCAGATTATTGGCGTTGAATAAGTACGTACAAGTGCTGAAGTCGTCGCAACAGTTGCAAAGACCGGTGGACCAAGGGACTGGAGATATTGAAGAACTGGCGGAAAAGCCGCCCCCGCCGCCACCGCCGGAACTGATCGGGGCCGGTTCTTCCTCCGGGTCGTCGCGCGCCTTCTTCATCTCATATAACTCCATGTATGGGTCGGTGCCATCGGCGAAATAATCGCCGGCCGATTCGCCATAGTGCGACATCCGCCGGCGACAGGGTGAAGGTGGGGTCGGCGGTTCCGACGGCGCCGATGGTGTGGGAGACGGCGAATCCATCTCCTGCTCCTGTGGATGGCGATTATACATGGTTCGGTGCCTAAACTGAAAAGTTTAACGTGAAAAGTTTGAAAGTAGAGAGGAGCAATATACGTGTCTTGCGAAGGATCGTGTCTCTTTGCGGATATAACTAGAAAAAACAGCGAAGGCAAAAAAGAAGAACCGCCATTGACTGACGTGGCGGGACCTGATTTGTTTGAGTGGGGTTGTTTTTCATTATTATTTTTTGGTAATTACAAAAACAATCTGGCTACAATCGTAGGGCTATGTGTCTTCTCTTTGTCTTTATTTTGTTTCTTATTTTATCACTCAAAAAGGTTATGGACTTCCTACGGAGTTTTATTTGAGCACGACTTATCGATTTTTCTCCGATTAAGTTGTCAACTAAGTTTGACTTACTAACCTTTAATTATTTATTTTTAAGAAAATTTACTGACTTTTTTTTTATTGAGTTACCACTTTTAGTCGTGTTACTTACCTACTCTAACATACCAACTGGTTTTGCATTACAAACTCTAATTTGAATCGGTCATCAACCAACTTCTCTTATTGTTTTACCAAATTTTATCTACCTTTCTTACTGACGCCTTAAATTTACCGACTATTATTTGAGTGACTAACCAACCGTTTTCCAATCAAGTAACACAATTGAAAATTTTATAACTCAAACGAGAGTTGATAGTCTAAAAATAAATGATAACTAAATAGGAGAAAATTGATAAATCACCTGAACTAAAGTCAGTAATCTCAGATAAGAGTTTGTAAACTAAGGCATAGTTAACAAAGGTAAAGAAAAGTTGGTAACCGGAAAAAAAAAAAAAAACTTGCTGAGTAACTCAAATGAGAGTGGGTTACTCAAAACTAGTGAATAATTTAATTGGAGAAAAGTTTGTAAAACATCCTAATTAAGTTTGGTAATTTCTAAAAAAGTTGGTTAACTGAAGGTGTTACTAAGAATGCAAATGAAAAGAGAAAGAAAAGAAATATAAAAAAACAAAAAATTTCAAAAAGATTTCAAAATATTATTTAAAATATGTCCATGTCTGGGCCACGTAGAAACGCCGGCGTCTATGTCAGTAATTTCCAATCAAAATTAGCCGGATGGACTGAATTGGCATAAATACAAAAGATTTAGAACATAATTGGCAAAGAAAAGTTTTATAACTGAATTGGCACAATCACAATAGGTTTATATCCCCAACTAAAAACTGACAACTTTGAAGGAAAGTTGGTAAATTTAAAAACAAAACAATTATAAGTTGATAATTAATTCAAATTAGAGCTGATAATCCAAAACTAGTTTGGGCTGCTGGGCCCTAGGAAATGGAGAGCCATCTCAACCATCGTGATATTACGTCCTGCAATTAATTTCAAGTTTAACTACATTAAGCTATATTCCCATGGTCCCATACAATACAATTGGCAGAACTAAAGGCGCCCTTCACGGTGTTCAATTCTATCATGAGCTTGACTCAGCCCGAGTCAAACTAAGCAACAATCTGACTGATTCGTGCTTCTCAATAAAGCATCAGCTGGTTTTCAACTTTTCACAGACTAAATTATAGATTGTTTCAAACACAATCAAACTATGGAATGATAACTTGTGTAACTCATGAGCATGGAGCAGGATTGCTCCCTTATTTCTGGTTTGTTTCTGCATAAATTTCTGAATAACCGAAAAAAAAAAAAAAAAGCTGGAACGATTAGCACAAGAACCGGAGCAGATTGCCTTGGACATGATAAATTTGTATACAAGACCTTCAATCCACGAAAACTCCTAATTAGGTGGTCATCGCCTGGTTCTTGGGCGGCATCATCGTCGTAGAACCACCTTGTTGGTTTTGGAGTTTCTCTAGATTACCATGATATCCTGCCATGAACCCAGCAATATATGATTACTCATTACCCTGAATGCCATATATATCCTAAAGATTTTACAAAAAAATCTAAGCATTGCGTAACAGTTGAACTAAATATGTCTGCAATAATTAAGTTCACCATTACAGTGCTACATACCGAGCACAGGGTCAATGCCGCGGTTTTTGAAGCTCGCGGTATTCTTGACAGAGAGCACAAGGCTCAAACAATGAATGGACGATGTAATCCGAGGTTGGGATCTCTGGCAACCGGAATCTCCACCTCAGTTTCGCGCGGTATGGCCGCGACAATATACAATGCGAGAAGGCATAGATGATTCCGCTGATGATGCAAGCTGCATTTTCATGTCAACAAATCAGAAGAGCCGACAACCTCTGGTTTAGAGCTTATTATAAGTAACGAATGGCATATACTTTGTAAACCAGTAAGCTTACTCGTGTGGCCATTGTCGAGCACATCTGCGATCTGCCCGAAAGTTATGCATGGAAACAGTGCCGTGATGAAGGCTGCGAAATAAAATATTTGAACTAGATATAGAGAATGGAAAGTCTAGAGTTCTACACTGAGTTAAGGAACACTTGCTATAATTATGTAACCCAAAAGAAAAAAGAAACAAGAACTGGATTCTGAGTAAACATACTCTCTCGCTTTCCTTCGCCCTAAACACGGACAGAACGCAAATGAAAACTCTTTACTTCTTCAAAGGTTGAATCTATAAAAGTGAACAGATCAAGACTTTGGCTTTCATGTTTCAAGAGAAAAAACGCAAGAACAACATACCGTTGGAGGAATCTTGCATGCAGTCAAAGAGGCCGGTGGTCCACTGCTCCATGTTCATGTAATTATTCGCAGACCCGTTATTAAGATTGATCATATTGTTAGGAGCATTATTCCCGTAGGGGGATGCTGCACTTGCTGGAGCGACATTTTGGGCCATTGCTGAGGAGGGATACACCGAAGCAGGAGCAAAATTGTAACTCTGCGGAGCCACCACGTGGCTCGTTTGTTGCCGGAACTGATCGTGATGATATTGCACGGCCGCAAAATTGCCGCCGATTTTGTTTGCTTGTGGCTGGTTGAACTGAGGATAGGCCATGGCTGCTCCGATATTAGCATTGCCTTGCTGGGGCGGGGTGAATGTGGGCACATTCACCTCCTGGTGGCCAGTCTGGTGGACGGTGTCCGGCGATGGCGGTGCATACGGCACTTGCAATGCCGCCGGCGGAGGCTGTGGCGACGACGGTGGCGGCAGTGGATAAGGATGGTTTTGGCTTGGGACATGGTGGCCAGGTGAGGGAGGAGGAGGAGGTGCTTCAGATGGGAGTCTGGCCATTTTTCCTCTCTCTCTCTCTCTTCAAAGTCTCCTCCCCCCTATATTCTTTTCCTTTCAAAAGCATTTATATAAGGAGGTCTTGTTGCAATGTCTTTTCCATTCACGAATTACCTAGAGGAATCCAATTTGATGTGCACATTTCGTCCTGTCAAGCAAATCTCCCGTCACCGTACATCAAGTGAGATCTAAGAAAGCGCGATAACATGGAATCAAACTCATATTATCTTTAATTAATTATAACGATGCACGTCCTCGATTTCCAAACTAAATAAATGGAGATTTTATATATTTATTTAAAAAAAGAATAAAAAAGAAGAGAAGTTATAAGCATGTTATGTGAATGTTATATTGTCTTGCTTCTATTGTTGACTTCGGGGTCCTATTTTCGGCAGGCTCAAGGACACGTTGCTGAGCTTGCTTCGAGTGTAATTAAATTAGAATGATAGAATATGGTCTGATTAAGATATTGTGTCAGCCGTTTATTTTCTCTATGTTTGTCCTCGCCGCTCTAGCTGGAGTTGACTTTGGCATATGACGAATGATGGGGTAGACTTTGACTTTTTCTAAAGGCTAAAGCCCACTCTCGGTATGTGGTCAACGATTGGAGCTACTCCATGCGGCCATTTTGTTAACGTATTTATATTGACAATTCCAACCAAAAGAAAATGTGTTGACACTTTTTTTTTATATATTTTTCCACGAAAAAACACGAAACCGGTTATTTCGAAAGTAAAAGAATGATTCTATCCATGTCTTATTTAAATTAATGGAAGGAAATGTTGGCAACGATGCATGGCAAATCTCTTCTTTTTTAGAGAACGTGCGTTTTCTTTTTCTTCTCACCAAAAATTGAGCGAGATTTCTCAAAACTATTTCAAGATCACTCAGAATAACCAAAAAGTTAATTCAAAGTTGAATTTTTTTTATATATCTAAAGCTCGTCTTGTAATTAATTAATTTACGCAATTACCAAAGTATATGTATCTATGTAGGTTTTAATATGTGTCACACTAAAGTTCATACTACTATACTATTTCCTTTAGTTTTTTTTTCCTTTTTTTCTTGTCCAAATATGTACATGATGAATAGTGTATCGTATATTCATTGCATTTTTAATATTGAATATTAAATTCTGAACAAAAAAAAATATTGAATATTAATTTAAAATGTGTTTCTTGTACTCATTCTATCATTGAAAAGTATAACAGAGCGATTAAATAAAGATAAAAAAGCTATAAGACATGACCAACACTGCTTTGTTAAATTATGTTAAATAAACATATATTATTAGGTGTAAACAAACATTGTTCTTAATCAAGAAACTTTTAGTTAAACTAAAAAAATTTTAGACAAGATGATGCCATCGTTTATAATGGAAATGAAAATAATCATCCAAATGACACCTAATTCGAGCCAATCGTTTCATTAAGAATTTCTCCTAAAAAATGTAAATTAGACAAGACAATGTCATTGTTCTTACTTAACCGGCATCACTGTAGAAGACAAAGTCAACCCTAATGTCAATAATCAATCTTAGCTCAAAATTAACCTTAGACTTTGCAGATATGAACGCTTACAAATGCTTTTAGAGATGGCGTCGGACCTTCCTATGCAAATTTTCTTTTTTGGGTATTATTTTTCTCGATGACTTACTGCATCAATCGGTCCAGAGAAGTCCACCAACTCGCCAAAAGGCCCAAAAAGCCGAAGGTCCACAAGCTAACCAGATGATCTAATTTATATGGTCTGTATATTAAGGCAAAACACTCAATTAACTCACTGTTTATTCCTTCCAAAACTACTATCAATAAAATAGTAAGAAAAATTGAACAATTAAGTTCTACCTACAAGGCTACAACGCACACACCCATCTTGCTTCACTCAAAGAATAACTACCCTCACTTATTTCCGCAACTCCAAAAACAACTCAAAAATTTTCTTTTTCAGGCGGCTCTCAATCTATTACTTTTTCTTGGGGAAAGAACTACCAAAAACCCTAAACTATGCCCACTATGACACATTTACCCTAAACTTTTTTCAGTGACACAAAAATTCCCAGACTTATACCTGTGTAACACATTCACCCTCCGTCAAAATTGTCATTGAGAATCGTTAAAAATCTACCTACATGAACGCTAGAAAGCAAACAACGTTGACATGGTATCCACGTTGCTTAAGTGAAATAAAAAAGACGTTGTTTGACTGAAAATTCTCTAATGAAACCTTGACGGAGCGTATATGTATCAATTACATCGAGCGCTTTATGGAATGAAATAGGCTCCCCATGCATGGTATTCCAAGTTTAGCTCAACAATAGAATCCATTGGTCTTGAATCTTGTCCCTAGGACCATGCTCTTTTTATTAAACACTCATCTTGTAGGTCCATTATGCTGCTCTAATATGTGAACGATATGGTTATTACTGGTGATTATTGTACTGGCATTTTAAAACTCCAACACTATCTCAATTAACAGTTTCAAATGAAAAATCTTGGATGACTCGGCTACTTTTTAGGTTTGGAGGTTAGTTCATATTTCTATGGTTATTATCTTTCTCAAGTATTTAAATGCTAACTACACTGGTGACTATCAAGATCGTCGCTCACTGCGGGCTACTATTTCTTTTTGGGCAACTCACTTATCTTATGGCGTAGCAAAAAAAAGACTATTGTCACTTGCTTTAGTACGAAAGTAGAAAATCGAGCTCTTGCTGATACGATATCAGAATTATTATGGTTGTGATGGCTACTAGAAGTAGAAGATATGGGAGTGTGTCATTATAGCGGTACAGTCATCAATTGCAACAATTGTAGTGCTATCCAGATAGCACATAATGATTTTTTTATGAACGCATCGAGAACATTGAAATAAATTGTTTCATCTGATTTTGTGGCATTGTTTGATTTGTATCCACTACATCTGCTTATCAAACTACGTATATTTTCACCAACACACATCCATCTAAGCGTTTGCTGGATCTTTCCTCCAAACTCCAGTTGACTTCCTTTAAGTCACCTTGAGTTTGAGGGGGTCTTAGAAAGATATTTAGAAGTACAATTTAGTATTATGTTAATTGTGGTTAACCTTACTTGTAATTAATTCTAATTGTTTTCCCTCCCTGTATATAGGGGTCTTGTACTCTTGTTCCGGTAATGTACACAATATTACATTTTTCTCTAATTTACAACAAATCTCAACTCTCCCAATTCCCCCAATTCAACTCAATCATTCTCCCAACTGGAATAAAATAAGGTCAAGGCAAAAATTCATACGTTGGTCCATCTCCAAGCATGAAGCTTTCCCCGAAAATTTCAGATGGCCAAGATTTTGGGTTTCCAAAAATCGCATTTTGGGACACTGTCGACGGTCCAAATCGAATTCGTTCTGTTATTTTTATTTTCCCCATTTTCCTTTATGAAGAAAATTTAACTTTTGCTCATTTTAATTTTTTTTGGGCAAGAATTCAATTAGTGTGTAAGAGCAATGTGGCAGCCACACGGGAGCCAGCGCGGCACTAATCCCCCACTTAATAGCCACAAAAGCATTTTAGTATGTTTTTCTAACAGACAAATGACAAATTTTGAACAAATTAATGTATAATTTATGGATTTAATCGTCTAATTGCACATTTGGAAAAAAGTTCAGAACTCGGCGGCTTTATTTCAATAAAAAAAAATAGAACAAGGAAACTACAAAATAAAGGACAACGGGGCAAGGTCATGAGGTACATGATGGTCAAGGGCGTACCCGTATGGACTTCTACTTTTTATTTCTTCGCTTAAATCTTGTAACGGAAGCGTATTAATTTTTTAACCCGAACCACCATGAAGTTTCACAGTATATATATGTTGTCACGTAAATTCATGTATAATTCTTTATATTATTTTTTCTAATTTGAACAATATTCTAAATTACAATGGAAAAAAGAACCGCCTTTTACTTTTAGAATCGTCCAAACAAACACGACCAAAGTATAAGGGCTAACGTTTCCGAAGAGTATTATCTTAAAGAGCAACGGTGATGCTGTTAAAAAAAATTTCTCAATGCTTTATTACTACCGAGATCGTTTGGGTCACCATCCCCTGACAGACATATCTTTATTGGGTGTGATATTCTCAATAGGCTAAGATTTGAAAGGGGGTGACACATTGACAGTTCTTTCGTTCATATTTGCCCAAATATTAGGTAGACCTATCAAAATGGATCATAAATTCATTTCTTAACCCATATTTAATGGGTTGAGTTGTTATATAGGTCAGTTATATTCAGTAAATAAGTCATAAATGGAATTACAATGGTAAAGCAAAAAATAATATGTGTGTTAAATGGGTTCATAATTAACAATTAGTCAAGTTGGTATGAGTTTCGACCAAAAAAAAAATCGGCTATGAGTCATTAGGTTTATATTGCATAGAAATATATCCAAACGAGTTAAATTGGTCAATTTAAGTCAATCCATTTCCAACCCGACCCACTCGTTTGACGAGTCAAATACTGGGAAATGCAGTGGGGAAAAGTCTAGTAAACTAATTATATTTATTTAATCAGCTGTGCGTACATAAGCGGGGCACTTGGCGAAAACATATTCCAATCCAAAGTACTTAGCAAATTAATCTTCATTATCGATTCTATTAGTTGTAGTTAACGGGATACGTGCGACATAGACATGCAAATGGATAATACATCGAAGTTAATTGATCATTGCAACTTAAAAAAAGAATTAACAAATGAAAGAGGAACAGCACATGATGTTGGCCGATAAACCGTATGTTGACTAGCTTAGGTATTTCTATGTTTTTCTTCGAAGTTCGAATGGACCATAACATAGTCTTTCTTGGCTTTACAGTTGCGGTGGTACACCTGCAATACTGATGCTCTTAACTAACGTTAACCTATCTTTTCTGCCGAAAACGATAACAGATGTCACGATTTGTGTGGGCTTTTTTTACTATTATTATTATCACGTCATTATCATCACTGTTGCTGCTATTGTCAAAGATGGCGACGCAGCCAGATACGCAAACATCAACATGGTTTGGTTGACAGCACTGACGTTTCAAGAGAGCTTTCTTCTTATCCTTCGAAAGCGACAACTCGCGAGCATATTTTGTGCTTATGTTCTCCTTTTGTCTTTGTTAACTCTGCATTTCCAGCCCCTAAAACTTCTGGTTTTCTCCTGGGTATGTGCATTAGCACGTCGCGATCGATTATCCTATTGAATTATATAAGTGAGAAAAAGAGCAGTCAATGGACGACTAACTACTAAATGGGACACCGAAGTACGCGAGACATGCATTAACCTACAACAAAGTGGAAAATATTCTTCGGACTTGGATCTATATTGGTTCGAGTTCACCTAATTAGTTGCTGCTTATGTTAATCTAATGTGTGTTTGGTTGACCTCAAACACTGTACCTTCTTCAACAACTCCCTCTATATATCCTCCATCTAAATTTCTCAACAAAAATAAGCAGCCCATATCTTTTCCCATCTCCACCAATCTGAATTAGATTCGAGATACGAAGGAAAAATGGTCTTCCACCACACTTCTCTTCAATCCAGCATGGCCACTTTCGACCTTGATCGAAGTGAGGACGACGATGTTTACTATGCCGAGCTCGAGAGGCAGATCCTAGAATTAACGGCCGAGGAAGATGAGGACGGTGGTTTTCTCGAAACCAAGCATCGGGGCAACGTCGCTAGAGCTTATAATGATGCAATGAAGGCTAATTCTTTGGCTTGTGCGAAGGGTTTGGGCCATTTTAATTCGTGGGAGAAGAAGAGCACCAATTCTTCCGTACCGGATTGCATTTCGAGCTCATGGCAAAAGAGCAACGGAACCGGTGTTTTCATTCCTAACATCGTCAAATCAAGAACACGGCATGCGTCAGGTAAGATTGAGCGATTTGTCGTGGTTTCTTGCTCTTGGGAGTGTACTTAACTTTGTCTTCCTCAAGTTTTCATCGATCTCTTCTGATATTTTTGGGTGATCTTGTGAGGATATAGATTGATATTGTGAATGGCAGGTGTGATTGCAGATCAGAGCGCAAACTATGGGAGGAAAAGAATTTACAGGCAGGTGGATCAGAGCGAGAACAGCAAGTACTTGGCGTCGATGACTACTTGGAGGTCTAAACGAGAGATGAGGTTGTCCAGTCAAATCATGATCGAAGGAGGATCAAGGTCCATGGAATGAACTGTAGAATACAGACCAAGGTTGTGTGATATGAATCTACTTTCTGCAAATTCAAGTTTGGCCGTAGAATAATCAAACGATGGGGTAAGTGGGATCCGCGCCCAACATCTGATCTGCAACATGGAAGATGAAGCTCTTAGATGACGATGCAGATGTACTCGAGCAGTATCGATTTTGCTTTCGTTTGATCAGATGTTCGGAAAGCTAGGGCAAATCTATGTGTTGCTTGCTGTTGGCGCTGTCTCCATGCAGTGGAGCCTAATCACATAGCCCGTTCATAAATAATGTTCTTTCTGCAAACAATCAAATGGTATCATTAGCCAAATACACGGTCGCATGGAAATGAAGAGATGTATTAAGCATATGAAACCATTTGTTTCGCCTAATATGCGACATATGATCTGATCCACGTAGATACCCTAGTTAACCAAAATAATTGTAGTCTTAACGAGGAAATAACCCGAGACCTAAAAACTTCTAACATGCCTTCTCTTCCTCATCTCCGCCAGGCGCCCGCTTTCCCCCCCTCCCTCCCCCCACCCTCCGCCACCGTCGCATCTGCCTCGGCCCCATGCCGACATGCCCACCATCACATCCCGTCGCCGTCGCCATCATCACGCATGCGATCGTCGCGACAGCAGAGGTGACAACCCATTGCACGGATAGCCCCCTCAAGCCTAAAGTGGCCCAAAGGCTTTGGGACCTCGGATCCGACGTTGGGATCTAACATTCGAGGCATTGGCGGCAGCAGATCTGAGGTTGGGATCTAATGAACGGTAGCTTGGTTTCTTACAGAGAGAACAATGCACCTTAGGGTGCGCACGAATACCATTATGTGCCCGGGCGCTATTTCTGAACAGAAATGATTTTTTTTTATTCTGTGCCCGGAAACAATTTCTGAGTATTTAAAGGCGTTTGATAAATGTCCAAAATTTCTATTCCTAGAGTAGAAAAGAACAGAAATGCGTTTGGTAACTACACAAAATTTCTGTTCCCAAATAATATTTTAATAATATTTTGAATTGTTTAATTTTTTTTTTCTACTTTCTTCTTTGGCCATGGCCGGTCGCCGGCGACCGGCCACAGCCCAGGGCCGGCGAGGGCGAGGGCTGGACCCTCGCCGCCTGGGCGAGGCGGCCTCGCCGGATCCGGGCGAGGCCGAGCCTCGCCGTCTGCGGGCGAGGCCGACCTCGCCGTCGCGACGGACGGCGAGGCTCGGCCTCGCTCGATCTCGGGCGAGGCCGCCTCGCCCAGCGGCGAGGGTCCGCCCTCGCCCTCGCCAAGAAGGGCCGTGACGCCCTCGCCGGCCCTGGGCTGTGGCCGGCTCAGCCAGGAAGAACAACACACAAAATAAGAAATGAAAAAAAAGAAAAAAAACTGATTCTCAAAATTGTGCCGAGAAACAAGAAGCAACTTTTTTTTACTTCTTGTTTCTCTTCCAAAACTGTTTCTCGGCACAAATTTTTGCAAAAATGTGCCGAGGAACAAAAAGTTTACCAAACGCATTTCTGTTCCCAAACTATTTCTGGGAACAAAAGAACAGAAATTTTCACTATTTGGCACGTTACCAAACGGGCCCTTAGGGTGCGCATGAATACCATTCTGTGCCCGGGCGCTATTTCTGAACAGAAATGATTTTTTTTTATTCTGTGCCCGGAAACAATTTCTGAGTATTTGAAGGCGTTTGATAAATGTCCAAAATTTCTATTCCTAGAGTAGAAAAGAACAGAAATGCGTTTGGTAACTACACAAAATTTCTGTTCCTAAATAATATTTTAATAATATTTTGAATTGTTTAAATTTTTTTTTTCTTTTTACATTCTTCTTTGGCCATGGCCGGCGAGGGCGTCATGGACCTCGCCGGCCGCCGGCGGAGGCGAAGGTCGCCCTCGCCGGCGAGGGCGAGGGCGAGGGCTGGACCCTCGCCGTCTCTGGGCGAGGCCGACCTCGCCGTCGCAACCGACGGCGAGGCTCGGCCTCGCTCGATCTCGGGCGAGGCCGCCTCGCCCGGGCGGCGAGGGTCCGGCCCTCGCCCTCGCCGGCGAGGGCGACCCTCGCCTCCGCCGGCGGCGGGCGAGGGCCGTGACGCCCTCGCCGGCCCTGGGCTGTGGCCGGCGGCCGGCTCAGCCAAGAACAACACCACAAAATAAGAAAAGAAAAAAAAGAAAAAGAAAAAAAAAACTGATTCTCAAAATTGTGCCGAGAAACAAAAAGCAACTTTTTTTTACTTCTTGTTTCTCTTCCAAAACCGTTTCTCGGCACAAATTTTTGCAAAAATGTGCCGAGGAACAAAAAGTTTACCAAACGCATTTCTGTTCCCAAACTATTTCTGGGAACAAAAGAACAGAAATTTTCACTATTTGGCACGTTACCAAACGGGCCCTTAGTTACCGAAGTATTTGAAGTTTACTTTATTTTTATTTTTTTTCTAAAGACGCAATAAAAAATAATTATCGCATCGGTACGTCACTTAAGAACTTCATCTTATAAAAAAAATTAAAAAAAAAAATAGTTACTCGTGTAATTTATGATTGATCATAAGAATTAAATTCTTCTTACGGGGACACTAATTAAAAAAAAGTGAGTAAACAGTAGGAGATTAGCTTTGACTTTCGAGCTCTGCACCAGCATTTACCAAAACACCCCTTCATTTTAGCCCAAAGGTCTCCGTGGCTTCCGACGCCCTCTGAATTGCTTTCCCAAAAGGGATAATGACACAAATAATCTATAAATCTTAACTTAATATATAATGTGATCTCTGAATTTTTAATTATGATCCTTGAACTTTGGCCTAATGTACAATGTAATATCTAAACTCTTAATTTATTCATATAGCCCCTACACTTTTAGTTCAAGTTCAAGTTAGTCCCCGAACTATATGAAAATACTCAATATTATCTTTCCAAAAGTTAAAAGAGACAGCATTGCACATTGGGCTAAAGTTGAAAGACCACATTGAACTAATTAATAGTTTAGGAATCACATCACATATTGAGTCAAAGTTCAATGTTTCCCTTCCCAAAGCTTACCCTTATCGTATGCCCGCGTTCAAAAGCATAGAAAAACTACCCTTAACCTATTGTACGGATGCCAATTCGATCTTAAATATTCCGATTTCGCAAATGTAGTCCTAAAATTTTGCACGAAACCCCCAACGTAGTCCTTTCGGCCAATTGCCACCTAAAATCGCTGACGTGGCAATACACAAGGTTGTTCATACCAGCGCGGCTGATGATGATTGAGATCCATGTCGGCCTTTTGAAGGATTATATTGGAATTTCCATGCAAGGGTCTTAAGATTGTATTGACGAAATTGAAAGGCTTTAAATCGAATTGACATCCATATGATAAGTTCAAGATCAATCGGGAAATTAGCCCCTCAGAAACGAAATATGAACATTTGCAAGCGACAAACAGAAGGGTTCACGGTTCAAGATATCTTTCCCTTCTTATTCTCCTTCCTTCTGGGGCCACCGACATCGTTCGCATCGATTGAACATTCGTGAGCGCACGCTGTCCCCCGGGAAGCGTCATCAAGAATCTTCACCGTAGCGACCAAAACCGCAACCTCATCGTTGCTTGTACACAGCCCTCCACCATATCACAACATTTATGGACCTGACAACAATTGCTCCATCCCCAGCTATTACCATTTCTTCGCAGCAAATTGGATTTTGGGTTACCGTTTAATCGTCTCATCCAAATATGCAAAATGTGTAAAAGAGCAAAACCCGAGCTCCAATCATTAGGTTCGCCAACCCCGGCATAAGAACATAGTTCCGCGCGCACGTGTTCACAGTTAGATGATCGATATGCATTGTCGGGTATTAGATTCGGTAACGGTACTTTAAAACTTGTACGCCGCGAAACACACGCGCCGTGTCCGTTCGCCCCGAAGCACGCGCCGTTTTATCGCGAGATTAACATGTCGTGATTCTAGCAGATTACGCGTGTGTAATGACAGGACTCGAGAATCAAAAGTTGTTGCCCCTCAATCCCATCGATTCTTCCTAACTAGCCAACCCAGTCAAAGTGAGCACGAATTCAATGCCAACGCTTAATAAAGGGACGCGCACTAATGTCCAAAGAACAGGCGAGATTCCTTGGACTGCTTTCCATTTGGAGACATTTCACCGACCCATTTCTCTTGCAGACCTGTGTGGGATTCAAATATCATTGACCCCAAACACGGCAACCTATTTCGTGCCCCCTACCTCTTGTGCCTCTATATATACGTGCGTGCGCTGTGTGCGTATGTTCATCATCTTCACCTGACCAGATAGATACCCGTTCGTTCGTTTCGTGATCTTGCTCCATGGACTACCCACCTTTTTTCCATCATCCCGGCATCTCGGCGGCCAAGGACCCCGCCCCACATCTCCTCGGCTTGGAGAAGAGGGAGGAGGACGACGTCGATCTCTATGCTGAGCTGTGGCAACAGATCCTGCAGCTGACTTCGGACGAGGACGACAACCCAGCCGGCTCGAAGAATCAAGGCCCGTGCCCGGTCGCTGCTGCGCCGCCTCCTCCCGTGAGCTGTTTCGATTGGCGGATGATCAACATGAACGTCGAGCTGTCGCCACCAGCTTGGCTGCTCAGCCCGCCGAGGAGCGCGAGTGGTACGGGAGTGTTCATTCCGAGCGCTGCCGCAACGGGAAGGGGGCATAATCGAGGTGTGTCTCTAGGCCGCTTCTTCCTTTTCTGATGGAAATGGATTGATTGGTTCTACTCTGGCTAGATAGGAACTTCAACGTGACACAAGCATTTGATCCTGCTCTGACTGCTGTGATATCATTTCTCTTCCTTGGTATGCAGGAATAGGGGCCAAGAAGAAGAAGAAGAAGGCCAAGAAGCAAGTAGAGAACAAGTGAACTCGAGCCGCCGCGGCAATCCGCGCGGATCGCCGCAAAGATATCATGGCAACTATTATGGCAGTTTAATAAATAGGGAATAAGCTGTTTTCTTACTCTGGAACATGGTTGATAAGGGAAAGAAACATGAGATATTTGACAACCAATCACCTACTTTTGCCTAAAGAGATAAGAGTGCAAATGCAAAATGTGCTTCCAGTGCTTCTCTTTTCTCAAGATTATTCTCGAAGCCGTAAACCATGTGGAACTTTTTTCGACTAATATAGCTTTCATATAAATGCGGCCCGGATCGCTTTAGTTGCAGTCAGTGGTCATAAGTGGATCCCCACTAGAAACGTTAATTTCAATCAAAACTAATAATTACGATCAGAAGAGTTTAGCAGAACAGATGTTTTCGGTCCTAGGACGAGCTAACCATAACGAACTTAGAGCTCGGAGACGCGAGATGTAGTCGTTGATAACGAGAAGAGCGCGGGCTGCTTGACGGGTCGTTAATATGCGATGCATCTGTTGGAGCGTTTGCTGTCTCAAGAGGTCAGCCTGTTTGAGAAGGAACAAAAAGAAATGAGTTTCACGCGAATAAATCTTCCTCGCATATGCAAGGTTTTCTTCTAAAAGATATAGATAATATCAAATACAATAAGCAAAACTTCAGATGTTTCGAAAGACATGACTTCTGTGATTAAAGTAGCACCTGGTGAACGAAGTTTTCAAGAGTGGCCAATTTGCCCATCGCAATAGCCATTTGGCCCATGTATTCTGCGACATTTCCCGAAGCAGTAGGACTCAGTGTGGTAGAAGAAAGTGTCTCCACGAGAGATTGCTGCAGAGCTTCCATTCCCTGAGATAAAGCATCTTCAGCCTGTTGCGAAGATTGCTGCAGATTACATATGCCCATCAACTGTTGTTCCGTCAAAGGCTCAAGGTGGTTCCCGAGTATCTGAAGGTCCAAAATTATGCGGACAGCAAAAGATTAATTCCCAGAACACCCTTCTATCTTAGTCAACGGCAGAGGAGCTTGTAAAGAAATCGATCACCTTGAGAAGTTCAGACGATCGGAAACCGCCCAACCACATGAAACACCTCTCAGTGGGCGTCTTCCACATGCCGGAGAGTATGTGGAACACATCAGCCTTTGCACCTATGTTCTTCAGTCTGAATATCTCATCGTAGTGAACCATCACAGCATCCACGAGTATCTGGAGTTCATTATCGTTCAATTGGGAGTTCACTCCGGATCTTAGGTCATTGATCAGCCGTTGATGCTCATCAAGCCACCGAGCATAGTCGGTGTCAAAGGCCATGGCCCCTGCAAGACTAAAAATGTGAGAAACCACTTGGTCAAACTTTCAAGTAAATCAATTTGAAATATCGAGTAATCCCATCAGTAAAATCCTTCTTCGGAGAGCATCCCGTAAGGTCAATGTAATGAGAAAAACAAGAAGATCCCCTAACATGCAATACTTCCCACAAAATGAGCCAATAGAACCACCATGACCGGTAACCATATGCATAGATGAACGCATAGTCCACAGGCAAAATCTGCAACATGTTTCCATTTCCAGATGCGCCAGATGACATCATTTACCACCGGAATTCGCTCAACCTAAGCTAAAGAAATTTCTCCTTTTCTCTTCATTTTTGTATTAACTACATAACATCAATTGAGTCATTTACCAGTAATCGGAATAACTATCAGGAGCCAATATTATCTCTTCCATACTATGAGAAGACCAGTGTTAGTCGACTTCTCAATGCAGGCAACAGGAACACATACTTCGAGTTAAATGTATAGCAGTACTTTGATCTTTCAATATTAATTAGCAACTGTTTATTGATCAGAAATGGACAGAAAAGACCACGCTGATCTGAAAAGAGAAGTGCATGTGGAGACAGACATGAACTGCACCAAATAGATGGACCGCAGCAGCTTAAACCCTGGGAAAGAAACTCAAAAAACAAGGGACTAAAACCTTTGCTTGTCATCCTCACCATTGCCAGTGGCAGCCATGTTATGACTGAGATCCCCAGGAATTCCAGAAGCAACTAACATACCCTGCATGGAAAACAAAATCCGAAAAAAGAAAATGAGTTCTTGAACTTCACAAGCTGAGAATGAATAAACTTTTCACGTGCAAATATTGAAACTCATCTCACCTGCTGGCGGGCTCGTTGAAGCTCCTGTTCCAGTTGCATAAGCCTGAGCCTACTATTTTCCAGTTGCAGAACATATGCCTACAAGAAATCAAAAGGCAAAATTAATCCTAGTACCAAACTTCCAATACGTTCCCTATCAGATGAATTATATGCATATTCCTAAAATTCGAAAGCTCGACAAACAGATCAAGTTGTGATACTGTTCTTAGAAATCCTCTTTGAGAGAGAGATGCCCAGATCATTCAGAATTCTGACTTGAGCTGACACCTCGGCAGCTATTCTACCATCTACCCAAGTTCAGAATACTTATAAAAATTGAAATTTTTAAACATTGAATAATAGAATATTGAAACTATACAGATTATCAGCCTTCGAATAAAGTAGACATTGGTTTTACAGATAAGAAAAAATGCTAAGATGGAGAAGCTTGTAGGTGCCAAAAATCACTTGGTGGTTTTTATATAAACAAAGCTTCCAAAAGATGAAAGCACAAGGACACACAGTGGTTCGACCAAAAAAAAAAAAAAAAGGACACGTAGTGAATAAAACCTCCCCTCCCTCACAGCAAGGCCATTCAAATTCCACTGAAAAATTGCGACCAAAAAAGATTCCACTGAAATCTAAGTTATCCATCATTTGCTTGACACTTTGCTCTTCCAATTTGGAAGATAGAGAGCTGATGGAGACACGATCACGACACGAATATAAAAGAACCATGAAAGTACCTTCTTTCTAAGTCGACTCTTCCTCGCAGCTTCTCTATTTTGGGCCAGTCTGCGGAGCGTCTGAAGCAAAAGAGGCACGAGAGGTTTACTAACACTCTAAATCCACACATAGCACCCGCTCTAGCAACCAGAACACAGTGAAAACATACAAAACGGAGACCACCTTAACATCACTCATTCTCATTTTAGGTTGATCCGCAGAGTCAACAGCCACGAGCGCTCCTCGCTGAACCCTATACAACTGCACACATAAATATGCAGACAAGCATTATCTCAAGAACATTGAAACCTCTTCCGCTTTAATATGTTTACAACTCCCCATGAAAATTGATACATTTCGTGTACCCAAGTTGATCAGGGGATAAGCCAAAACTACACCCATCTGCCGTCATAACTTGAAAAACAGACAAAAAGAAAGGATCATAAGATAGCAAAACTTGCAAGAGAATAAGCGGAGAAACATTGTTTACATGGCGTTTGTCATCAGTGTCAACATCTGTAGATGTATCAGTCTGTTGGCTGTTGTCTGGAGCTGCCATGCCCGAGTCAGCCCAGTTCTCAATTCCCTGCACATTCCCTAATGACCCACCGTTTCCTCCTCCTTTCTCATAAATCTCACCCATTTCCACACACCCTCCTCCTCCTCCTCCTCCTCCTCCTCCTGAAGACACTGTCACTACTCCCGAAGAGCTCATGCACTGTGCAAAAAATCACAACAAGCTCAGAGCTCGTTCTTCTTCACAATGCCTAAAAGTTGCATATCACAGAGAGAGAGAGAGAGAAGAGGTGGGTGGAGTTTAGGAGGCACCGTGTTCAAGCCTCCATAGCTCAGATTGTTTGCAACAAAAGCGATGCTGTTGTTCGGTTTAAGGCTGAAGGCAGAACCTACGTGTATTTAATATTAGGAATCGGTTAGAGCAACAGAAAGCCAGCCAAGAAAGAGACCAAAAGGCCAAGCTACTGCATTTTAAAAAGAAACCCTCAACGAACATATGAATTTCCCAAAAACAGAGAGAGAGAGAGAGAGAGAATACTTGGGCTTAAATCAACAGTATCTTCATGATGAAATGCAGCAACGGACTGTTGGAGCTCGCCGAAATCCGCGAACCGGGTCTGGTTCCGGCTCATCACATCGTCACCTCTGTTTCATCCCTCGAAAAAAAACAGAGAGACACACTTGCATTCACTAACGTATCACCTCCCAAAACCCAAAACCTTCGAAAAGCGACCATCGCTCGAATTCAGCCGAAAAAGAAGAGAGAGACGAAGGGAGATGGCAGAACCTGAGAAAGAAGGAAGCTTGGCAATATATGTCGGTGTTCGTTGGAGCTGCTTTGAAGCTCTGCATGTTTCTTTCGCTCTACAGTGTCACTCTCTCTCTCTCTCTCTCTCTCTCTCTCGCGCTCTAACAACAGAGACACGAGCAGGGACAGAGAGAGAAAACGGGTATGGGGTGAAATCACGAAATCATGTTCGAGAAGAAAGAAAGCAGAGAAAGAACAGAATCAGAGGAGCCCAAGAAGCAGAAAAAACGAAATCTTCTGGCTGTATCTTTAACAACAGGATCGCGCATCAGTACGGCTTCGTTTCTTGAATAACACTTAAAAAATTTACGAGGCCAGGCCCCCTTTATTATTGCTTTCTGACTCGGGATTTCCGTTTCCCGATGCGCACCCCTAAAAAATTTCTCCCTTTTTCCTTTTTTATCCTAGTGCTTCCCCATTGAACCTCCCTCGCCTCTCTTCCCTCTCCCTCCTTCCTCCCATTTGCATGATGATGGAAGGAAAAGTTCTCCTTGAGGTATATATGATGATATGATTTGGCCATGCACCATCCGCGAATAGAAGTCCATTGGAATACCACCAGCCTTATTCCAAAGGCTAATGCAAGCTAAAGTTTCAGATAATAATGGAGCCCAGTGGTGGAGAATGGTGGTCAATTCGCGATTTAAATTAAGCCCACATGAGCTAAAAAAAGTGAAACTTTCAGTGACCAAACTTTATTCCACACGCGTGTCAACTCGCCACCGGTCGCCACCAGTCAAACAAGATTCTATTTCCCAGTTATTAAAGGCGAGGAAGGCGAAGGAAAACTGCAGTAATCACCTTAGTGTCTTCTGTTCTGCTGAAAGCAACACGCGAACGAGCGATCTAGAAGACTTTTTTGAGTAACTGCATGAGAAGGCATTATCTGGGGTAAAACTCATTCATTAGTCATCACGCTTTAGTCGATTCTATCATCAGATCCCTAAGCTTTAATTATAATCGCCACTTGTGCCATGTTTTGAATAAGTGATGCACTTTAACTCGAATTAGGCTAATTTTCCAGCAAAGTGCCGGCTACTTTAGGGTCATGTGGAGGCCAAATTGGGTTCGCGAACTCAGGCACACGTGAGCAGATCATTGAAAAAATCGAGCGGACCCTATTCAAAGTGCATCGAATTGTAAAGAAATTATAACTTACTACTACATTTTCTTGTACGACGAGGAAGTCACCTGATCCAACCTCATAGATTAGGTAATTATGCAGGCCAAAACTAGCGTCCAGGGGTCAAACACAAAATTTATTCACATGTTGTAAGCGCGAGGAATTGAAATCGGTGATGGAAGTCATTTCAGTGACGTTAGTTTCGAAGTTAAACCCCACTAACCCCAGCGACCGTCGAGGAAATATCTTTCAATTTTCGGACGTTTACTTCTTACTATGTAAATTTTTACTTTCTACTTCGAAAGTCAAATCTTTCTTGGATCATCGAAAGCAAGAACTAGAAGGACACCTGCCAAGTGCCAACACATAAACATGTCGATGAATCATAAAGTCGCATTACTGCCGCAAGCATCTTTCAGCTTCATTGCATTGATCTTGCAGTAAGTACGTTAGAAATTTCTTCTCTTTCTTTTACAGTTTTCACGAGTTTGGCCAGGCCACGCACCCGCAAGAGGAGAGCGAGGAAGGAAAAAAAAAAAAAAACACAGAGAGAGACCAAAACCCAAGACGCAGAGGACCTCCTCCTCTGATCGCCCTGATTCTCTCTCTGTGCTGGGTTTGATTCTTTTGTTTGTTTCCGTCTCTCCAGTCTCCCTCTCTCTCTATAGAGCCTAGCGATGCTCTCCCTTTTGATTCCCCCATCCCTCTCCCTCTCCCTCTCCCTCTCCAGGAATAGTTAGTGTACAGTGCACGTAAGTCTCCAGGTCCGAGCTAAATGTCAGAGGAAAAGGATGATGGGATGGTGATGGGATGCGATCTCAGAGAGAGAGAGAGAGAGAGAGAGAGATCTCAGAGGGAGACTTGGTAATAAGTACGGGATAGCAAACGAGACAAAAGAAAACAAGAACAGTACGATCTCGATGTGGTCGTTATTTATTACGCTGGGGTGGGTCGTTAATAAAGGCCAAGGCATTGCTTGAACGAAACCTCTTCATTATGCAGCGACGCTGAGGTGAGGGCCTTCATCGGATCGCAGGGACTGTCTCCCGACATTTATGTCACCCCCCCCCCCCCCCAATATCCCAAAAGTCATTCCAAACCCGCCCCTAACAACTGTTCTCGGGAAAAAAAAAGAGAGAAAATCCTGAATAAAGATATCAACCGTCTTCATTTTCTTAAATAACAGCATGAAATGAACTTTTATGTCAAACGAAAATCTGAAACGATTATGGCTATTTCAAATAAGGGTCTGACCTCGCAGGTCGTCGACCAGCTAAATATCCCGACCGATCGCGGGCATTTTCGTCCCGAGATAATTTTATTTTTAAATTACTTTTTACTTTTTTCTCGTTTCTTTTTTTTTCTTTCCCGTGGCTTTCGAGGGCGGCCTCGCCCAGGGTGAGGATTGCCTTGCCAGCGGCCGGCGGGGAAGAAAGAAAAAACCAGAAAAGGTAACAAAGAAAAAAAAATTCAAACTGTAAAGGACGAAAATGGCCTTGACCATTCGGAAAGTCGAGCCATTTTTTGAAACTGACACAACCACTACAAATTCTTATTTGAGAAAATGATGGCGCTGCAAGCGCATCTTTAAAACAATATCTATTTGAAGCTCTTATTTAAAAAAAATGAGGATACTTCATACCCTTATTTGAAATTAAAAAAAACAGTTCTTTATATCGATAATAACACAAATGGTTCCTAAAATTTTATCCAATATGTAATATCATCCTTGAATTTCTAACTTGTTCAGCGTAATTCTTAAACTTTAACCTTATGTACAATGTCATCCCTTAACTTTTAGCATGTTCAATGTGGTCCCTGAACTTTTAATAAATGTTCAATCTTGTCCCTAAATTATATGAAAATATCTAAGGTATGGACAACATTGGAAATTTTCATCTAGTTCGTGGGCTAAATTGAATATGTATCAAAAGTTAATGGACAACATTGAACAAGTTAAAAGTACATGAACGATATTGCATATTGAGCTAAAGTTCGTGGATCATTTGTGTCATTTTCCTTTCTCTAAATAATTGCATTAAAATTACGATATAAGTATTGCAATAACGAGTTACTTGCATCTTTGTTTGCGATTTTCCAAACTCAAATCAATGATAAAAGAAAAGGCTTAGATGCTTAACTCAACATAGACCAGACTTAATTTATTCGATGTTGAGCTTGAATCGATTTTGGCTATTATTTGCGTTATCGGAAATGGCAATTCGCAGGCAAACCGTTCTTTTCTCGAGCATGATATTTTTAGAATAGTACCTTTAAAGATCCAAAACTGGTATCCCATGATACATTGACCCTAATCAAATTTTCACCTCACAAAAAATCTCAAATCGGTATTCACAGCCCAAATCTACCCTCAATATTAATATTCTGTCCAATGCCCTCATCGAATCAACACATGTCAACACGCGTGGATCTTCCACGTCGCACTTGTCATTCTCCTCATCAAATTCGTCTTTCAATCGTTTGCCGCGCGTGTTTAACACGTAACGAGACATTAGATGCCGACGGAGAGTAGATCAAGGCTCGGATATCAGTCTGGGTTTTCCGTGAGACGAAAATCAGTCTTGGATAAAATGTATATATGTGGGGTACCGGCTTCCAATCTTCAACTATGATAACCCTATTTCTCGGTACAAGGCTTTAGGGGTAAATATGGTTTCAGGATAGAACCTGGAACTGGACAGGTACCTGAGAACCGGACCGATGGGAACCTGTCCGGTTCCAAGTTCCTAGGTATGAAGGATAGATTTCAGGTTCTAAAAATTGGGAAACTTATTTCGACAGGTAGATTCTAGGTTTTAAGTAGGTGGAACCTGGAATGAGTTTTTGTGTTTTTCTTAGTCTATGTCTTTGCGTAATCTTGCAATATTTCATAGTGTCCGATAACGAGTGTATAATCTAGAACCACTTATCTGAATTTCCATATTATGATCGAGACTTTTACTTTGTTAATGTTTTATATTTGTTGAGTGTTTAACTATCAGTTGTAGTCGGTGGATTGTAGCGGCAAATGGTTGTCATAAAAGGTGATGTTTAACTGCAAATAATAAAAGTGGAACCTTGGGAGACTCTGAAACTGATACTAGAACCCGTGACAAGGTAGGTTTCAGGTTCTAAAATATGCATGGTAGATTCTAGATTTCAAAAAATGAGAAATCTATTCCAACGGGCCGGATCCAGGTGGAACCTGTAGAGACCTACCGCTCACCCATCCAGAGCTTCCCACGTTTGAATCTTGGGACTGCCACTCCTAATCTCAAATGTTTGAATATTTGGGATAACAAACGTCGAAACACCTAAGGAAAGAACATTATACTCGTCCATTAAATACGTCGCCGTCTCCGCCCCTCGAAACTGTAGATTACCAAGTCACACCAATAATGATGATGATGCAATCGAGCTTTGACTATGTCCTGAAGAGATATTTGTTTTATTATTTTATTTTTCTCTCCAATGACGTGAGCTTGAAATAAATTACGGTGGCGACGCACCGAGATTCTTTTATTCGCTTACGTGATCGGACGTCCCAATTTAAATGAAGTTTATTCGAAGTTGCTAGAAAAAGGACAACAAACGTCTTTTGCGTGCACCCTTTATCTTCTGCGTTCCCAATCGTTCCCGACAAGCAATCGCCCGAGTTCTTAGCCCACGACAAGTTACATCCATGACATTAATTTTGGGGGCAATTCTTTCATCTCATATCGATTCTTTCCTTTCCTTTTCTTTCTCGTAAGGAATAATAACACAAATAATTCATAAATTTTGACCTAATGTGCATTTAACTTTTAATTTATTCAGTATAATCACTGAAATTTAGCCTAATATTCAATGCGGTCTCTGAATTTTTAATTTATTCAATACGGTCATTGGACTTTTGACATATGTTCAATGCATTCCTTAGATTATATGAAAATATTCAATGTAGTCCCTGAACTTGAACTAATTAAAGGACTACATTAAACATGTTCATATAATTCAGGGACCACATTGAACATGTAACAAAAGTTTAGGGATGACATTGAACAAATTAAAAGTTCAGGGACCACATTATACATTGGATTGAAGTTCAGTGATTACGTTGAACAAATTAAAAGTTTAGGGATCATATTACACATTAGGTTAAAGTTCATGGACAGTTTGTGCTATTTCCCCTCTTCGTAATTACGAAGTCTAGTGAGAAAAAACAAAAAAGGGAAAAAACCAAGTACTCATTGGCTTGTTCCAAAATCAATTTTATTTATTAATGATGATATGTTATGACAGGCTGATATCGATGTATCGCCCAGTTAAATCGATTTCCTCATATAAAGGAAAGAGTAAAGCTTTTTAAAGAACAGAAAAAGAGTTCCTAAAAATCTAACACGTGATCGTCGGACTCGGACGTAAAACGACGTCGTGCTGTGCGGGCAGGCAACTTCAAAAACAAATTTCTCCCGATTCTTGTCCCGGTTCACAAGTCATATAGCTCAGCTGGTACTTCCGTGGCGCCGAAGAAGAAGACATGCAGTGATGCGACTCTTCTCATCCTCGGCGTGACCCGGACCCGACGACGACCCATCTCGCATTTCTTCTCCGTCGTCTTCTCCTCCCCGTCGCTCGCCGCTTCTTTCGCTCCGGAGCTCCGCGAAGATGAGCTCCATCTTGCAGGTAATCCCGTTCGTTCCGCTCGCATCCTTCGGTTCTCTGATCGCGTTTGGCTTGGCCGTGGCTGACGAGCTGGATCGTGTTTCGTGCGTTGCGCGTTCAGGGGTTCTCCAAGTCCCTCGCCATGACGGTGCTCTCTGAGATCGGGGACAAGACGTTTTTCGTTGCCGCGGTGAGTCCCCGTCGTCGTGCTTCGCTTCTCTTCTGTTGACTGTTTGCTCGCTCTTGTTTTTCTCGAGTCGTGGGGTCTGTGGGGAGTCTGTGTAGGCGGAATGAGATTGATTTGAGAGGCGGTAACGATTCGCCTGCTCATGTGAAGGAGGGGGTTGACTCTTAGCTTGGTGTCTGCTTGTTTGTGTTAAGAGAAATTATTGGAAAGGACTCGATTCCTACAACTTTACGAATTTAAATGGAGCACTGTGTTCGCTGGTTGCAATGCTTATTGTTCCTCAAACATAAAAAGCTCCAATAGTTTTAGCTTTGGCAAAATATGATGTCAACTCAAATCTTAACTCCACAAAGTGCTCTTTCCTACCACATGTCCATAACCCCGACAGAGGTGCTTAGAGCTAAAGACGTGGAGGGCTTGCTAGGCTCTCAAAATGGCGAATTGAATTTATGTGATGAATATGTCAGGAAAGACTCTGGTGCCAATTTCTCCATGGCATGGTTTGTGTCGAGAATTTAGAATTGCCTCCACCTACGAAGGTGTGATTCCCGAGAGCAGTAGGGGTGAACCTAGGGGCCTGGCATTGGCAGTGGCTGCCACCTCCTGGCAACTGGGTGCTTCGTGTAATTTTTTGTAATAAATTTCGACGTTATCTTTATCTTCTGGTAAATCCTTTTTCCCCCTTACCCATGTCAACAATGGAAAATGGAAATTCTCTGTCCTTGAGTGTTCTTTTCTCTATATCATTGGTGTATTAGAAATGCGTCGAACTTTCTATCTTCCTAGTGAATCTTGAAGTACATTGGATTATATAGATGCATCCGTCCATTCTAAAATGCTTCATATGTGCATTCCTAGATCTTGGCAATGCGCCATCCGAGAAGACTTGTTTTGTCAGGTTGTTTGGCGGCTTTGATCGTAAGTGTTTTTTATTACCTGTTGCATATGTAGTTTTGCACACTCTTTTTGGCAATCTTTGATTGATAAGTGCTGGGGTTTTCATTGATGTGTAGGTAATGACTGTTCTATCTGTTCTCGTTGGTTGGGCTGCTCCCAATTTGGTATGAACTTCATTTGCTCGTTCTTCTTTCTATATTCTCTTCAAAGGTTATCATACTGTCTTCTAAGTGAATGTAGTGATCATTCGGACTTCTGACCTTTCGAGAGACCGGAATCTTGCTTAAATGAGTAAATATTTTACTGAAGACTTGGATATTGTGCAGGAATACAGTTGTAATGCCTAAATGACTTGTATTGTAGTATTCAAGCTGTTTTTCTTTTGATTCTGCATTTATCCAATCTTTCTTGCATCTCTTTATCTTAATTAAATGTGAAAAAATCGAGCTCCTTGACTCCTTTCTAACCATTTACACCCAAGCACTTTGCATCATCTCGTGTGTTAGGTTCTGTTGTGAAATCCAACACAGAATATTTTAGAGTGCATCAGACTATTACCTCAAATTTGATTATCCATATAGTCTAGCTTCTGTTCTATTTGATGAGGCACCTGGGTCAGACAGGGGCCAAGCCAGTTGTGTCCAAGATCACTCTTACAATCTAAGCTACAGGTCTTTTAAGGTTTAAATCCACATTTTCTCTTTCAGCATTTTCTGATTCAGAGTGTTATGGGCTCCATGGCACTGGATGTAAGTTTTGTGGTCTTTGGCTCTGTCAAGACCCTTAAATAGCTAACAGTCAAGAGTAGAGGGAAGCTAGCAAGACAAAGTAACAAAGTAGTCTACACTTCTTCTGATTATCTTGATTGTATGATTATCTTCTTAATTTTTTTCCACATCATTCCATGGAGCTTATGAGCTTGGATCAATTTGTTGGGTCAACTACTTGTATCCTATAGGTTCTCCTGTTCATTCACTGCCATAGATGTTTCAAGAGACAGTCTCGTTTGGTTCTGCTTATCTTCTTTGAATGGAGCATGCTGTGATCATGCAGCCTTTACCTTGCAGATTTCTCGGAAGTGGGCACATCATGTTACAACGTTGTTGTTCTTTGGGTTTGGCTTCTGGTCTCTGTGGGAGGGATTCCATGATGGAGGGTATACATCTCTTTTCTTTCCTTTTTTACTTTTTGATATTTCATGTGTTGCTGAAACCTATATGGCTGCCATTCTTTATAAGGAAAGGAGTAGTTTGATCAAGTAGCTTTTAATGCTGAACGTAATTTCTGTTTCATTCAACAGAGACGCTGAAGAATTGGATGAAGTTGAAGCGGAACTGGTTAGTTTAACACTAATATAAGTTTGCCCATACTTAAAAGTTCAATCAGTCCCTTTTGACTTCACCTTGTACGTTTCTTAGGATGCTGACATAAAGAAGGCCAATGCAGGAGCAAATAAGGAGAGTGACAAGGTGATCAACAAAATTGCCTTATTAGATTGAAGTCGTAACTTGCTTAACTCAAACTAGGTGACTATTCATTGGTTCCATGACCTTTTCAATGTTAATATGTGAACAATGCCGACAACTCCATCAAACTGTAAGAATCCATTGACAATGCCTCCATATGCAAGGCAAAGGGAAGAAAAGAAGTCATCTTTGCTCACTGATGTGGATGGGTACTTCTATGCCCTGAACAACTCCAGGATTGCTTTTTTTCTAAAACAACAGGACGGGGAAAGAAAAAACAAAGACACCAACCAAGGTCTTCATTACTTTGGACAATTATAATCAAACCCAAGCAGCAACCACCCCAGCAGCAGAAACTGTGTTTGACCAAGAAACTGCTAGCGTTTCCTTGTCTGTACAAAATGAAGTCATTTGGGAATTAATTTGCATATGATTTCATCCTTTCACTGTAGCGATACAATTCCATTGTTTCTACCGCATAGTAGTACTTGTTCCACCCATAAATCCTTCGAGTATACTGAGGATTCCCACTTTCCCAGGTTGATGATGCAGTGAAGAAGCAGAGAAGACCATTTCTCTCACAGTTCTTCTCTCCAATATTTTTGAAGGTTTTTGACTTTTCCAACTACAGTGCATGTAAAGTTTAAAAAAGTTGAACCTTTTCCTGATGAAGTAGTTCCTTCCCTTGCTGCAGGCTTTTTCTCTCACATTCTTTGGTGAATGGGGTGACAAGAGCCAGGCAAGTGTCTCCCTGAGGAAGCTGATAATTTATCTTATTCCCTGATCAAATGGACATTTCGGTGATTGTGTTGATAAAATTCCTTTTCAGCTAGCAACCATTGGTTTGGCTGCAGATGAGAATCCATTTGGTGTCGTTCTTGGTGGAATACTGTAAGATTCATCTTTATCTATCTAGCTATTACATCAGGGGAATTGCCTGTACTTTATTGACTATTGGGCAGGCTTTGTGCTTTTCTTGTATATCTAGCAGCCATAGGTTCCACACACACCCCCTCACCCCTCCTCCTATCTTCCCAGACCACACGCAAACATTTTAAAGAAAGTCAGTGAATAGATTGCTTAGGTACTAGTATGGCCTAGCAACAAATGTCATAACCTCCTGAATCGCAGTCATGCGATCTGTGACATTAATATGTGACATATTTGGTGGAGGATTATATTTGGTGGAGTTTTTGGGCACATAAGTTGGGCTGACATTAATATGTTTTTGTTTGCTAAGGGGTTACTTTTTGATGGAGTTTTTATGCATATAAGTGTGGTCCAACTATTTCTCAATGGCCCATCATGCTTGTCTACACTTAAGCACTGCCAGGCCAGCCTTTCCTTTAGACTTTTGTTTGTAAAAATCTTCTGTTTTAACTGTGATGGGATGATTTTTGGAAGAAAGCACTATGATCATGGAGAATTGGAAATTTAGTATGTTTTTCAGAAAGATTGTACGCTGCGTGAAGTTGGACCAGTTTGAGATTCTTTATAGAGCTTTGGAGTAAGGAGCTGCTGTTCTTTATTTTCCAGATCAATGCGCGGGGAAAATGGATGGGCCATGTCATGTCATTGTACTTGTGTTCTAAGATTCTAGTGGAGCTAGGTCATTTCTCAGATGCATGTTGGGGCATTGGAGTAGAAATGAAAATGGGCCTGTTAACATGGTGCCAGACTTCTCTAAGGAGTTCTGGTTCCAGTATTCAAGAACTTTTATTGGCTTCCATTTGCTCTTATGTCACATATCCTCTGCCGTACTCCATGTCAAAACTCGTGTTCCCCACTAAACGCGCATCCTTGTATCAAGGCAGTATTTGTATGGCTTGCTCATCATATGTTTCCCCCATTCATATTCCATTCAGCCTTTCTTTTTGCAAGAGATAATAAGTTATTTCCATACATCAGTTAACTGTAATTTGTGAATGGCATCGTGTTGTCGTTTCTCAGTGGACAAGCATTATGCACTACTGTAGCTGTTGTTGGAGGGAAAAGCTTAGCAGCTCAGATATCTGAAAAATTTGTAAGAAGTGCCGAGTCTTGTCTGCATATGTATCTTCACTTCTATGGACAAATGTGTGACTCCAACATTTATCTTTCTTTTCTTCAGGTTGCCCTCTCGGGTGGAGTTCTGTTCATCATTTTTGGGATTCAGTCTTTCCTTTCTTCTGTGGAACCGTGATGCATGCCTCCCAGTGGTAAGCTGTTATCTTTTATAAATCTACCTGTAAAATTCCAACTACCACTTGACTCAAGCATGCCGTAAATAGTTTTTTTAACGAGGATCAGGACAACTCGTCATGTGATTTGGAACAATGTGCTGTTGTACATAAGGCTCCTTCTTACATGTATGAACTCAACTCTGTCTTACATGTTGCTTGCAGATCAGACCATGATGGCTCTGGGACCTTGATATAGTTATGAATGTCCCTTTTGAGGCTTGATTACTCACAGCGAGAAAACAACATTGTTTTTATTCACGAAAATTCATGCAGAAGGCTACCGATAAAGGCAAGGCTTGGCTTAACCTGTGGTCCTCTTGTGCATGAATAAATTGGTTCTTTTGTTGTAACCTACATAGACGATCCATTTGTGAAGAGGATAGTGCGTCCTCCCTTTCTCACACCCATATGTGCAGTACAAGTAAACATCATATAGTCCTCCTGTGCATGAATAAATTGGTTCTTCTGTTGTAATTAACCTACATAGATGATCCATTTGTGAAGAGGATCCTATGTCCTCTCTCTCTCTCTCTCACATATGTACCGTACAAGTACACAGCATACCTAAGAATGCTAGACTGTTTATACAGTTATTATGCTTGGACTGCAGATTTAGTTCTTAACAAATCTATTCACTTGATACTATTTGTGAATGTCCTAGTTCTTGGATTTGCTTAGTGAGAAGGTGAGTCTGAGAGCACAAGTGTTCCCAGGAAAAGCTGATGCACTCATTCACGTGTCCACTTTATGACTAGTGAACTTCATATCTCAGCTGAAAGCTTTTGGACTACCGCATGCTAGTAATTGGATTTCACCATTGTCAATTCATTTCCGAGACGATATTTCCACATGCTAACCTAGAATGATCACGATGCAACCAATAGCAGGTTTTGCTAAGCAATAGTAACGAGCACGATATCTCACTATATGGCAGGCCAACGCAAGCGGCTTATTTGCCTGCGTTCTATTTGCTTTATATATACACAGATGAACATATACCATGTGGCACGACCCTGGCTTCACACCTAATAAAATTTGCCATGAATGTGAACCAATCTTTAGTAAAATGGTCCAGCTAAAGCATGCATTGGAGAAATAAAGGGATGCTATATTGTGGCATGCCCCGTAAGACCGGATTTATCACATCATACTCTTCTTGTAATTCTGCCTTGTTTTGCCTAGTATCATGCTAGTGCTTCTCGATTGTCGCTTCAACTTCTTTATAGTATCATTTTTCCAGTTTCCAAACGTGTGATGCTTGATCGCGTGTGAAGGAACTGTTAAGGAATATGCTCGAACCTTCTATGTCGGGGATTGCCTCTCGGAAGAGGGGCAATTCAACATTGTTTGCGCGGACATAAACACCGACTTCATAGGTGAAACATCTATTTTCCCCGGACAAAGAGGGGCGGGCTTTATTGTTAGGCCGTGCTTCAAGCTTCCTTGAATGCTCCTGCACGGCAGCACCCGGGGACCTTTAAGAAAGGATAAGTGAGTGACCGTTTCCTTGGCGGTAGAGGCCTCTCTCTCTCTCTCTCTCTCTCTCTCTCTCTCTCTCTCTCTCTCTCTCTCTAGTCATGATGACTCACGACCAAAATGAATAGAAGGAGGGCAGACGGAGATTAGCATAAACAATGTCTTTGGATAGTTATGATGCGTTCATTCGTCAATCATGCGCGAAAAATGCACCAACAACAATGTACGATTTCGGGCAAATTGAGAGGCCTTGTGGAAATATGTGGCAAAGTGACAAGAACAGGTTTCAGTCTTCCGGCGATTAAGCCGATGTAAGAGACAAATCTCAGGAAAGCAAAGCGCAATTGTCCAATAAAAAACTAAAGCCCAATGCATTATCTCTCCATGCTACCCATTAAAACACCCGAACGTGGCCTGCACCGTGTTGATCCCTTAGACTCGAATGATCCTTCACTTTGCCATGCCAATTATTATAATAACTTCAGGATCTGAATCCGGAAGCTGCTTTTGGTAACAAGTGGTCGAGTACATTTTCAAGCATTTAGGCTCCGTTTGCTTCGCTGAAAATATTTTCCTCATTTTTTCGGCCTTCGGTTCGCTTAGGGAAATGAGTCAACAGAACATGTTTTCCTAGTCAATGAAAAGCCTATGCTTAAATTTAGAAAAATGATTTCCTCTCTAAAAAAAAAATTGGAAATCATTTTCCATAATATTAGTAGGTATCGACGCTTGACTCGAAATTCTACCCTTGGGCACGAAAACCCTAACGCTAGTTCCCGACGTCCAGATCCAGGTCTCTGGCGCCCAGACCGAGGTCCATCGAGGCCAGGCTTGTGACCCCGGTGCTTGTGCCCGGGTCCATCGAAACTGAGCCCACGCTTTGGTCCATTGAAGCCGGTCTCGATGCCCGTGCCCGATGCCTTGGCATCTAGGCCCGGGTCCATAAAGGCTAAGCGTGGGATCTTGGTACCCAAGTTCGGATCCTACACACCCGCGCCCAGGTCTACACAGGCTATGCTCTGGTCCATCTAGGTCGGGCCTAGGACCTAGGTGCCCGTGCCCCAATCTCCGGTGCCCTAGTCGGGGTCTATCGAGGCCGGACCCATGACTTCAGTGCCCATACTCGGTTCTCCGGTTGTCCATGCGCAAGTTACTAACGCCTGAATAATGTATATCTATTTAAGAAAATTAAACAATATTTTCCATACTAAATAACAGAAAATATTTTTTAGTTCATTTTCAAGATTAAGCCAAACACCAGAAAATATTATCATTTTCCACTTCCTAAAAAACATTTTTCACAGATGTTATATTTTTCGCGAATCAAACGGAGCCTAAAGCGTACATTTTTCTTCTTCTTTTTAAACTCTTCTGGTTTCTAGGGTTGCTATAGGTTGATGAAGGAGCCAAAAAGCACGCAAGCGTTGCTCGTCCGACACTCTTTTGCTAGCTTTTATGCATCAAGGGGTCTACTCATCCAACACTCTTTTGCTAGCTTTCCTTCGAAGTTTTGGAGTTTCTCTCGCCGAAGGGACTCTTACGTAGAATAAACTCGCTCGCTTAGCAAGTGAAGAAAACTACATGATGCGTGCTGCATCGAAAGCTAGATAGATTGATCATGGTATTAGGATTAGGCGCACAAACATAACGAAATAGAGAGTAAAAGAGAGCGAAAAATCAACACATTTAAACTATAATTACATCCAGCAGAGAATGTCACTATAATCAGTACCTCTCTCACCTCTTAATTATAACTCTCAATTACAAGAGAAACGGATTATATATAACTGACACGATATCTATTCGTGGCCCCAAATCGAAATTATCAATAAAATACGAGCCCAAACTATAAAAGCCCTCTGCCGGCTCGGGAGCGCTGTTCCTGCGACCCCCGCCGGGGCGCTCTCCCGAACTCCCGCCCTCTGTCGGCTCGGGAGCGCGGTTCCCGCGACCCCCGCCGGGGCGCTCTCCCGAACTCCCGCCCGCTTACCGAGAAACGGGGTCCTCGTGCCTCCCTATCGATGGGGAGTATGAATCACACCTCGGTACACGGGCCATACTCAAAGCGGGATTAATTATTTTCTTTTCTTGAATATTCAAGAATTGAAGTTTCCTCCACAATCCAAGGCCTCGTGGCTCTTCTATTGGCCCAAGCAGCCACTCTCTCTCTCTCTCTCTCTCCCGACTCTCGAGCCATGCAATAGTCGTATTTTCGTTGCTATAAAAAATAAAAGGGAGGGAAAGATGGCTGACTTTTCAAAAGGGGGTCAACTTTTTTTTCTTTTTTTTTCCCGTAATCTGATTGCCCCCCCCAAAAATTCCATCCAAATAAGAAGAGGAGAAAAGGAAATTTCCTTTTTCAAAAAGAAAAATGCATACACACAAATGAATATATATAAATAAATATCGTGGCAACATTCAAAAATTCGATTAAATATTTTTTTTTTGTTTTCGGATACTGACTTTCACCAATTGCAGTCAATTTTAGTTAGACGTCACCATAACAAAATAATGATAGAGAGAGAGAGAGAGAAAGCGAGGGAGAGGGGGAGCATGGTTCACGCTATTGCTCCTTAAATAAGGGACTTCCTTTAAGGATTTGACCAAAAGTCGCGACAGACAGAGATCCCTCTAATTTTATAAAAAAAAAAAAGAGAAAGAAGCAATTATTAAGGTGAAATTTCGTGCGATTCACCCGAATATTCCGAGGATCCCCCTTCCGAATTGACGCTTTTGCCCCCCGGATAGACCGAGAAGTCCCTTTATGTCCCTCTCGTTTTTTTTTTTATTTATTTATTTTTTATAATGCACCGTTTCGCCGCGCGTGGTCCCTTGGGGACAGCCAAGGGCAATCAACTCGGCCCATAGATTCGCCCAAGGGCCACCTAATCAATCTCATCTCTCGGATTTAATTTAATTTAACTTTTTTTGTTTTATAAGGAAATTGATTTGTTCCCCCCGGTACCCCTAACGTCAGCGTCCCTCATCCCGTGGATCCAATGCCCTATCTTCTTCGGGCTTAAATAAATCCACTAAGGTTTGCCAAAAATAAAGAAGGAAAAAAAAATAAAAAGAACCGATGAAATGTCTTCTTCCAAGGTGGGGGCGGAAAAAGAAGGAGGAAATTCAATGTCTTAAGTCTTATCTCCGTCCTATTTCGAAACGATCGCTCCCCGCGTCTCGAGCCGCCAATCCGCATCGAACCCGCGTTAGAACGGCGAATGATCAATTCGACCGCAATAATGATGATAGCGATATCGGCGCTCGAATCATTATTCATACAGCGACGCGTCGCTGCCCTCCTTAGACTTGGTCTCTCGGCGGGGCCCCGGATGGAAATCGATCCCTTCCAAATTGATTCGAAGGCGGTGCTCCTCTGTTTAGGATACGTGTGGTGAGCTGTGCTCGAGAAATTGATATGGTGTCGAGCAGTTGCTATATCCTAATTGGCTCATAACTCTTTGGGCTCCCTCTTGGTGAAGATACTAAGCTTCCGTGTATCAGAGTCGATGATTGATTGACTGATTGATTGGTGGTCCATAAGTACGCTTCTTTCGGCAAAAAGAAACCACGGACAGTAGCTGGTCTAAAGGTATCGTCGGGCTCCTGCGGCGCGCGCGCTCGCGACATCCTCGCGTCGCCGGGACTTAAACCCGGTCCACGGGGATTCCGGGGAATCACTCCGGGCTTCAAAGTTTAACCCTGTCCAGATGAACCGCGCGATTCAACTATCCCCGTCGCATCGAAAACGAGAGATGGAACCACGCGACAACGGCGGAAGCCCCTCCTTTTATTTTATAGGCGCGCTGAACTTTTTCTCCTCGTTTAATTCATTGCATCATTATCCGGAATATTCCCTCCGGCATAAAGCATAAGCTCGCTCTCTCTCTCTCTCTCTCTCTCTCTCTCTCTCTCTCTCTCTCTCAAATTCGAAATTTTGGCGTTTGGATGGAAGTGGCACGATCGGAACCTGTTCTTGTCCCCGCCCGATTCGCATCCCCTCCGAAGAAAATCCAAGACGAAGCATCCGGATGGTACCTCAAATTCCAGCACTTGTCGACAGCATCCCCCCCCCTCACAAAAACAATACATGTACATAAATTCGTGCGGGGGGTGGGTCCCCGGGGACCATTTGATAGCCCTGTTCCTAAATTTACAGAACTTATAGGGCTTCGATGAGCCCTAGATGTAAAGGAGTTTTTGAACCCTTCTAAGCAATTAGAAGAGCGCGGAATTGGACCTCCCTCCAAAAGTTTTCTGGAATGCTGTTGGAATCGTCCTTTGACCGATTGTTGTGGTAAATAATGGAATGAAAACTCTGACAAGGCAAAAACCCATTTTCCAATCCGACCTTTGAGAAATGGATGGTATCGATAACATGTGTTTGATCAAATCGGTTCTATCCCTCACATGACCTTTGCCTCGGTAACAGATAATGCCGAAGCTTGACCGCTGTGAAATACAGGCACAAACACATCTTCTCAATTGGAGTGTTATTTTTATCTCGCCCCTTACCTTAATAAGGCTACTTAGGTAGCTTTTTCTTCTTTTTTTTTGGACGGGGAGGTTCACTCAGATTCTACGCCGCCAAGAGACGATGGCCACGTTTTATATTTAGCGGCGCCGGCATGCGAAGCTCGTTTATTTATATAAGAAAGAGAGGAAAGGACGGTGCGCGATGACGCTATGATTTCCGTATTTGGCACCGGCATGCGAAGCTCGTTTGATTATTATAAAGAAAAAAAAGAGAGAGAGAAAAATACGATGCGCGATGACGCTGTGATTTTGGACAGGAGTGTATTGCCCATGCCGAAAGTAACTTCCCAGCTAATTTCGCCGGCATATGATAGGCTCGGGCGTTTCTCGATTCATGGGGGGCGATATGATCAGGTCATCCTTCCAAGAACTTTGAATATTGATTTTTTTTTCTCCCCCTCGTTTCGCCGGTGCGGTCCGAACGAAATGGTTTTCGATTCGCACCTAAACCGGCAACGAACGTTTATGTTGTGTTCGAATCGAACGCCCTCGGCACCATTGTGTAAGGCCGCGCGTCCTGTATTCCCGCTCGATTGAAACTAAGCGCGGCTACTCTTCTTGATATATATGGTGCGGTTAATCTAAGCCACGATGGAGCTTGAACTTGATGATACCGGGTGTCGTGATGTCTTCATTATTTGCGATTCGAGTGATTGTGAGTTTTGTTGATTTGTTGAAACGTAATCATCTGTTATGTTTTGTCCATTGTTGCATTTAGTTAACGAAGAAAATCGCGGCTAAAAGAAAATCTCGTGCATGTTGCCGCCCTTTGCTCTTGAGAGCACGAAACTCTTTTGTTTCGTATCATATCATGTTAGGAAAAGGTTCGATTCGCAATATGCACCCCCCCTTAGAACTTGATAATCTCGACAATAGCTGCAGTTGGGGGTGCTAGTTTGCAAAGTGAATTTCTCGATTCATAGGAGGCGCAGAAATTACAGCATTCGCTTGTTAGGATTCGGTGCACAATAATAAGGAAATGCAGATTAAAAGTGAGATAAAAGAAATCGAAATACAATAATTTTATCTTGATGCACCCTTAAATTAGAATTGCGCCCAGCAGATGATTCCACTGTAATTAGCACCTCGCACCTCTATGTTACATCTCTTAATTACAAGATAAAAGAGATTATATAAACTCAAGATAGTGGCAGCATTACCGCCGCGACTCCTGCGCGGCTCGGCGGCATTACCGCCACGACTCCCGTCAGGGCGCCCCCGGTCATGCCATCCTGTCGTGAGGGAATATAAACCACGTCCCAATACCTCTACGGCGGAAAGCGAGATTGGGTGAGACTAAGTTCTAAAGCGAAAGTCGAATTGAGAGATTTTCACTACTTTATTGAGAAGGAATTTAGACGCTTTGAGCTTATTATGCAAAGGCCATGGTAAGAGGATTTCTTTTCATGAAGGTGGGAGTAGATAGGGCACAACTTTTCATGGTGTAGGATGAGGAAAGAAGTGATCTCCACGCAACCCACGTATTACTTTCTTGTCCTACCATTCCATATGATTTTTATCTGATCACGAGTTCACCAAAAAGTTTAGACCTTTATAAGATCCCGGCCTGACTCCAATGAAATTTATATAATATCAGAAAAAAAGATCCCGAATTTAAATATTTATAAATCCTTTATTAGAATATTTCAACATTAAATCACATTTTCATTTACAAGTCGATGGCAATTTCTCGAGATTCGCATAGAGATAGGTATACGTTTCAAGATATGAATTGCGATCAACAAATATATATATCTTGAATTGTAAGTTCCCACGGGGGCTCAAGATTATTCGATAAGGCATTGATTGTTGCAGGTGGAGATGGTGGACCTATCAATAACTTTCTCGACACTCTTCTTCGGAAGAAAAGTATGAGAGGAAGGTTCCCTTCCATTTTCTATCGTTTGGTTAAACGCGTTAAAATTTTTCCACTTTCTTTCATTAATTAACTATACGATCGTTTTAAAAGAAACTTGATAACTAGACAATAAATCATGCGTTACACACTCATCGGATCGCGACGAACGAAACGAAACGCACCATCCGACTGAAATGTTTAATCCGAGTCGGTAGAAAAACGAGCTTTGAATTCAATAGCGAATAAATGTGGATTAATTTTTGAGGACGACAGTATCGTTATTATCATCATCATTATTATTTAGGTGTGACACCGAAATTAAGTGTTGATATTACATAGCAACTATAAATTTAAATATGGGACTTATCACTAGGTTTGATAGCGTTAGGAACTGACATCCGAAATTCAGATTCTCTTCGTACTTTATTTCTCCGGAAATATCTAACTTAGAATCCCAAATAAAAAAAAAAAACTTAGAAAAATTTAAATGAAATTTCTTCGTACTTCGATGTTAATAGTAAATTCAGACTCTGATCATACTTTAGCACAACATTAAATGTTCAAGTCTTGACCAATTGGATTAGATAAGTTCTGCATCTCTGTAAAAAAGATAAAATTAGCCTTTAAATAAAAACATGATTCAATTTTAAGCTTAATTACACAGAAGAAATTACCAAAAATAAATTAAATTTCCGTAATACCATCTTCTAAGAGGTTCACCTTGTTAACAATTAACATTAGTTTTCTCTCTCATCAAATGCCATGTATTTGGCCATATACAATCTTTAAATGACTAGCTCTTACATGAAATCATCTAAACGAGATTTTATTTTATTTATTTTTTCGTTTCGAATCAAGATTTATCTATTTATCTATTTCTGCGACACGAAATTTCTCTTTGTTTGTTCCATTCAACGTCTCCGTTCGTTTGGCGGAAAATATTCTCCCGGAAAATATTTTCCCGATTTTCCGATGTTCGGGGGGCGGAAAACGTTTTCCGTGGGAAAATATTTTCCTTCCCCCCTCTTAAAATAGCCTAAGTCTACGGAAAATAACTTTCGCTTCTTCAAAAGCGGAAATCATTTTCCGGAGCTTCTTCTTCTTCGCTAAGGTTGCCGGCCGCCGCGTGACGCCCAGTGGTCGCTAAAGCAGGCGCGGTCAGTAACGCATGCCACGGCCGCCGGTCGCCCGGCCGCCGCCGCCAGCCGCCCGCCGCCGGCGATCGCCGGACGTTGGCCCGTCGATCGCCCGGCCTTCGCGTGCTCGCCGGACGTTAGCCGTCGATCATCGCCGGCCGTTATCCGTGGCCGCCGCCGCCATTGTCGATCGCCGGCCGCCGCTATCGTCGCCGGACGCTGCCTCCGGCCGCCGCCGGTCGCCGGCGAAAAATATTTTCCGAAACTTTTTCATATTGATCGTCGAATACCGGAAAATTATGTTCCGGGAAAACATTTTTCAGGAAAATGACTTCCGTGAAAATATTTTTCAAAAGGAGAATATTTTCCGCCAAACGAACGGAGCCTAAATCACTTGAAATTGGGAAAATGCTTATTGTTCATATTAACATTTTTAAGAAAAAAAATTTCTCGACATCTATAACATTTAACACTTCCTCAGTTTTGACATTATTTTTTACAAAACTTTTTCTTATTTTTTTTTGGGTTCACTCTCTGCACTAAGACAAGAAGGAAAGAATCGAAATCAATCCACAGGAGAAGACGCGGCGGTATGAGTGGAAGAAGCCGTAGACGGCGATTTAGAATGCGCATCCCCGGCGCTGTGGCTCCCTCTCCCTTCCGAATGCGACGGCGAGCGGTCCTTGGATGGGTTCCTCTGCTGCTGCGGCGCCATCGCCAGCGGCGAGTAGACCCCGGCCGGGGCGGCGGCGGCGGCGGCGGGCTTCGGCGCCTCCCCGGACGTGGTCGTCGTGGAGGCGGCGGCGGCGGCCACCGCCGCGTACTCCGGCGGCGGGACCCATATGCCCCCCACCACCACGAACTGAGGGGCTTGAGGGTTGCTGTTGTGCTGGATGGTCGGGCTCGGCCTTCTGGTGTGCAGCCGGTATTTCTGAAGGAGACCCAGAAAACAGCGGACTTGATGTAAGATGACAATGGAACATTAAACGTTGTCGCGTCTGGAATCTCTTCCTTTCTAAAACAAAACCAAAGCGGAAAGACAAAAAAAAAAAAGGGCACCTTTACTTCTAACAATAGGAAAGTCTTTAACGGGAATTGCTTTTGTGATGACTTGCCTATCAAGCTAAGCACAAATTCGCCTCCCCTTTTTCCCTGCAGATTCTCGTTGAATGTTCTCTAACTGGTGTGGTGTGGTGTGGTGTGGCTTAGATTAGGGAGTTCAAGAAACGATCTCGATCTTATCAGATCAAAGATTGGATTTTTTTTTTTTAATACGTAATGAAATGGTGAATATTGCCCTTCAAATTGGAGCTAGCCAGCCACTAAGTTGCAACAGTAAACCGGGGAGAAGGGAAGGCGCAGGAAAGAGACAAACAAGGAATCCGAATATTCCATGATCAATCAAAAGGGAACGAGGAGATGTGCTAAACTTAGCCAATCCAACGAACCTGCAAATGGCTTTTGACTTCGTCGTTAGTAAGCCCATCCACCTTCATCAGATCCCTGATCTGCTTCGGGGTTGCAGCTGCCAAAACAAAAGAACAAACGCTATCCAATCAGATCCTCCCCCTGGTGCAAATGCACGTTCTAATCGGTGGGAATTGAGAACCCCAGGTACAAAAAAAGAATGGGCTAGAGATCGAACTGATCTAGTTTCAGCTGAATTCTTTTTTCTTTTTTAGAATTGGGTAAATATAGTGACATACCATGTGAACCACCAAGCTGTTGAAGGGCTTGCAAGAACCGCCGGTGCAGCTCCGGCGACCAGCACCGCCGTTGCTTCCTCTGAGCCTGCCCTTCCTTGTCCTCCTTCCTGCTTCCGTTGCCGTTGCACTTCGTGGTGTCCGCCGTCGAGCTCGTGGCGGCAGCCGGGACCGGCGAACGTAATTCGACCAGAGATTGGTTGATTTTGTTCTGATGATCATTATCTTGACTGGTGGTCTTCACGGGACTCTTGTTTTCTCTAAGGAAAGGCTGAAAAGCCCCGCCATTTCTCGTCACCTCCACCACCGATACCCTTCTCGGTGTAGACTCCTGCATTTCAGACCAGAACCGAAAATCCCATGAAAACCAGAAACCGAAAAAATCATTTCCTTGTTCTTTCTTTTTTTTTTATCCCGAAAATTATTTTTTTTCCCGAGAAGATGGGTTCTTTTCTTCTGCCTTACCTGTTGAAGAGGGGGACCTGGGGTGGTCTGATTCCACAGCTGAGCAGATCTGAGCCAGTCAGATTTCTTTTTATCAGTGGCGTTGTCGCTCTTAGGCTTCTTGTGCGAATGTTGCTCATCTTCTTCTTCTTCTTCTTCTTCTTCTTCTTCATCATCAGAAGCCGAGCAAATTCTCTTGATAGGAATGAATTCCTCCAAAACCGGACCATCAGTCGAAGTTTGGTCGGAACACTGGGATTGGCCTCCCTGCATGTACTCCGTGGTCGTCCCAGATAACTGCTGCCTGCACGACTCGATCGCTGCCAACACCCAGAACGAAAGATCCAGCCTTTTTCCATCATCCCCTTCATCTAAAAAAGCAAGAAAGACTCGAAAGAAAGAGTTCCCCGGGGTGGGGGGGCGTAACGGAAACCCGATCAGTACCTTGGTTCACAAGCTCCAAGCAAAGAGGGAGCTCGCGCTGGAAGACTTGTATCTTGCGCTTCTCTTCCTCCAAAGCTTCCATGTGGCTCTGCATTTTCTGGAACTGATGATGACTATTATTCATGCCTCCCCTATCTCCCCTTCTCTTTCCTCCTCCTTCTCTCTCTCTCCCTTTCTACTGTTTATGGGTCGCTCTCTCTCTCTCTCTGATGAGTCTGGAAGGACAGGGGAGGGTTATATGGAGCTTGCTGCGAGGCGCGCATAGAGAGATCCGAACAAGGGGAAAGGGAAGGGTGTGGGGAGAGGGGGGGGGGGGGTGAGAATATGGGATCTAAATAGAATCAAGAAACGGAATATGACTCTACCCCCGTGTCCGAGAATACGATTTTTCTTTTCCTATTATCGTTTTATCGTTGTTTTTCTTTTCTTGTTTCCGGTCGCTCTCTTCCTAGAGCGAGCGAGAGAGAGAGAGAGAGAGAGAGAGGGATCGGATGGTGGAGAGCGAGGCATCGGGGTCGGGGCGTCGCATAACAAAACAAAGAATCTCTGACGGGAGAGAAGGCGGTTTCCCCAGAGCCCCAGAGAGAGAGAGAGAGAGAGAGAGAGAGAGGGAGAGGGGTGGTTCCATTTCATTATCATTGCATTATGCATCATTTCAAATGCGAAGAAAGAAACGGAGGAGGAGGAGGAGGAGGAGGAGAGAGAAACTTTACTTTATCATTTGTCACGGAGAGAGAGAGAGAAGGAAGGAAGGGGGATGAATATTCCAGTCGAGGGTGTGATTCGCCCTTCGTCGTTTCATCCTTGTGGGGTCTGCAAGTTCTGACGTCGCCATCATCATCTCTCTCTGTCCCTCTCTGTCCCTCTCTGTCCCTTATCTTGGGGATAAGATCAAAGATGAAACGACGCTTCTTGATCCGTCCACGACCCTGAGCAGTTCCCTCCACGGTTATCGCTACCGATCCGCCGGTCTTTTGCACCCCCACCGTGTTAATTTCGACTTCAGAGATCATCCCAGATTTGGTCGTTTCGTTTCGGGCGTTTGACTGGTCGTGCGTTCAGGCGGGCACGACGCTGGACTGCGCAACGGCAATTCCCTCGGGCCGGATCGAAACGATCCCCCGGAAACGTGTGATTTTCTTTGGTTAATGAGGACGACTCAACCGATTCTTGAGCTAACTATTAACGTAATTTGTTCCCAAAAAAAAAATAAAAATAGAAAGAACACCAGTTCGGCCATCTTCTGCGTCGAATGGGTATGTTTTCTTCTAATCTTTTGATGGGAAGGAACTGCTTCCCACCATGCCCGTTTTCTAACGTCAAAAGTGGGACGACGACAACAGCTTACTGGGTGCCAGTTTTTCTACCGTGCGTAGAAAGAGGTGTTCCTTTTTCTTTCTTCTTTTTCGCGTTTCAAAAGTTTCGAACCAACAACGACTGTGTGAAAGCCAAAAGTTAATGCTCTCTCCAGGGAAATTCGGCACTTAATGGGTGGGATTGCGAATTTGGACATTGCCCGCGTGCAAACTTAACTGAAGAACAAACGCGACGGTCAAAAATTTGATTGGAAGAGGAATGAAGGAAAATATGGCCTATTTTCTAAGTCTCTTGATTAGGGTAAGTGCGGGAACGTGACTTGAGGTTTGGGTCATTGTTTAATTGAGCATCTAGAGTTTTATTTTGGGTAATTGAGGATTAAGGTTTAAAAAGAACAAAAAAAGCCCCAAATCAGGTCTCGAGCTCGCCGATGGTGGAATTCAATTGTCGGAAACCTAATGCGACTCCCATGTGGAATATTTTGGTAATTGCCCGGGTATGGTTTTCGGCGCCTGAATTTCATCAGCGGCGAGGTCGAGACTTGCTTTGGGACCTTTTCCAAAACCTTAAGCCCTCGATGTTAAAATAAACTATATATTTATAAACGGTCAATATCTTAAAACCTCTTTATGCCATGTATCCCTCACTCGATCTAAATAATGTTTGCAATGTCTCTACCGAGTGATATGGCCAAATTAAACTTGCTAAAATAGAGGTCCACCCGCTCTGGGGTCGATGAAGTGGCAAGGGCATTTTTCATGCTTTCGGCTCATGAATCAAGGGTCGTGAATTCGATTCTTGCCCCTGGGGAACTCAGACTTAAGCGGGGGCCATCGTGATAGTTCGCCATGCCAGTTTCCCTCCAAGTAGCCATCTAATTATAATCGTGCCCCTAGATTACAAAAAAAAAAAAAATGAAAGATCCACGTGATAGTCATCGAATGGTTTCAGTTTTCATTGATGTGTACGGACGCCCATACGATGATAAGTTAGGGAGTGAGATTAAGCTTACGATAAAATTGAGAAAATAAGCCAAAAATGAACACATAGCTCACCAAAAAGAGAGATAGGAACAAAAAAAAAAAAACGTAAAACCCGTCTAAAATAACACAATGCGACGCAGGAACCGGTCGTATTGTGTTGCTTTCGTATCTTTTTCAGGATATGCTTGATCGCTTCGTGGCCCTCGATCCCCATCCCCCTCGATTCCTTCACGCGCGCCATCTTCTAGACTGGCTACTTGCGGCACGCATCGAAAGCGAATTGGATTTTCCACCAAGGACCAAAAAGGATCGTTTATAGAACATTCCAATTGGGTCCGTTGTCTTTTGGCAATCGACCGAGCTTCCAGAGGGTCGCGCAATTTCCCCCTTTCGCTTGTTGGTTGTGAAAAAGTTGGCGAGAGTATCTTAGAAGACCTCTACGATGGTTGTCTCGTTCGAAACCCGTGGCTGCTGATCCGACGAGATTACCCGCATCACGTTAAATGCCACGATGTGTCTTGTTCGCGCGCGTCTTGTCTCTTGAGGATACTGGAATCATGCGCGCCTTTGTCTACTTTCGCAAAATTCCAAACTCTAGAAGCGCGAACTATGCGATTAAGGATCGAAGACTTTGATGAGATCGAGCGAAGGAGATTCTGTTGATTTCCTTTTATTGGGGGGCGTGACTCAGCGAAGCAGATCGTACTCCCACGAAGTCACCAACAAGACGTCGAGAGGAGAGGTCGAACTTGTACGGGGGAAATAATGCCTCTTCGTGTCTTTTGTGCGATGGCGCACCTGTATTGGCTGACGATGGCGATGAAGGCCTGCCTACCTTTGAACGAACGGGTGGCGTGTGGTTCCAAACATCATTTCCTAGTCGGAGTGGAATTCCAACAATAGCGTCTCGAAGGGAATAGCCACGGTACATGTGAATAACGGGGACCAAGAGGTGGTCTAATCATATGCACGGTAGGGTTGTCGATTCGTATCTTTTTGCTACATGTGTCGGGTAATGAATATCATAATAATCTTTTAGAGCAGTTGACGGTGATCTCACAAAATCTTACATGGTATAAGAGCAAAAAGTCACGAGTTTAAATCTTTCTAGGCCCTATTTGCCTCCCCAATTAAATATATTCAGCTTAGTACTAGACAAAAAGACCAGACTAAGCGTGAAGGATAGTGTTAGAATAACTAAATATTAAACTACACCTTCATCTAATAGCTTAAGCTTTTAGAATAGTTGGTGGTGGTCCTACAAAATCTTACAGTTAACATGTTCTCCCAAATTTAACATGAGAATTAAATGTTCATTAACTGGATAATATATATTTTTGGAATTCGAATGCAATACGATTATTGAATTAGCGACACGTCAAGATAATTTAAAATGTAGATTTACTAGTATATATAAATGTAGGGAGGGGTACCAAAAAATTCCTAAATTTATTGCATTCATGATTTTGATTTAGTCCTAAACCTTTTAATTAGACCAATTTAATCCTAAATATTTTCATATTTTCATATTAGTTCCAATTCAGTCCATTTGAACAATTTAGGCCGAAAATCATTGACGTAAACACAGGTAGTCCTATGTGGTACGGACAGGCCGAATTGCTAGCGCTAACGCGGGCAATTTTAATAATTTTTTTGATTTTTTAAATAATTTTTATGTCCCTTTTCTTTTTGGTAGTGATTGGTCACCGGCCACATGCCATGACTAGCGAGGGTGAGCGCTGACGAGGCCTAGCAGGTGCCAACCTTGTAAGATCTGCGAGGGTGGCTCTCGCCCAAGGAAGGACGAGGCCCGATAGGGCCAACCTCGCAAGATCAGCACGGGTGGCCCTTGCCCAAGCTAGGGTGAGGCCCGGTGAGGGCCGCAAGATCGACGAGGGTTGGCCTCGTTGGCGATGGCCTGTGGCCAGTGACAAGTCATTGCCAAAAAGAAAAGGGAAAGAAAAAAAGGAAAAAAAAGATCAAAAAATTATTAAAAAATTTTATGTCAACGCCGACTGTATCACGTAGGACCGCTGGCGTCCACATCAATAATTTCTGGCCTAAATTAGTCGGATTGATTGAATTGATACCAATATGAAAAGGCTTAGGATTAAATTGGTCTAATATAAATGCTTAGGACTAAATTAATACCAATGCAATAGGTTTATGATTCTTTTTTTGGTACTTTTTCCTATAAATGTATGAAAACGTATTAAAACACACATCAACATTGCTGAAATAAATGCAAGCATGTCAAGTGAACTTGAGTATCTCGATAACTTGTCAATTAGATGCATTTAAGTTTAAGCGTGCCATAAATTAGTTGAGTGGGTCTATCTCTAACGACTCCAGATGTTACCATTGGCGTATAGATGGGATTAAGCTCAACTCGAATGCTCTCGATCACGTGTCTTGTACATATCGTGCGAAAGGGCCGCCGTGAAAATTATCGGCATTAAAAAGTAAAACTTAGAAAAAATAAATATAAATAAATAAATAAAAGAGTCCATGAAATATCGAAAAGGAATACACGTCATTGAAGCACCAGCCCACCTTTGTCCGAAGCAAACCGAATATGCTTTGGGTGTTCGGTCGGGAACCCCCGCGCACGGACAAGAGCCAAGCCGTTCGGAATCCAGGGAGCGTGCAGTGCACCGCGTGCCCACGCCGCGTCGCGAGACGTCCCCGTTTGCGCCCCATCAAAGCGCCGAGCCGAGCCGAGCCGAGCCTGATTCTTTGGGCCCCTTTTCCTCACCTCGCGCTTCCCGTGGGTCCTACTTCACCCGCTCCTACCAATAGGAAGACCGGCACGGCCTCGCCCCGTTCTTAAACCTGGAGGTGGCACGCCATTAAATCGGATTTAAACCCAACTAAGATTTTGATCTGGGGAAGAAGGTCCATTTACAAAAGTTCGGGTTTTGGCAAAGAAATACCAAAATGAATCGAAATGAAATCTAAATGACACAGAATTGGACATCATTAAGCATTTGCAGCCTTTAGGGAACTTTTCTGTACACTTTGCTTGAGCTACACAGAGCGAAAATGAACTTGTGCTAATACCCCCACAAAAAAACAAATGAGGGTCAACATGATGTTTCTCAACACTGGGTCAGGATTTCAGCTCCGGTTCTAGTGATCAAAATGGTGTGTTCGAACTGTGCGGCGGGGCCGCCGTCCGCCGTGAGAGTTGTCCAATTGTCCGGCCACGTTCTGCACTCTATGCTTCCCAATGAAAGGATCGGTTCTGCGCACGTGCATTTCACGGTTATTGTCGAAGGCAAATGCGAGAAAAAGTTTCAGCTAACTTTGAGCGACATGCAAATCACAGGTTCTCAAGAGTTTCTCAGGAAATATGGCAAGGAGCTCACCGATTGTGAATGTCTGTCCCTCGACCATGGTTCCAGGCTCTTCATTTCCTGCCCGATCATACATGAAATGTTGAGGAAAGTGACCGAGTTTGGGTTTCAAATTTTGTATCGTACGTTACGTACAATCTCTCGATGCTGGTTGGCACAATCTTGTATAAAGTGGTAATGCCATGGCAATTCGAGCTCGTTCTACTTTCACCAGTCTAGGTTTTCCTAATTCAATAATGAGGTGAGTAAATAAGGACATTAGGGAAGAACTTACGATGATGATAAATGATTGGCTGAGAATGAAATATGGTTCCTACTCCGTGCCCAACAAACCGCTCGACCACTCCGTAACCATATTTCTCGGCATGCTCACTGGAGGCATAAAGACAGATTAAACATTCAGACAACTATTCCCCGAAAGAAATAACGAGGCTATTTATTAAACAATGGCACAAATGTAAACAGCGGCAGAATAACCCACAAGACAGGCTCTGAGATTGTAGTCTCTATCAGCTAAAACTGCTCAGCGACAAATGTTCTATCCCATGCAAATTGAACCAACACTTCTTTTGATTCTTCTCAAATTGTAAATGCAGTCTAAAGAAACTCTGGTGCCCATATCCTCTTAATAATAACAAGTAGCGACTGAAAACTAAGTAGAAAAGAACATCAAACTTCTCGTCACATGATAATCTAGAAAAATTCTTCAGTTAAGAAGGTAATTATGTTCAAACAAAGATGGAAGTTAACTAGTTTAAAATGTGATATTAAAAGAGACTGGCAGTTTGAGATCATTTCATCGTTTTGTGCAGTGTTTCTGCTCACACATAGCCTACACCTTTCTAGCCTTATCCCATTTCTCCAAATGAAACTACGACAAAGAAAAAGTATAGTCGACTTTCAAATTTATCTCGATCAAGTTGTTTTTCTAGATCTGTCAAGAGTTTACGTTTTTTGTGACATTAAAGCAACTCCTGCCGTAGTATTGTTTGTGGATCTTGATCGTGGAGAACATCAAGGTTCTACTAGATTTAAACTGACTGAGATGCATATGGTTCCATACTAGAATAATCAAACTACTCATAGTTCCATGCAAATAAGATCTGAATTTTAGTGAGCAAATTAGTCCAGCATCCAATATAGTGAATACACACGATTACTATATTTAAGTATTAAATTAAACTAATCAGCATTTTTTTTTTATACAGCAAACCTAAGGAACTTTCCTGAAGTTATCTATAAATTTTATGCTGTAAGACTGCAATTAGGCAGAAACTGTAATATAGCTAACTGGTAAGTTGTAGGATAAACTTGTGACCCAAAAGACATGCAACTTTGTTGCCACTATACTTGCAACTGAGCCAATGAATTTCTCTATTTTTCAATTTACATCTTCTAAAGCCAATCCTCAATACAAAAATCAAGCATCCGAAATGAGCCGACATGGACAAAATTTACAAAGAAATTCCTGACCAACATTTGTAAAGAAGCTGAAACAAACCTTATTCTCTTTCCAATTTTCTTAAAACTTGCACCATCTTTGCAAACTGCTATGCCTCTTTCCATGCACTCTTCAGTAACCTACCATGACAAGCACAGTGTGAATTCTATAGGAGATCGACAGGAAGAAATAGCTATACCAGACGAAACTGTAAGCAAATTTTCACCTTCACGAGGTTTTTAAGTGCATCACTGACATTCCCACAGAGAAATGTCTTTGATGTGTCTCCATGATAACCCTAACAGATATAGAGAGAATTGCATCAGAGAAGACAATGCACTCCACTATTGTACTGAAGTTTTAGCTTTGGTTAAGGGAACTTGACGCTGACCACGTCACGAGAATAAAGTCCAATTAGACTAACCAAATTGCAGACCATGACCCAGGCAAATAAACATGGACAGGAGGGGGAGGAGGGGAGGGGACCACTATTGAAACATAACAGCATGAACTTAAGTAATTTCAATCAAACATGATAGCCCATGTCTTAGAATCAACGAGGACAAGACATGCCCTTGCTTGTCTATAAACTGGTTTAAATTTGAATGTCATTATTATCTTCCTTCATCAACATATGACATTGACACGTCTTTTTTCTTACTTTCAAGCGACTGTAAAAATATTCAAACAAACAATCATTAAAAGCTGAGCTGTTAATTAGAATGCACAGATCCACCTTCTGTCTGCAGGTGTGGGCGGAGTGTGCATCTCTGAAAGAGAAAGATGGCGTAGATAATTAAGAAAACTTACATTGACTTCCTCTAGACACACTATATTATCCTCCAATAATAGCTAGTTATATAAATTCAGATCTAGGCATACGAGAGTAACAAGACTACAATGACTTTGTAAGTTACTTGTATTAAGTACAACATTGAGCCAATAATTGATTGACAAACACTTACATTTAAGTAGACAGTCACGTCGATGTTTATAATGTCACCGTCCTGCATAAGATTGTTATTATTGAAAAGAAAATAATAGGCTTCTTAACTGAGAACTATGAGCGAACACAGACCTGTAGTTGACGAGAATCTGGTATTCCGTGGCACATGCATTCATTAACTGATGTGCATACACTTTTGGGAAATCCTCCATAGCCAAGAGGAGAAGGATAAGCACCGGCTTCAATAATCATCTGGTGCACTGCTTTATCTATTTCATCTGTTGTCACTGATGGCTAACAAAATTAAAGCAAAGTTAAGCGCAAAATTACCCTGAAAAAAGAGCAAAAATAAACATTACAACATGAAGTCTCATATTTCTTTCAGATGCGAATTTCAGTATGTTTCATTTGGTATAATGGCAGTTATTGCTACTTGTCGTCCTAGTTCCACTTGTGTCAACTTCAAATGCCATAGGTACAATCCATTATTTCCTTTACTACCCTAATTCGGAAAATTCAAACACAAGAAAGAGCATGTGTTTCCATCACCAGAAGATAACCTTTCACTCCAAGTACTTAGACTGAGGCCACAATACACATGTAAATCTGCATTAAAGTTTTGAGACCTAAAGGAAAGACTGCTCGAGTTGACAAAAACAGTGGCAAAAAATTAAGAGAAGGTCACAAATTTGCTGAAATTGAAGAACTATACAGCATATAAAGTTGTTATATTAGAACATCATTGGTTTCTTTGTCAACTCGTACCAGTATATTTCTACATTCTGGTAGTATATTTCTAAATTCCAAAGCAGAAACTTCTCTCATAAAGCATAATCTCACCTTAACCAACTTCCCTGCATAATCAAGAACACGCGCAGCAAGCTCACACGCAGCTCTCATGTGAGCAATGCCGTCAGAATCGTGAATTTGATATTCACTAGCAAGCTCTGGAAGCAATGGTGAACCGAAATAAGGAGGCTTTGGTATGTGGTCAGGCACAGGAAGAGGCGGAGATACCCTTCCACGCCTTAAAGGTGGCCTTCTTTTGAACTTTTTTGTGCTTTGAAGTTCGCGTTCTCTGGGGTTTTCATAATAACAGACTGATATCAGTGCAAAATAACCATAAATCAGCAGTAAGGAGAGAAAAAATATTGAGACAGAGTGAAAAGGTAACTTCTAAGAGCAAGAAATCATCCTCCCCAAGCGAATCACTTTAGAACAATCCTTATTCCTAACGATCTCCGGTTCTGTGCGTTAAATGCTGGCAGAGGCAGTCATCATGTTTGGTTTAAATATCGAATTTAATTTTACCAGAATCACAGATATAGATTGGACAAGACATTTTCAGAGAGTTTTAACAAATAATCACTCGGCTAAGGTGCTGGCAGCCCTATCGCGCCGGGCATGTCACCATTTTAAGTGGACCTTCACAGGGAAAGGGAATCCGAATTAGGGTCAGAACAACTAACGCTTTCGGCGTAATGGACAAATCTTCGAGACAGACAAACGACTTATATGAAAATGCCAATCCACATCGAGCGGAAACCCAATGTCTGCTAATAAATTGGCTTTGTCCCTCCCTTGTTACCACATACACTCATACAGCACACACTTGATGCCAAGAGGGTGTCCTCATTCTCATGTATGTAAAGGTACCTCCTGATTCTCATGGCCTCTTCCAAGCCAGATATCTTCTTGGAAACGATCACCAGCCGCCTGTTCGGACACGTCTGCTTTACTGAAAATGCGAATAGAAAAAAGGCGTCGTCATACCAAATACTAGCAGCTTTACCAGCACCAAACTCCCGCGCACACAAAGCTCGAACGACAGTGCTCTAGCGACCCCAAATTCATCCAAATAACTCCTAATCAAGCATCATCGACTTAGCAGGACCCTTCGCATCGCTTAAACAAGGCCAGCAAGCAGCAGCAGCACAGCGGCAGCGTTTCATTTTCACCTCGTTCCTCAGGTTCAAAACAGCTGGGCAAACGAAAGAAAAAAAAAAAAAAACTACGAAAAGCAAAGAAGCAGAGCTGTAGGACACGAACCAGAAACGCGAGCGGGCAAGAAAGCGAGCGGCGACCCGGCGAAGAGGGAAGACTTCGACGATGGCGAGGAAGAAGACGAGGGTCGCGGAGACGCCGAGCGCGCGACGGAGTCAACAACCGCCATCTCTCTCTCTCTCTCTCTCTCTCTCCCTCCCTCTCTCTTCCACTCTCTGTGCGCCAAGTGAAAAGCTTGGACCGTGTAGATGAAACTCCGATCCGCAGAGAGAGAGAGAGATATGGATTTGTGAATTGCGATAACATCGAGCTCGATGAGTGGGCCGGGCCTGAATACGAATGCTGGGCCGTAGACCTTTCACTACGGGCCCCTTTGGTTTGGGAACGGGGATTGGATTTTCCCAAGTGTTAAGCTATATGAGGCGATACCGGTGGAGCTGCGGCGACGAGCTCGCCCGTCCATGCTCGACCCTTATTGACGTTTCGGGTTTGTTGAGGGAAAAGAAGAAGGGGAATGGTGCAGGTTCGTGTCGAGCTCGCTCTTTGTCGGCTCGGTCGCGGGAAGAAGGACCTGCCCGATGGGCGGACTGAGGCGGGCTCGAACGGGGCCTTCGGAGAAACCGCGGGCCCGGTACTAATCCTGGCCTCGGCGGAGGCGAAGAGCCTTGTCCAAGCCTGCCCATGACTTAAAAGAAATTCGTCGCAGATGGGATGTGCTGTCTTCGACCGGACAAAGATATCGGTAAACTTAAGCCGGAGCATGAAAGTTAATACAGCAATGCTCCTAAATCCCAACAGAAAAAGGAAAACTAACCCATACCTAACTCATATCCGATTTACCCATATTGCTAAAATATTTTTATATGTAATCCAATATAGAAAAACTCATACCCAAACTAAGGCGATAGGGCGGAGCGAGTAAGCGTGAGATCGAGTGAAGAGCGAGAAAGTGAAAAGTGAATCATGGAGGTTTGTTGAGTCTAAGTAAGTTGTAAATCCATTTAACACCTATATTATTTTAGGTCCTATCGTTTACGACCAATTTATTGAATATAACTAACCTATATAATAACCCAGCCCATCAAATATGGGTTAAAAGATGGGTTTATAATCCATTTTGACAGGCGTAACTATTTCTTAACTAAATTTTACTCTTGGTCACCAAAGTTTAGTATTTCGCAAGATGGGAGATGCTATTCTCAAGCCTCATCACATGGGATCGTCATTGTCGATGTCCATGCTAGAGTATGTCTAAAAAACAAAATTTCTTTTGGGCCTCAGACACGTGAGATATCTCGAGGCCATCATCGGCTAGAGCCCAGTTGAGGGGGGACGTTGCATGAACTTAATCTACGCAGATACATGCACGCATGCATCGAAAGAAGTATACATATACACACGCACACATGCAGATCATCATGAGACAACTTCGAGTAGAATATTGAGGTGCAACGGCAAGATTTGACCCGTCCAGCTTAGTGATTATAATTATTAGCATCTAGACTATTCTTGATATCAAAGGTTTGGAATATATAATAAGCTTAATCATTCTCAAAACCTCGTCAAAATGACCCTAACATCGATAAACAAACTTTTCGATTGTTTAATGTTTGATTAGCGATCTGACTTTTGACCATACAGAGAGTGCATACTAGACCATATACCACAGCTCGCCCGCAATATTGCTGCTGGTGTCGATGTCAGATTCAGCTCGATCCTTTCGTGGCGGATAACAAATTCTTTTAAACAAATGGTTTGCGCTATAATTCCTTTTTACCCATTAACCCACAACTGAGGATGCGCCTGCGTTTTTGCTCAACTCGCGCTTCATATCCATGGTCCTTTCGGCCACATATCTAAATAACAGGTTTATGACTAAATTGGCAAATCATCAAAAGATTTACGACTAAATTGACATAATTGAAAGATTTATGAGTGGATTTGTTTTCGTACAATAGGTGTAAATTTTTTTTGGATAATTATCCCTCTTATTTCTCGTCTGGTAACTTGTCGTACTATGCTAGACCAAAAAAAGAAACTTGTCGTACTATGGAAGACGACCTAACAAATGACTAAAGATGAACCAAAAATAGAGGGAAAAAGAAAACGCTTAAGTAGGTCATACCCTCCACTCTGCAACAGCAGATACTACCTACAGTTTCCAAAACCCATCGTCGAATTCCGTTTGCACTCGTCTGCCACAGGAAAAGGTGCCAGCGCTAACGTGAACCGAATCGAAACGTTACGTGCGAATAAAATTTAAAGTCGAAACGTTTTGTCACTAACCAAAAGAAAAACAGAGGACAACCGCAATGTTCTGTAATGGAATTAACAATGGGAAGCAAAAGGGAACTTGTCCATCTCAAAAAGCATTTTGATCCCTCGTGCTTCTCAAGCTGCGCCACTGGTTCCAAACCATCCATGGTCGACATATTAATCTTCTGAACCTTTTTTTTTTTTTAATTTTCGCTTTACCTCCTCTTTTTTATACATACATATAAATTTGATGTCGTGAAACGCTGATAGTGTATGTGATTAAGAGACGACGAAGTCAAGACCCATTTCAATTCTTTCTCGAGTTTGTTTTCCTTTTTATACGGGTCTAATTGTTAGGAAAAATCCAATAATCAATCTCTTTATCAAGTATCGAAAGTCATGCATGGTTGATTGTTCAAATGTCGTGTATTGAATTTGGATCCAATCATCTAGACATAATCCTAGACTTAGTATCCACAGTCAATCGGTACCGACATTGCTATCCTCTTGATTAATCCCGGGTATAGCTGCCTCGCTTCTCCCACTTGCCGGAACTAGTGCCGCAACTTGGACTGCGGCTGCGATTCGAAAGACAGCCAAAATCAAACCGGGAGGGCGATCCTCCCGGCGAACCGACCGTACCCCAATTCCTGACCGGCGAACAAGTAGAGTATACTAGAACGACTTTAGAATTATTACGTCTGAAGAGAAACTTCGGGAGAAGGGGTGGGAACTCGCAAGTCACGGAGATAGCCAAAAAGTAAGTGGTTTCTTACCGACCAGATATTTCTAGAAAGCAACATCTGCATTTTGCTCAACATGGCAAAAACTAAAGTAAGTGAGGAAGCAAGTTGGATGTCGTGCCAAAACGAGAATCAATTTTTCTCTCCCAAACAGGAGGAGCACGATACAGACAACTCATGATCACTTAAATCATCAAGTTGGAACCAAGAAAAGATTGAATTTAAAAAGAGAGAGAAAGAAGAATTCTGCAAAGCTCGCACGTTAAAACGGAGTAACCTCACCGTTTGATTATTTCTATTTTCCAGTAACTTTTTCCTTCGTTGCACTTAATTTTTTTTTTAGCTTTTTCTTCTTTTTTGCCGCTCCAACATCTATCCTGTAAGAATATACAATTGATGTGGATCTACAACATAACCCCATCTCTTTCCCCTCAACATAATTCACAAGCCATGGCAACAGCTAGGGAGAAAAAAAAATTCAAAACCTAAAGCAAGAAATTCAACGAAAAAAGATCGAAGATGGAAAGATGTAGATGATGCTACAAAGCACCAACCACCATCTGCTGCTTCTTCCTACACTCGAACGACAGCAAGTCCACATCCCTCATTCTCTTCCCACCGCAATAGGGTACTTCCATTATGTTCACCCCGAACAGCCTCACCATCTGCACGGGCTGCGCGGCCAGGCCCGCCGGCGACTTGCTCCGCGGCTTGAAGTCGATGTAGAGCTGCTTCTCCGGCCCGGCCGACCGCTGGAAGCAGACGGTGTCGCCGGCCTTCAGGCTCTTCTCCTTCACGAACCGGCTCCAGCCCTTCGTGAGCACGTAGCTCTGGCTGCTGTTCCAGTACGAATACCGGAACCGCCAGACCTTCCCGCCGACGTCCTCGAAGTTGAGCAGCACGCCCTTGAGCGTCGCCGCCGGTCCGCCCGGCAGCGGGAAGTGCTTCTCCGCGTGCTGCTTCGGGATCACCAGCCGGTTCAGCTTCCCCACGTCGCTCGGCGTCACGGCCTTCTCGAACAGCTGCTCCCGGGCCGCCGCCGCCCCCTCCGTCAGGCCGGGCCCGTACCCGGCCCGCTCCGCGGCGGAGCCCGCGTAGCTCCGCTTGCTCTGATCGAGCTCGTCGCGGTACGTGTGCTTGCGCAGCATGTCGACAATCTCGGCCTTGGAGTGTTTGGCCAGGAAGGCGGCCTCGGCGGGGTCCTCGGCGCCCTCGGGCTTGAAGTTGGAGACGGCGTCGCGGCCGCGGAAGCGCTGGGCGGCGATGTCGTAGGCGCGGGCGGCGTCCCCCTCCTCGTTGAAGGTGCCGAGCCAGACGCGCTGGTGCTTCTCGTAGATTTGGGCGCCCCAGCGGCCGTTGGGCTGGGGGACGACGCCCTTGTACTTGGAGGAGGGGAGCTTCTTGTGGGACTCGGCCTCGGCGCCGCCGTCCGGCGCGGGGTCGAGGACGGCGCTGGCCCCGCTGCCGACGCGGCACAGGCTCCCCGGAGGGGGCGGGGAGGGCTTGGCGGGGGGCAAACGGAGGGGCGGGGAGATGGAGGGGGAGTCGCTGCTGGTGGTGCTCTCGTCGGTGCAGCTGATGCCATCCATTGCTGCGCGAGTTCGGTTGAGTAATGGTTCTGTCTTAGTTGAGAGAAAGAGAGATGGATTGATTGATAGACGAACGAATGAAAAACTTTGGCTTGGTGGAAAGCTAGGAATGTGGGGAGTATATATATAGAGAGACGGGGGCTGGGGAAGAGGCGACATTTTTAAGTTTCATGTGTTCGTGTTTGAAGGAAATAAAGTTAGTTAAATTAGTATTTTTTGTTTTATTTTTGCGCGCGCGCGCGTGTGTGTGTGATATAAATGGGAGATATGGGGATGTAGTTGTGTGTGGGTCAACTCCATGGGGGAAGGGTATGTGTAAGGCAGGTACCAGGAAGATTCATGGGGCTAGTGAGAGAGAGAGAGACAGAGAGTGTAGACTCGCAGAATTTCATCTTCCAATGATCTTGAGCTACAGTAAGATTGATATAAACAATTAGCATGCTGTTTAAGCACTAATTCTGAATGTTGAATACATCTCGATTATTCAAATCGTTATTCGAAGTCCATCTTGTTATCTAGAACAAACCACATTATGAACCAATTTGATGTACCTAACTAGCATCCATCTATCTATGTTTTTTTTTCGCACAACATGTGTCTGGCACTTTTCAAATCACTCTGTCCACTATGGCTAAAATAAAGATAACTAGCATTTGGTCCTGATGCACATCGAGTTATTCATAATACCACACTCTTTCGCTTATTTCATTCAGGGCGAAGAAGCCCACCTTAAGTAGGTAGCTTGTGGTATACTCGACCGCCAATTGTGAACTTAAGTTTTTAGATATTTCGGCAGATCTCTCCATAAAATTCCTGGCAACCCAATTGAGAAGTTTTCTTGATGCCTATGGCGTAAGTGGAGAGCTCGAATCATAAATGCAGTTTCCCTTTATATCCTCTCTCGGTAGTTCTATTGCGCATTCACTTCCCCATATTTCAGAGCACGTGGGACATCGGGCGCGTTCTGATCCGACGATCGCTTGCACACACTCTACTTCCCCAAACCCCGTTCACACGCCTCTAAACCGTGACCCCACGATCAGGAAAACCCCGGTCGCCATTTTTCATCGGGCTCGACGCGGTATCATTTCAAAGGGATTAGGGGGGTGGGGGCGAGGTTTATACATTTCCGGTCGGTTTCGAGCATTCCGAATGCGCGTGAGGACGTGCATTTTGTTTTTCGAAAGGAAAATGGCATTTCGATAATTAAGGGCGGGGAGGCGGAAGCATGAGGAGGAGTGGGGGAGGGTGGGGTCCCCGAGCGAGCAAGTTGATTGGGACGGGACGGGGGGTTCACATGACTTCTTGACCGTGCATTTGGCAAAGTGCATCCCCCCTTGAGCAGCTCGTTAAAGCTCTTTGCTGCTCTCCAGCATGGCCTCTCTCTCCCGACCTTTTTACCGCATGCCATCCAATCGCATAGTCTAATAATATTCTCCGCCATCCGCTGCCACCAGAAGGCCGAAACCAAACAAAAAGGAAAGGGCTTATGAACTCCTCTCGCTCGTCCAAGATCCGTGGCTCCATCACTCGCCGTCGCTCCCCCTTCCCATATGCCATCGCCCACCCAATCGCAACAAACCGAGGGTGGTATTCCCTCTTTCAAAGCGGTATTCTCTCTCTCTCTCTCTCTCTCTCTAGCTATAGCTTCGCAAAGATTATCCACTAGGATGGGTCGCGCGGGTCCCTCGCCCAGATGGATAAACTCGAAGGACAGATGGATGAGGGAGGGGGGAGGAATCATCAGCCCACAACATGGAAGGAAGGAAGGAAGGAAGGAAGGAAACCCCCCTCCCATAAATCTGACCCTGACCTGGCACGGTTCGATTCGTCCTCTCAAACTCCCCCCCCTACCAATTTTGTCTTTATCGGCTAGGTTCGAACCTCAGTATTCCCCCCATCCCGTCTCTTTGCTCCCAACACTCAACATCATCATCGTCGTCATTATCATCAGCATCTCTCTCTCTCTCTCTCTCTCCCTCCCCCATTACCCACCTGCTCCAACATTATCTGCTCTCTGTCTCTCTCGTTGTTTTGTTTTGTCACCAAAAATGATCATCGTTCGTGCACGAACCCTCGGTACGTCCCCGGATGTAGCCTCCTCCCCGATCGACGCGGGGGGGAAGGGGAGGCGCAATAATTGTTCCTACTTGTGAATTTGTCTACGGGTGTGATTCGTCCCGACAAAGCGAAAACGGAAAGTAAGATTCGGAAGACGGTAGGAAAATGACGAGGTTGAGCTGCCGAGCCCATTAGAGAAGGCGGAAGTTCGTCGGTCGTGTTCGAAGTGACCACGGAAAAGACCCGCCCTCCGGAACTGAGCCCCGCGTTCCGATCGGAATTCTTGTTTTAAGTGCGGAAAACTCGATAGACAATTCGTATGCCGAAATGTTGCCCCAAAAAAAGGGGGGGGGGGGGAATTGCGAACTCTCCTTGATTCGTTCGACCCTCGTTCCGGTCGGATCGCGCCCCGGATCCGTATGGTTATAAATGAAGTGGCGATCGATATGATGGTCTAACAAAACCCTTGAGCTCGATCCCTGTTAATACTTGCTGCAATTGATCACGGGGACAAAACTTTGTTCCAGTCTTTGCCATTTAGGGACAACTTAGGGACAATTCACGGAGGGGAACGCATGTTATCGATCCAAACCATCACATGCTTAAACATCGGCGCCTCCTTTTCACTCAATTCCATGTTCAAGTATTACTTTCCACTGCCCGCGAGATACGCTCGCTCTGAAAATGCGTGGACAGCGCGTGCTCGTCATCGATAGATCCACGAACCAAATGCAATCGGGACAGGTTATCACTCTACCACGGTGTCCCGAAACAACATAGCCGACTGACCCCTAGTTAAAATATTCTCACGGATCATCAGAGAATACTAGGGGTGAGTATGGGTTCTGGGAACTAAATCGAACCGACCATAGGAACTGGTTTGGTTACAAGTTTCCGTAGTTACCGGTATTATGATGACGACCATAGGAATTGTTTGGTTTACGGTTCCCCGGGTAAGAAATGAATCGGGAATCGAAAATAGAAGAACTGGACAGAGAACCGATGAACCGTGGTTAAGTGTTTTGAATTTTGTATTGTTTCTTTTTGTTTGACACGTGTTATCTTTTATGGATTGTTTGCTATTGATAAACGGGGATTTTTGTTGTTGCTTTTACTTACGTTTTGCTTAATTAAAAATGAAACAAGAAAGCAAGAAGAAGAAGTAGAAATTGGCCGGTTCCCTGGTAGACCGTTTTAGAACCGAACCTAGAACCGATTGATAGGGTAGGTTTAGGGTTCTAAGATATGCATGGTAGGTTTCAGATTCAAAAAATCGGAAAAATCGGTTCCGACATGATAGATTTCAAGTTCCAAAAATCGGGATATTGGTTCCGATATGAAAGGTTTCAGATTCTAGGTAAAAACCTCGGCATACCCTGAAGAGTCTCTTACCCCTAGGGATTGCAACTACATAGAATTGTTCTCCTCTCTTCTCATCGCATAGGGGAAATAAAATTAGTTTTGTTATTTATTTGAATAAAGATTAATATCACAAAAAATTTCAAATTATATTTATTATCACATAAATATTCCAAAATTTGTTTTTTGTATCACTAGATCGCATCACTAGAAACTCTAAATTTATTCATCATGATATAAATTTCCAAAAAAAAAAATTTCGAACTTATATCAGTGTGTGTCAGATATTTAGCCGTCTCAGGTATCGGAAGAGCACGGGGGGAGTTGCGGAATTCCCGACCATCCCCGGTGGGGGGGGGGGGGTGGTGTTCTCTAGAAGAGGCGGGAGGGGCGGGGCCCGCACCTCAAGCGCAAGTTGATGGAAACCAAGCGCCCGAAACGGTGGGGGGTCGAGCCAAATTACTATTCTAGGCCCCCTCCCCCTTCCCCCCGGCCCCTTCGTCCCGGCGATGCGATTGATATATCTGCTGCTCCTCACGGCGGGTCCCGCTGCTTTAGAGATTCTTCACGCGTCTTTGTTTTATCCAGTTCATATTTTTAATTTCTCCCCGCACCCACCAAATCATCCACCACCACCACCAACCCCCCCCCCCCCCCACGAAAAACAGGCGGGAATAACAACATCGAAATTACAGCTTTGGACATTATCACGTCTTTTTGTTGTTGTTGTTGTTGTTTTTTTTTTTTTTTTTGGGTGGTGGCTGAAGGGACATTATTACATGTTTTTTGTTTCTGTTTTCCTTATCTCTTGCATCTATCTCGTTTGGTTCCTGGGGAAACAGTGGACGTGCGGGGGTTGGTTGGTGGTGTCGCGTGGATACGGGAAAAAGGGGCAGGGCCAATTAATTCCCCTTCCCAATTTCAATGATTTCTCCGAATTATCTCTCCGCCTTTCCCCACCCCCCCCCCGTCTCTACCATAAGTGGGGTCGCGGATGGTGGCGGCTCCCGCCCGCCCGCCCGCCCATCGCGAACCGGTACGATTTGGTTTTTTTTTGAGCTATTGTTGTTGTTACTATTGTTATCACCAGATCTCCCATTCTTTAAACGTGTCCCCCCCCCCCCCCCCCCTGTTTTTGGAGGGGGGCTTTCGGCGGATTCCGATTAGCATCTCTGTGTTCGGATGAGGGGGCCGCCTCGCCAGTCCGTGGAACCGGTCGTTGCCCCCCCCCCCCCCGGATTCAGACGTGAGCTGTTAGGTATTGATTACGATGGAGGTGGCGGGAGCGGTTGACGAGAGGGTCGTGCCGAAGAGCGATCGGATCGGATCGGATCGGATTGCGAGTGGGTATTCGAAATAGCCTGATGTTATTAGCATGTTCCGCAGTGATTTTTTATTTATTTATTCTGGATTTTATCCATTTCGTTTAGCGGTATGCAGATGGCTGAACGGTATGTGTTAGCCAAATTAAGGAGATAGGGAGAGAGAGAGAGATCGAATCCAAAGTCATCTTTAATTTTTAATTTTTTTTTGGGCACATTCTAACTTTTGATGCCGCGTTTTTTTCTCATTTCCGAGTA